TGTAGGAAAATGTGGCAGCCAATTTGCACATAGCAATGTTCCTCAAACAGCCACGAAGTGAATGACCATCCGGGTGGATTGTTGGCCACTAAAAACTTATTTTAACATCCATCTGAACAGGCAGACAGTATCTCAATTGAATGTCTCAGTAGAAGGATGGCACCTCTGACAACCAGAAATGCTGTTTCAGCCTACACTGAGATCATGATATGGGGCTTGAGCCAACAACAACAACAACTTGGATTTATAAAGCGCCCTCCACGCTGGACGGCGTTTCAGAGCGCTTCACAGTAACAGATCCTGGGGCCGAGCCAAGGGGAGGGGGAGGAAGGTGACCAAAGGCGTGGTCGAAAAGAAAGGTCTTCAGCAGAGACCTGAAAATAGGAAGGGAGGGAGCGAGACGAAGGGGGTGAGGAAGGGAGTTCCAGAACCTTAGGGCATAGTGGCTGAAGGCACGGCCGCGGAGGACTCGGGGGACGAGGAGGAGGTCAGACCCGGAGGAACGAAGGTAACGGGTACTGTTTTGAGGAGAGAGGAGGTCAGAGAGATAGAGGGAACAATATAGAACAACCTTCTGAACAAGAGGTGAGAATACTACGAACTGAGCCAGGCTGATAATCTACTATCAAATATTTTCTGGTGAGTAGACCATATCTTAAACGGAATCCGAAATATTTTACTGTTAAGAGAATTTCAAACCCCCCACAGCAGATTCCCACCATCATTTGTCACAAACTTCAAAGGACAAGGTTTCCAAGATAAAGAAGTTCTTAAATTATTATAAGTATGATTTTATTACATTCTAGCAAAATGAAAAAAGATTTTGCAATTGCAATCTGCCAAATATCTACAGCTCACTGAATATGGTTACGTGAAGATACAATGTTTATAAAACAAAGGTCAGTGACCATGGCATTTTACAACAGGATAAAAACAAGAAGTCTGCTCTTCAATTAGCCTCAATGTAAACCTATACCAGAGATATCAGTCCCATAGCGTAGTGATTAGTACACTCTCCTCGCAAGCGAGAGGACCTGGATGAGGCGAAACCTTAGGCAAGTTTCCTTACTCCACACGCTTCTGGCTTTGCCTTGCAGGGTTAACAGGAGCTGAGTGGGATGACTCCTTGCCCCCAGTGACTGGCCTGCCCTTCCAGGTCCTGCCAATGAACCAGGCTGGCCGTGTTGTCACCAGGAGTGCCCAGGAATACTGCAGACCCGCTTGGCTCGGGAGCTGGGACTATCGAGACTGCCACAGAGCGCTGGCTCGATTCCGACATTCTGTTGCCAGGCTTATCACCTTAGAGCCAGTTCAGCTCCAAGGAGACCCCACTTACCTCCCCCCAAGGAAGGTAGTTTGTAATAGCAATAGCATTGCAACTGTACCATTCTAACTTTTATGTAGGTAAGGGTGCCATCTAGTGACTGCTCTTGATAAAGCAAATTGCATGGGAACACAGAAAGACCATTAAGGTCTCTTGAGTTGATCTAATTTCCTGAACCTTGTTGCTCTTTCACATGCCTCCATTCCCTTGCAATCACAAACCTTTCTGGAAACTGTCAACATCGGGGGCTAAAATACACGATTCACTTTGAATTCTGTAAACACAAATCCCAAACTGTCAAAACTTGGAAAAAAAGAGATGTTTTCCCACTGGTGCCTTGCTCGCTATTTGTTTTCTTGTTTCCTTGCATTTGATATAGCGCCTTATCACATTGTTGAGACGTCTCAAAGTGCTTCACAGAATATACTGTAAAGTGAATTAACTGTATATTTTGTGAGCGAAAAGCGGCAGCCATTGTGCACAGAACTGTCCCACAAACAGTTGAGCTTTGAGTGATTTTTATTTTATTTGTGCTTTTTGAAGGGATTATTACCCCCAGAAAGCGATTGGCCAATCAACTAAAAACTGGGTTCCTACTTACTGCTAGGCAAACAGAGGCGTGTGGAATAAGGAAACTTCCCTAAGGTTTCGTCCTGCCTGGGAATCGATAATAATAATAATAATCCTTGCATTTGATATAATGCCTTATCACGTTTTCGAGATGTCTCAAAGTGCTCCACAGAATAGACTTTAAACTGAATTGACTGTATATTTTGTAGGCGAAATGCGGCAGCCAATTGCGGACAGCAGTGTCCCACAAAATTTGTGGATTGAGTGACCAAATCATTATTATTATTTTTTTTTGAAGGAATTATTACCCTGCTGGAAAAGCGATCCGCCAATCGACTAACAACTGGGCTCCTACTTACTGCTCGATTAACAGAGGCGTGTGGAGTAAGGAGACTTGCCCAACGTTTCGCCCTGCCGATAATCAAACCCAGGTCTCTCGCTTGCGAGGAGAGTGCTCTAATCACTAAGCTACAGGACTCCACGATTGAGTGACCAAATTATTCTTTTTTTAAGGAACTATTACCCAGGAAAAGTGATCTGCCAATTGACTAACAACTGGGTTCTTACCTACTGGTAGGTAAGCAGAGGCGTGTGAAGTAAGGAAACTTGCCAGATATTTTGCCCTGCTGGGAATCGATCCCAGGTCGTCTCGTTTGTGAAGTGAGTGCTTTAACTATAGTTGCTATATATAGTTATAAGCTATAGGAATCATCTGTCCAATGGCATTCCTTTGAAAACCCACACCTGTTTAAACTCTAGCTTTCTGATCCCTGTATACATGAAATGAAGCAGAGGAAGGGTGTATTTGAAGGAAAGCAAGATTTCTACATATCCCATTTCTGATCCCTTTCTGTACAATCCTGAAATTGTTTGCATCATCTTTCCTTCCTTACCCATTTCATTCTCTCTGAAATACTGTCCCCACTGAGACCCTACAATCGACATGTTTACAATGTTTACAATGTTCCCACATTTCCCACGGTATGGAGTCCTGTAGCTCAGTGGTTAGAGCACTCGCTTTGCAAGTGAGAGACCTGAGTTCAATTCCAGGCAGAGGGCGAAACCTTGGGCAAGTTTCCTTCCTCCACACAGAGCCTAATAATAATCCCTCCAAAACAAAACAATGATAAATTGGTCATTTTCAATCCACGACTGTTTGTGGGACATTGCTGTGCGCAATTAGCTGCCGCGTTCGCCCACAAATAAACAGTCAATTCACTTTACAGTGTGTTCTGTGAAGCGCTTTGGGACGTCCTCCCGATGTGAAAAGCGCTATATCAAATGCAAGGATTATTATTATAGTTCCTATAGAGCAGCCACTTCATTTCCTTTTAACTATGAAGAAAGTGTCTGGTGCCCTCTAATGGTGGCACCTTGTTGCTGCTTTGGCAACATTTGTTTTGTTTAATTAATTTTTGAACATCCTTCTCTTAAATATCTGAATTAAAATAGCACAAAGAATATTCCTACATGGAGGGAGGGGGTAAGGCACTTTCGCAGAAAACACTTAATTTGGTTTGATTGTCCTAATTCAACAACTTTATAAAACCTGTAGAAAACTGACATTAAAACTAGTTCAGCTAGCTCTGCCGGTTCGGGTGGATGTTTTTTCCCATGACACTAATTCAAAAAGAGAAGGGTGTTTGTCTTGGTGTTCTGGCCAACAATCAACAACAATAAATTGCATGTTACTGCATTTACAAATCCACCAAATAAAAGTGGTCATTCACTTCATGGCTGTTTGTGGGACATTGCTGTGTGCAAATTGTCTGCCACGTTTGTCTGCAGAATACACAGTCTGAATAAACATACTTTGCACTAAATTCTGTGAAGAACTTTGCAATACTACCCTAATAATAATAATCTTTGTACAGCACTTTTCACATTGGGAGGATGCCTCAAGGCGAAATGCGGCACCTTGAACAGTGCAGCACTGCATTGGTGTGTCTATTTTAGATTACGTGAACTCCAAGTTCTGATGTGAGACTTGAACCCACATAATAATAATAATAATAATCCTTGCATTTGATATAGCGCTTTTTCACGTCTTCTTGACATCTCAAAGCGCTTCACAGAATATGCTGTAAAGTGAATTGACTGTATATTTATAGGTATTCATTTACAGAAAGGGGAGTTAACAACTGAGATTGGTTACCAGGAAGAGTAATAAATCTTATCTGCTTATATAGTTTGTTATTACACTTTACAGTAAATCCTGTGAGGCTTTGAGATATCCTCTTGATGTGAAAGGAGCTATATTAAATGTTAGGATTATTAAAAATTATTTAACGGAACATTATTATGCATTCTTCAGCAGTGCAGAAATACTCCAGGGTAAGGTGCTTCAAAAATGAAATAAGTGGGACTGGTGGTTTCTGGAAATGCAACAATTGAATAACTAAAATATGGAATTATTTCTAAATCTAAATAGCTGGAGGTGCTTTGGAACTGTAATAATCCTACAAAATTGTTATAGTACATCTGTTGATCAAGTGTGCAATTGGGGCCCATTTGGCAGCTCACGTGGCCAACAAAAAGGAACTGCTAAACCAGTCATTACAGGTTGAAAAATCTAAAAATCCTGTTTGAAACTGAGCAAATCATTGCTGCATTCATGAAAGGCATTGCTTTGCAGCAGAAAATAGTCTTGGAGAATAAGATCAATTAATTTACCCTTCGGCAAGCCTTTGGTCATTTTGGTATTTTTAAAAAATAATTATCTACCTTGGTGTACAGGTAACTAAACTAGTATTTAACATTTCTCAACATCTACCCATTCATACTCAGAAAGTATGCAATGGCACAAAGGTGTGTAACAGTCAGTTGATCACTGAACATTTTCCAAAAGCAAAAATGTATGTTGCTGACGTTGAGGAATTAGATCTACTCTATTCTGTTCTTTTCTAGATCATTGAACTGTGATGCTGCTTAACTCATTTGGACATGCAAGAATAGTTAGTAGCTGATTTGTCACAAAGTTGTTCTTGGAAAATGCGACTCCCTTTTTAATACTACATCTAAGTTTCAGGCTGTTTGAGAACTGATTCAATTAGGACCCATTTCAAATAGCTAAAACCTTAAAAATAAGTGAGAACATGGAGGATAATTTAACTGAAAATACAAGTTTATTAGCTGGAAGTACAAATGGACACATGTAAATATTTCACCGATTTTCACCCCTACGTGCAAACCTCAATGCAACACAATCCTTCTCTGGATTATTTCCCTGTCAGATGATCATTCTTACCTTGTAGCTTTGCTTTTTTCCCCCAGAAGTGTATAGGAAATAATACTCTCAGAATTACACTCTAATTTTCAGGTTATACAATGCAGACGAATCACAATTGGATGGATCGCTATCTTTCTAGCTTTCTCTTGTATTTTTGACCGTAGAATTGGAATGGCAGAGAAAAGTATTCTCCGTGGATGTCAGTTCTTTGGGCAGATATTGCAGGATTTGTGTTCAGGCATCCAAATACATTGGATGAGTTGGACAGGCCTATCATTCAAAAGAGATTTTTTTAGTTTTTCTTGAGCAATATTGAACAATATACAGTTTTCCACCACAGCTATTTTAAATATTTTGCTGCTTTAACATCAGACAAGAATCCTCCAATGTTTGGTCAGGGAAGGTACATCTGGTGAATTCAGGCCCAATAGAAAGGAATCTGGTTAACCAAATAATTATTATTGGTGCTAATTTTCAGATTGTCAGAATTTTCATTGGTGGAAATGCCACAGTCAAAGGCAACCCTACCAACTTCATGAAAATCATCACCCCTATTAGTCAGAATAATAACAGATTTCAAGTCTAAAGTAACAATCCTATCAACTTAATTAACAAACAGAAAGGTTACCACGAAGGGTGTTGAGCCCAGGACATTGGACTTGTTTGAGGAACAGCTTGATGCTGAAATGGGAAGGTGTTTGGGTTTGTATTCTGGAAGAACAAGATCAATTGGACAAAGGAACTTCTTCATCCAAACCTCTCTTGTAATCAAAGGAATTTCTTCAAACGTGTTGAGAGACCCATCCTCCTGGGGTGGGGGGGAGTGGGGGGAGGTAAATATATAATTGAGGCCTCCTTGGAGCTGAAACGGCTCCAAGCTCATATGCTTGGGAACAGGTGTCAGAATGGAATCAACCCTCTGCAGTGGTTTGGATAGTCTGAATTATCTGAGCCAGGCAGGTCCGCAGTACCCCAAGTATCCAATTCCTCTTTGCAAACACCACTTCTGAAAATACTGAAGTCATGGAAAATTTACTATAAATGTTATTGAGATAGAATTCCACCAAAATTAGATACATCCAGTATTTCAAAGACTTGTGTGTTAATCTAGTGAGATACTACACCTGTAATTATCAATGCAGGAGAATTTGAAACCCTTGTGTTTCAAAGCGATTTCTAATTGTGCAATACTCCCAACACCGCAGGATTCCCTGCAAAAGCAAAAGTGAAATGGTGATTTCCGTGTTCTGTGTTGTTGCTAAGAACCGACTATAATCATTCATTCCTTACTCCACACACATGTTTAGCTAGCAGTAAGTATGAATCTGCTTGTTAGTCAATTGGCACGTTGCTTTTTCAGGGATAATTATGCCTCCAAAACAATAATAATAATGATGAGGTCACTCAACCCACGACTGGTTGTGGGACACTTCTATGCGCAATTGGCTGCTGCGTTTCATCCACAAAACATACAGTCACTACACTTTACAGTGTATTTCTGCGAAGCTCTTTGAGATATCTCGAAGATGTGATAAGGTGCTATATCAAATTCAAGGATTATTATTATATTATAATCATCAAACTAAACCAAACAGCATAGCTTATATTTAAATGGCAAATATTGTGCCCTTGCAGCTTTGATAGTAATCAAAATAATCCTTGCAGTTGACATTACAACAACTTTCATGTCAGGAGGATGTCCTGCATTTGGTATAAACCTTTCCTGTCAGGAGGACCCAAAGCATTTCACAGGATATATTGTAAAGTGGAGTGAAGATGTGATTTGTGGGCAAATACGGCAGCCAATTTTGCGCACAGCATTGTCACAAACAGCCATGAAGTGAAATGACCAACAACAACAACAACAACAAATTACATTTGTATAGCTCCTTTCACTTCAGGATAATGTTCTAAGGCGCTGGACAGTCAAGGATTTGGACCTGAGCTGGGGATTGGGATCAGGAGGGGTGGAGGGCAGGGAGGGTAGGGGTAGGAGGGTGACCAAAGAGGAGGATCTTGAGACGGACCTTGAAGGAGGCAAGGGGAGTGGACGAGGCTCTGTGGGATGGAATTTCAAAGGGTAGGATCAGAGAGGCTGAAGGCCCAACCACTGATGATGGAGCAGGCAGGGCAGGGGCATGGGATAGACCAGAGGCCACTGAGCGGAGGGAGCTGACAGTCAGGTATTTATGGAACACATGCGACATGCATTTTATGTTAAAAAATCTCATTTGAGTTGGTTGCACTGTTACTTTTCCACCAAATATAATGTAATTTTAGTTCTAGATATAATCAAGTCATTTCTTGAGGCTTATTTGCGGAATTATTGGCCAGGTCACTGGTAAAACAACAAAAACAACAAATTGCATTTAAAAAGCACCTTTCATATAGGGAGGACGTCCCAAGGCATTGCACAGGGAAGGGTTTGCACCCCAGCTGGGGTTTGGATTCAAGAGGGATGGGGGCAGGGTGGGGTGGAGATAGGAAGATGTCCGTAGGCATGGCCAAAAAGGTCTTGAGACAAACCTTGTTTTCTTACAACTTCTTATGAAGACATCTTTGTGAACGTCCGTTAGGAGTGTGCGAAAGGAGTTCAAGGTGACTCTGCCTTGATTTTTTGTGCCCTTCTTTCCTGTAAGTTATCTTCTAGTATCATTCTATAATAGCTACACTTAGTAACTTTCTATGTGGCAAATTGGATCTGCAAACCTACATCGAACACTCCACAGCACAGTTGGATGGAACACCAGCAGGTTCAGTTGCCTGTGCTTTGCTTGGAAATATTTTCCAATGACGATACAAAGTATTGTTGCTCTGCGTGTTATCCCACATTATGTAATAAAAGTGCAAAACCTTACTTATCAGACCCGGAAAGGTTATCCATGATCCAGAGTTGGATTGAAGAAATCCGATTGGTGTCTAGATTTCCAAGTTCAATGCTACCAAAAATGCTAGTGACAGAAAGCAACAAATAATCAATAGCAGTAAGGTGCAATGAATTGATAAACACCCATAATACACAATGATCAAGGGTAGTGTCTTTAGATTAGTTTGGAAGGATATTATCAGTCACTTGTCTCATAATCACCTGGCATTTCATTTCCTATAACATATTCCTTGCTCTTTCCTATGCACTTTGATTATGTTCCTCTTCAATTATTTATCCATTCCCTTTTATATGTTATGGTGTCAGCCACAGCATCCTCTTGTGGCAAAGCTATCCATGTTAGAACCATAGAAATTTACAGGACAGAAGAAGACTATTCGGCCCATCGAGTCTGTGTTGGCTCTTTTAAAAGCAATCTTTTGAGTGAAAGATTTCAATTGTTCTACCAACTCTCTGGACAAGAAAGTTTCTTCTAAACTCTACACTAATTCTTCCAGTGAGGAAATGTCAACAGTTGTTAATAATCTTCCAGAACTCAGAGATGAAACTCCCTCTTTTCTTGATTAGATCAACAGCAAACTGGCAAACCTGGGAACTAACCTATCAGGTGAAGAAGGCCCTTCAGCCCATTTGATCTCAGCCACCCAGAATTCCCATCCTACCATCCTTCCATAGTCTAGTGGCCTGGCCTTAACTGCCTTCCTGGTAATCAATTGTTTTTTCCTAATATTCAACCAAATGAATGGAGCCCTCTGACCGGTTCCTTAAATCAGGAAAACTATGGGATGCCAATGGAGCTGGGCGAGGATGAGGTGATAGGGTCACGGAGCTTGGGATAGGACATGAGCTGCAGAGTGCTAAATGATCTACAGTTTGTGGAGGGAAGAGTTTGGAAGACCAACATCAGGGAGTTAGCTTAATCGAGCCTCAAGGGTCTCAGCGGCCTGAGGGGAGATGCAGTTGGAGATCCGGGAGATGTTGAGGAGATGGGGGAAGACAGAATGGGTCATGGCACGGATGTGGGGGAGAAAGGACAGTTGAAGGTCAATGAGGTGGAGTGTTCATCCATGGATGGTGATGCTGTCAGCACCCGAGGTGTGGAGGCACTGGCGTGAGCCAATCAGGAAGGCCTCGGTCTTGTTGACATTCAACTGAAGAAAGTTAGCTCTCATCCAGGACTTGATGGCTGACAGACATTCTGTCAGGACAGCAGTTGACCTGGAATCGAGGGTGGAGCCAGAGAGATAGAGCTGGGTGTCATCCACATACATGTGGAAGTTGACCCTCTGTCTGCGGATGATGTCAGCAAGGGGGGGAACATGTAGATATTGAAGGACCAAGGACAGAGCCCTGAGGAATGTTGCACAAGATGGTGCGAGGTTTGGAGGAGAAGCTGTTTGTGGATACGAAGTGGAGATGACGGGTAAGATTTGAACCAGGCACTGACAGGACCGTGATGATTGAGCTGAGAGGTGAGGAGGCGGACAAAGAAAGAATGGTCGACAGTGTCATAGACGCAGAGAGGTCAAGGAGGATGAGGAGACAGAGGAAGGCCTGGTCAGAAGGAGGTGGACACAATGTAATTTGTTTCTGTGCTCTGGGAAACACGGAAACTCAATTGGACATGTTTGTAGAGGGAGTGGCGGGAAAGGAATGAGCAAAGCTAGGAAGTAACAACACGCTCCAGCACCTTGGAAAGAAAAAGGAGATAATTGAGGAAAGTGAGGAAACGTGAGGCTGGTTTTGTACCATCTGTGATCGAGTGACCAGGTTTTGAATTTAAGGGTGTGCAGGTGACTATTATACCAGTAGGAGTAGGTGGGTGGGAGACTTGTCGTGGACTTCAGGGGGGGAATGGCAATTGAAAGACGAAGAAAGTTGATCATTTAGCAGCTTGATGGCTGCATCGGGAACACTGCAGGTAGAAAATCAGAGGGAGGATGAAAGGACTTTTGTAAGGGATTTGGGAGAGAAGTATTTTCCAACCGTGGTAAGAGATGTTGGAGGGGAGGGGAATGCGGGAGGAGGGGGACTTGAGGAAATGGTTGGATTATGGCCTTATTTGTTATGTGTTTTTACCTTTCAGTTCTGAAAGCTCTTGTTTGCGAAGATCCATTCAGTACCACCTTTACCTCTCCACTGGCTTTTTTTGCATACTGAGAATTACATAATGCAATTACAACAGTGTATTGGAACAACAGTACTACAAGAAGTAGTGTCTAGCTGCATTTCTTTCAGATAAACACACACTTACAACTACCGACGCTGATCTCCAAAAGGATTTTGCAGCATTTTCTTCACATTCATTCCATGCTGGGCAAACTTCATAATTCAGTTCTGTAATGAATAAATATTTCAAGGTTTGAAAACAGTCCTTATTAAGCAAAACATCATTGGCCAGAAGGCTGGGAGTAACGTTCTTCTCTATTTGAATAATGTCATGGGATTTTTAATGTCCCTCTGTACAGGCAGACGTCTGGGACCTCGGTTTATCCGAGGGTTGGAATCCAACAATGCAGCACTCCACTAGCACTGCACTAGGGTTTCCAGCTGCACTAAAGCTCAAAGTCCCAACGCGGAACTTGAACCTACAATCTTCTGACACAGAGTAGAGAATTCTACCAGAGCTGAGCTATTGAAGAAATAAGGACAGGTACAGATCCGGATGAATAAATAATAAATAAATAAAAATAAATAATAAATAATCCAAGCGGTACCATTCTGCTCCTGCTGAATATATTTATTGTATATACCTGCCAGCATTTTATAGGACATTTAATCTCTTTTTCTGCAGTGAAACAAATACAACTGTTTGAGCTTCTCCTCATAACCTAAAACCTTACATCCCAGAATCATCATCGTTGCTCTTTCATGATCCTTCTGGAACAAATCAATATTCTAAACGTAATGACTGTGTATTTTGTAGGTGAATGCAACAGTCTATTTGTGCACAGCAGTGTCTTCCAAATAGCGATGAAGTGAATGACCAATTTTATTTAGGGGGATTGTTGGCCAGGAGAGTGGTAGAAACTCCCCTCTCTTTTCAATCATGCCATGGGATCTTTAAAGTTCACATGAATAGGCAGATGGGACCTCAGTTGAACATCAGTCAAAGTACAGCACCTCCATCAACGCAGCATAACCCCAACATGGCATTGGGGATTGAACCCACAACCTTCTGACTCAGAAACAAGAATGCTCTCAACTGAACTTAGGCTGACCCAGAAGGCAATATTAAATGGGTGATAAAGTCGGTTTTCGATCCACAGTGAGATGTACAGTTGTCTGATAAAATGAAACTGGTCATTTACTTTAGGGCTGTTTCTAGAACATCACAGCACACAAATTGGCTGCCACTTCAAGTACAGGGTGACCAAAACGTCTTATTTTTCAGCCGCCCTATTATCTTTCTTTTTATTTCTTAAAGGATTATTAGGCATTATAATGGTATCATGACTTTTTGGTCACCCTGTATATTGTATGAAGCGTTTGGAAATGCCTTTTTTGAAAGGTGTTATTTCAAATGCAAGGAATATCATTTAAAATGACATTTAAAATGTAACCATGACCATTTAAACTGTTACAAACTCTTCTGACAATTAGTCCATTGCTTCTGAAAGTATATGGGATTATTCAATTACAATTAAATAGCATTTATGCGGGTAAATGGAGTTGAGGTACAGATCAGCCATGATCTAATAGAATGGTGGAACAGGCTCAAGGGGCTGAATGGCCTAATCCTGTTCCTATGTTCCTATGATTTGGCAGTTTTGAATGTAAAATGTGACTGGCTTACCTGAACTAGAGCGCTGCCCACACCAATTCAAACCATTCAGCATATAACCTGTCAGGGTCGACTCCAGAGGCATAACATTCTTGACAATATCAGCATACTGACGAGTGAGTTCTCCTGTCTGACTCCAAAATATGCTCTGGGAATTAATCAATTAAAAGACTGAAATAGTCTTGTACTCATTAACAATCCAGTACTAAAATTTGTTATTAATAAAGAGCCCCCGAAATGGGAAATTCCATAGTCATATTAATTTTTCAGTTCGGTTAATAGTTCTTAGAATTTATTTTACACTTTATGGATTCACAATTACTGTATAGGTCCTGTGCACATTCGTGACACATTTCACCATCAGCCTTTTATCATTGAACTATTGCATAAAATATAGTAACATAAAGGGATACGATATTGTTTGAATATTTTATCAAATGATTTGTGAAACAACTCAACGCTAACCTTGCCGGATGGGATATCATGTTCAGCCATGGTCAGAAATGGTTTGTAGTCGTCTTGTGTAATTTTACAGGGGTCTTTGGAAGCAAACACACTCTTCAAGGTTTGCCACAGCAGTGTACAATTCTTCTTCCTAAAACACAGTGAAACACCAAATACTCGGTTAGTCAATTTTATTATAATCATGCATAATTTTCAACATACGATAGTATCATACTGAAATACTAGAGCATGGTGACTCATTATTTTTACCCTATTCAAAAAACCACAAGAGAGGCATTTTATCTCATCTCTCCAGAATACTCACTCTACTGATCTCCCATCACAACACCACACTTGCTTTAAAAAAATGAAGCCATTGTCCTAGCCTCAAACCGACTTCTTAATCACCTCTTCCAGTTATTAATATCCCTCTGGGTAAATAAATACTTCCTCGTACCCACCCTTAAATAGTTTTTTGCAATTAAACTCTGTGTCCTCCAGTTCTGCTGTCTTAATGCACCTGAAAATATTGTTCTGAGTTTACGCTCTCAAAGCACTTTACAGAATATACTATAAAGTGAATTGACTGTATATTTTGTGGGCAAAATGAGGCAGCCAATTTTGCACACAGCAGTGGCCCACAAACAGTCATGGATTGGAGTGACCAATTTATTATTTTTTTTGAAGGAATTATTATCCTTGGAAAAGCGATTTGCCAATTGACTAACAACCAGGTTCCTACTTATTGCTAGATAAACAGAGACATGTGGAGTAAGGAAACTTGCCCAACATTTTGCCCTTCTGGGAATCGAATACAGGTCTCTCACTTGCGAGGCGAGTGCTCTAACTACTGACCTACAGAACTCCACATCCCATTTAAAATCTTATACACCTCTATAAAGGTCCGGAGTCGTGTTTCGCCACTGTCAAACCCTCTGGGATGCTACATAAATGCAAGCAGTAGTTGTTGTTGTTGTCCTCTGAGACATCGCTTTTCAACCTAACCCTAAGAGACTCATCTTCTTTAATCATTGCTTACAGCTCATGCTTGTAGCACTGGGGATCATCCTAATTGCGCTCCTCTACACCCACTCTAGAGCCTGGGCAATCCCCTTATATCGTGGTGACCAGAATATATGATGTATTCTCAGAGCAATTTGTACCAGAACTGTACAGACTGAGGAGGATTTTACGGGATTTGACAATATATTCCAACATCCTGTTTGCCTTTTTTATTGCTGCCTCATTCTGTTTTGACATGGTGAATGATGAACATTTTCCCTTTTCCCCTCGGCAAATTCCATCCCATCCATGGAGTAGACATGTTTCCTATTGTGGCAGGGGTGGTGTACCACCTTACCATGAATGAAAGCTGAAGTGGATGAACAAAAAACAGAGTGGGCAGTAAACACAGGACAAATGAATAATAATCCTTGCATTTGATATCTTGCCTTATCATGTTGTTGGGATGTCTCAAAGCACCTCACAGAATATTCTGTAAGGTGAATTGACTGTATATTTTGTGGGCAAAACACGGCAACCGATTGCAGGCAGCAGTGTTCCACAAACAGTCGTGGATTGAGTGACCAAATTATTATTATGCCAATTGACTAGCAACCAGATTTCTACTTACTGCTAGGTAAACAGGGGCGTGGTGTTAGGAAAGTTGCCTATGGCTTCGCCCTGCCTAGGAATCAACAACAACAACTTGCATTTATGTAGTGCCCCTCACGCAGGGTAGCGTCCCAGAGCGCCTCAAACCTGGATTCTCTCACTTGCAAGGTGAGTGCTCTAACCAACACCCTACATGACTCCACGTAACATAATCGGGAAACTATTCTTACTTCCTAATTGCTGCCTTGCAATTAACTGTATTAAACATGTATTTGCCAGTTATCAGCGCATCTCCATACCTTATGAAAATCTCTTTGAAAAAACTTTTCTGTCTCCTCTAATTCCAAAGTTCCCCCCCACCTTGGTATAATCTGCAGATTTCAATATATTACGATAGGTCTTCCAATCCAGGTCAGTAATGAATCCTTGATCAGTTTCCAATGAAAAAAGATACCAAGTTATCCTTTACCATGCCATTGCTGATGAGGCAGGGCAAAACCATAAGCAAGTTTCCTTAAACTTACACAAGTCTCTGTTTACCCAGCAGTAAGTAGGAACCCACTTGTTAGTCGATAGGCAGATCGCTTTCTGGAGGTAATAATCCCTCCAAATTGGTCACTCAATCCACCACTGTTTGTGGGACACTGCTGTGCACAATTGGCTGTCATATGTGCCCATAAAATACACAGTCACCAGACTTTACAGTATATCCCGTGAAGTACTTTGAGACATTATTATTATTATTATCTACAGACTGATTTACCCTGCTGCCGGATTTTTTAATCCAATGTAGTCGTTGCATCTCCCGATCACGATTTCTTCTAAGTTTGCAGTTGTTCCTCTTCCTGTCCAAGCAATGTTGGATCCGTCGTATCTACCTGTGTAGTTTAAGAGTATGACTACAAGGAGCAGCACACCTAACAAAAGAAATGTTTTTTATGTTAAATTGCTCTGTATTTGTTTTCCTTGTGAGCTATAAATGCGCCCATCCTCATGCACCGCCTCTCCTCTTTACTTAACCTTCGCAGACCTGCCCTTGCATGGATCAAATCCTATCTCTCTCACCGTCTCCACTTTGTTGCCTCTAACGGTTTCTCCCCCAGCCCCCGCACTGTCATGTCTGGCGTCTCCCAGGGCTCTGACCTTGGCCCTCTCCTCTTTAATATCTACATGCTCCCCCTTGGTGACATCATCCACAGACATGGGGTCAACTTCCATATATGTATGCGGATAACACCCAACTCTATCTTTCTGCCTCCACCCTCAACTCCTGACAGACTGCCTGTCGGACATCAAGTCCTGGATAAGGCAAAATTCCTACAGTTGAATGTGAACAAGACTGAGGCCTCCTGATTGGCTCACGCCAGCGCCTCTGCACCTCAGGCTCTGAAACTCCATCACCTCCAGACTTGACTATGCAAACTCACTGCTTGTCGGCCTTCCCAGCTCCTCCCTCCACAGGCTGCAGATAATCCAGAACTTTGCAACCCGTGTCCTCTCCCGCACCAAACTCCATGACCCCATCTCCCCAATTCTCGCCCGACTCCATTGGCTCCCTATCCTTCAGAGCATCCAGTTCAAGATTCTGGTCCTCACCTACAAAGCCCTCCATGACCTCACCCCACCCTACCTCTGCGACCTCCTAACCTGCTCACTCCCTCCGCTCAGCCGGCTCCGGTCTGCTCCACACCCCCCGACCCACCCTCCCCATCATTGGTGGAGCCACTCTGCCCCCAACCTCTGGAATTCCCTTCCCCAATCACTCCGCCCCCTCCTTAGCTTCTTTCAAGTCCCACCTCAAGACCCTCTTTTTTGACCATGCCATTGGTCACCCCCCTCCCCCCCACTCCTTTCTCTCTCCCTGACCCCAGCTTGGGTCTGAAATGCTGTATGCTGTCCAGCGCCTTGGGATGGCGCTATACAAATGTAATCTTGTTGTTGCTTTAATTTTCATGGAAAATAAATTCAGGCTATGAATAAGAAGGCTTACTCCTATGAAATGATATGCATCAGGTGCAGAGATAGAGTAATAGCCCTGGAAGAAATCAGTGTACTGACTAACATGACAACTAAAGCTCTTAATGTCAGCACATGTAAACAGTTGATAATAATAACAATTCTTGTATTTGATATAGCGCCTTATGCCAAGATAATTCAAAATATGTCACAAGCTTTTACTGTGAAATATACTGAAATATAGTGCATTTGTAGGTGAACATATCAATGGAAGATTATTTGCAGGAAACATTGTAGAGGGATTTGGAGACCTCATGCAAAGCCTAAGTTCTGCACAGACAGACAACTGAACAGATGCTCGCCACTATTAATATTAATAATAATTATTTAATAATAATCTCAATAATAATCCTTACATTTGATATAATAATAATAATCCTTGCATTTGATATAGCGCTTTTCACGTCTTCTAGACGTCTCAAAGCGCTTCACTGAATAAGCTGTAAAGTGTATATTTGTGGGTGAAATATTAGTATGTTTTCCATAGCTCATATATGCTCTTTAAAAGTAATTGCGTTTACTTCCAAGGTACCAGCAATGGAAACGAACAGCAATTACAATTCTCCAAACAGCATTATACAGCATAGGACACAAAATAATAATAATAATAATCCTTGCATTTGATATAGTGCTTTTCACGTTGGGAGGACGTCCCAAAGCGCTTCACAGAACACACTGTAAAGTGAATTGACTGTATATTTGTGGGCGAATGCGGCAGCCAATTGCGCACAGCAATGTCCCACAGACAGTTGTAAATTGAAAATGACCAATTTATTATTGTTTGGGGTTTTGGAGGGATTATTATTAGGCGTGTGGAGAAAGGAAACTTGCCCACGGTTTCGCCCTGACCTGCCTGGAATTGAACGCAGGTCTCTCGCTTGCAAAGCGAGTGCTCTAACCACTGAGCTACAGGACTCCGTAGCTCCTAAAGTCCTGAGCTTACATTCCTTGAGCAAATTTAGTGAAACCTTATAGTAGAAACTCTGAGACATACTATATTTTGTGGGTTACCTGGTCCTCGCACTTCTTCTTCACAAGACAAATCTAATGACTTGGCGCCATGATGTTTAGAGTGGTTGATATTTCACACCCTAAAGTGTATCTACATATCTTGCCAAGTTGTGTTGTGGATAGCTGTGCTTGTGTTGTGAATAGCTGTCACGGTGAAGTGTTTGGAGATTATATCAGATGCAGGGAATGTCTAGAATACATATGGTACACAAGAAAAAAAATAGATTACATTTCTGTAACTTTAAAACGAAAGAGAAAACTGACACAGGAAAGGTTTGGAATCGACAAGGTGGGAGTTGGGGGAGAGGTCAAAGAATAACCACGTGGGTTCTTGTATTACAGCAATCAGGAATAAGAATCCTGTCCGATTTTCTTTTTCTTAACTCAGGCACACTAAGCCAATTGCAGCACTAACCGATCAGGCTGCACGGATAAATCTATTGAGTCATATACTGAAGCACTGTATGTTTAAAATCCACATTTATGTCAACTGGGTTCAACTAATAGCACTCTCTGAGTCAGAAGATTATGGGTTGACATCCAACAAGAGGACTTTGAAGTCATTGTGTAAACTGAAATTCCTGTGTAATGACACTCCCAAACACTCTATTGTTGGAGCAGTTATGAATTTAAACGCAGGTTCAGATAAATGATAAGATACCGATGGCACTATCTGCATAGAGAAGGCAGTTGTCCCAGTGTTCTGGGCAACAATCCTTCAGATAAAATTAAGCATTGACTTTCCTGGTTATTTGTGGGGCATTGCTGTGCAGAAATTATTTGCTGCATTCTCTTACAAATACAGTCAATACACTTCACAATAAAAACATTGTGTGAAGTATTTTGAGACATTTTCACTGTGTGACAAGGTACTATATCAAATGCAAGGATTATACACAAAATCTAGAACAGGAATAGGAGAGCAAGTAACACACTTTCAACAACAACTCTAGACATCACAGAGTGATCTATAGGAAAATTCTTTACACATCAGTAGGAGAATAGAATTGGAATAAAAGCCAACTTACAACAACAACAACAACAACAACAAATTACACTTGCATAGCAGCATTTACGTCGAAAAGGCATCCCAGGATGCTGGACAGTCCGAGGATTTTGCAACTCATTGCAAAGAATTTCTTTAACTTCTGGTGATTTTGAATCATCTTTACCTGAAGACAGGTGACTGTTTAGAGGAAGCATTTCCATGCTGCAGCTTCTATTCCTACAGTTTGACACTGGCTGTGTTAACACTACAGTGCTGAAGGATACACCCAATCCAAAATACTCTGCCTTTTATACTCTTGACAGGCTCCACTTTGAGTGACAATCTGTGAACATACTTTATGTTCTCCAATCACACACCAAAGTGCATGAGTCATACATTTCCATGTGTGATAAGAGGATCTTTGTGTCACTCATAGGGATGAGAACCAATGACAGGATAATAACAACAGGAAGTCAGCATTATCAGGAAAGAATCTGACCATCTCAATGAAACAAGAAATGCTAAAAGTCTAGTCTCCATAAATTCCAATAATTCATAAGTTTATCAATTCTAACATTTTTTTTAAAAAAACGCATCTCAGGATGCATCAGGTTTAATCGCCCATCCTTAGTTGCCTTGAGAGAAGTGGTGATGAGCTTTTTCTTTAAAGAATTGAGGCAGAGAGTTCTATAGTTCCCAGGCGTAGTGGCTGAAAGCATGCCTATCAGTGGTGGACCGCAGGGGATGAGGGACGTGCAGGTGGCCAGAGCCAGCTGAGCAAAGGGGTGTGTAGAGGAGTGGGGTGTAAGCATCAAGGTATGAAGTGATTTGTATGGCTGAGGAGAGCTGAACTGACTCTGAGGTGACACAGAGTAGCTAACCTCTGCCCCGCTCTTATAGCTCAGTGCTGATGTAGCTGCCAGGCATCTTGGTGATTTCCAGGATGTTGATAATGGAGAACCTCTGTGATGGTTGTGCCATTAAAGGCAGAGGGAGGTGGCCTGTGGAACTTCTGCAGCAGTGATGATGGTCCCCTAACAACCACAATCATCTTTCTGTGTTCAAGGTTTGACTCCAACCACTGTAGTTTTTTTCCCTGAGCGACCTCAGCACTGCATCTACTCTTTTTTAAAAAAACTCTTCTCTCCTGAAGGTAGCGACTGATGCTTTAGTAAACCGTGGATAGCAACAACAAATGGCAACAAAATTTATTTGGCACCCTTCACATGGGGTAGAGTCTTGGAATGTTCAATAATGATAAGGTTTACCCCGAGTCAGAGAGAAAGGGGAGGTTACCATAGGCACGGTCAAAAAGGAAATTCTTTAGTATGATTTGAAGATGAGTAAAGAGTGAGCAAGGCAGAGACATTGAGGCTGGGACTTCCAGAGGTTCAGGGAGTAGTCACTGAAGGAACAGTCGCTGATGGTGGAACGGAGGGATCGGAGGACATGCAGACGGCCTGAGTGAAGGGGATAGGCAGAGAAGTGAGTGTGATCAAGTTAGAGAGGTTCAATGGCATGAAGTGATTGAAGGTGGGTGTGAGGATCTTGAAATTGATTTGTTCTGCAATAGGGAGCCATGGGTGAGGTGAGGATATGAGCACTGGAGTTCTGAATCAGATGGACAATCAGAATCAGATGATTATTAAGTGACCATATCTGCTGTGTTTATGTTTACAGCTTTCTTGTTCATGGGCAACATCACATGACACTGGTCTCACCATCTCCTGCCAGCCAAAGCTAGATTGATGTGAGAAAACACTTGAAAGGTGATCTCACAAACGCCCAGAGTAAACATTATACCACTTTTGTGGTACCATCGCACCCAGGAATCATGGTGTGACATTGGTACCAGAGTAGTTAACTCTATTGAAAACACAGAAAAAGTATTTAAATCAAGTGTTTCCATTCATAACAACAAAAAAAACAACAAATTACATTTGTATAGCACTTTTCATGGGGGTTTGGATCAGGCGGGGTGGAGGGCAGGGAGGGTAGGGGTAGGAGGGTGACCGAAGGCGTGGTCAAAGAGTCGTGTCTTGAGACAAGCTTTGAAGGAGACGAGGGAGGGGACGAGGTCAAGGACTGTGAGATGGAGTTCCAAAGTATGGGGGCAGAAAGGTTGAAGACCCGGGCGGGCCTGGGCATGGAGCAGATCGGAGCCCGTGGAGCGGAGGGAGTGGAGCCGGTCGAGGGCGGGGGAGCCTGGTGCAGGAGAAAACACGAGCTGCAGAGTTCTGAATCACCTGCAGCTTGTGGAGGGAATAATCGGGAAGGTCGACAAGCAGGGAGATAGCGTCATTGACCCTGGATGTGATGAATGCGTGGATGAGGGTCTCTGAGGCCTGAGGGGAAAGGCAATGGTGGTGCCGGGCGATATTGTGGAGGTGGGGGATGTCAGAACTGCTCATGGTATAAAGGATAGTTGAGGGTCTAACAAGGCTAAGGTTCTGTACTGGCTCAGTGAGGTGGCGAGTACATCGATGGATGGTGATACTGTCAGTGCCTGAGATGTAGAGGCGCTGATGGGAGCCAAGCAGGATTAATAAATGTAACTTGTTTATCTCAGGTAATGTGTATATGAAAGGGACTTTCCTGAGGCCATGTGCAGTAACCCTGCAAAACAGATGAATTAGGCAGTTTGTTGCTATAATTCTTTACATTCCCACCTTGCTAAATGAATAGAGTTAAATTGAACAAACAATATGCTGTTGACTGCTCCAGGCATAAACTCTGCAGAAAAAGAGTCCAGATGAGCAAATTACTTGAGTTTTGAAGCAGTTTGCTATAATAATAATCCTTGCATTTGATATAGCGCCTTATCACATCTTCGAGACGTCTCAAAGCGCTTCATAGAATATACTGTAAAGTGAATTGTATTTTGTGGCCAAAACGTCATAATGCTACGACTCGTATTTTTGGCTACTTGGTTGCTGATGGCATGTGAATGTTATATCTTGAAATACTAGAGCACTGCAAGCCATTGAATTTCAAGGCTCAAACAAAATTAATCATCAATTGGACAAGGTACAACTCATGCTTTCTCCAGAATCAGCCCACCAGATGCAGTTACCTCATCTTCACCTGTGTACACAGTACTGTGAATGTTGTGAAATGCTTTGAGATGTCTCCCTGACATGAAATGCGTTTCATCAAACACATTTCACGATTCAATATTTGGTAACTGTTTGATGAATCCACAATGTAGCTCCCCATTGAACTAATTATTGTTCACTTGAAAGCAGTGTTTGTTCCTACAGAAACACATCAAGCATTGTGTGCATTCACCAAACACCGAGAGGAAACTGTAAAGGACTCATGTCTGTAGGACTTATTTATAGAATGAGACACGCAAGACGCTGTGTAGATAAATACAACAGTTATTTGAATTCAGGTATAATAGTGCATGAATTGACCTCAGTAGTATTGCAATAACTTATATCATCCAACCTCCTGGTCTATGTCTATTTTCCAAAATGCAAAGGAAACATCCCTATTTCATAATATGAATCTATTAAACCCTGCACTCCATCTGCACTCGATTGTTAAAATATAGTTTTTGAATAGTTGTGACTTCTGCATTCAGTATCTTGCGTATTCAGTAAAAACTAACAAACTTCCAAGTGATTGGAATGTTGTTGGGTTTATAAATACACAAAGCTCTGTGCAAGTCCAAACACATAACTCCAAAATGCTCTGGGTGGCACTTTTCATTGTACAACTTTGTAGATTAACACCATTATATCAGATGAACCTGCTGATACAAAGATTTCATTTGCAAGATTCACAAAAGGATGAATAGTAAACAGCAAGCCTTGCAGGCTACGGATGTGTCCAATAGTAACCCTCTTGGGGTTTAACTTCCATGTAGCAGGATTGCAGCTAAGTAGACTCCTAGTATCTGAGTGAAGTCAACAACAACTCGCACGTATATAATGCCCTCCATGCCGGGTGGCGTCTCAGAGCGCTTAACTATGGTGGAGCCCAAGGTCGAGCCTGGGATAGGGCTGTGACCGTAGGCGCGGTCGAAAAAGAAGGTCTTCAGGCGTGTCTTGAAGATGGGAAACGAGGGGTTGAGGTGAAGGGGTTGAGGGAGGGCGTTCCAAAGTTTCAGGGCGTAGTGGCTGAAGGCACGGAGGATTCGGGGGACGCGGAGGAGGCCAGAACCAGTAGAGCGGAGGCAGTAGGTACTGCTCTGGGGAGAGAGGAGGTTACAGAGATAGGGAGGGTGCTGAAGGACTGGCCTCAGATACATTGCAGGCTTCACTATTTACTATTATTTTACAAATTAGCCTATTATTTCTGTGTCTGTGTATACGATGTGTGTAGTGTATAATGTGTGTGAGAGAGGGAGAGAGAAACTCCAGAATTTTCATATAGCCCCAGACTATTCAAACCTGGCTTCCTTCTTCACAAACTATATCAAGAACCTTAGAAACAAAGAACCTTAGAAACAAAGAAAAACAGGAATAAGAGGAAACCATTCATCCTATTAAGCCTGTTGGGTGTATAATTCCACTAATTTGTTAGATCTTAGTAGGTCTTTTAATCTCAATAATCTCAGTTTCTAGTAACTCATGGAAGCTTCATTCCAGTTTTGTTGCTTTTTGCTGTACCCTTTCCTACAGTAATAAGGCAATCATATCACTTTCCTGGCATATTATAGACAGTGATACTATCATATTAATATATATTATTACTGTGTCTGAATGTTTGTTATTATTTCACTACATCAAGCAGCAAGATCACGCTGACAATTTACATTAAATAAACACTTTCTATGCATGAACAATTAAAAATGTTTTACATTTTCCACTCTATGGATGAGATGTTAAACTAAGTTCCCATCGGTCTGTTCAGATGGATGTTGAAGACCTCATGGCACTATTCAAAATAGAAGAAAGTTTCATCCAGTATCTAGTCAGCAAATCCCCCCAAAAGGAATTGTTCATTCATTTCATAACTCTTTGTGGAACATTGCCATGTGCAAATTGACTGCTTTGTTTTACCTACAGAATACACAATCACAAACATTATAGTAAATCTTGTTATATAAAATGCAAGGATTATTTAAATCTAAAATTCATTTCACGGTAATCATTCTGTGCAACAAAAAATAACAACTGCAAATGAATTGATAATTAAAACATTTAATAAGTACAGCTCATTAATTTTAAGACATCTAGGATAAAAAAGTACAAATATTTATATCATATAAACAACCACATAATCAGGGCTTTTAAAATACAAAAACATGCAAGGAAATACAAATAACTATAATCCTGATAAAATTATGCATCCATGAGCCATTCACTTGATTTGATTTATTTGCTCGCACACTATTTAGTACTATTAGTAGTAATATGTATTTATTTAAGGTGTAGTTTGGCAAGAGTAAAGGCTTGGGGATGCCAGAGAGTACATTGAGTTCAACCAACTAAAAGTGTGCAGCTTCCCATTGTCAACACTGGCAAGCTCCTAGCTGCTTGTCAAATTAGGATCACTGCACCCATAGTTCCTGTTCTTCCAAGTTATTCCAATGAACCATTTTAACTGGTGCCTTGGTGTATTGCAGACATAATTAACTCATGATTGAAGGGGGGTAAATTCAAAACAAATCTACGCAAACACTATTTCAATGAGGGAATAGTGAACCTGGGGAACAGGCTCCCTATGGAGATGGCTGAAGCAGGAAGTATTGATTCTTTCAAACACAATTAGATTTTTTTTAGGAAATAACATTATGGGATATAGTACAAAGGTAGTTTGGGGGATATGTGCATGCCAGGAAGGTGGAAGGTGAACTAGATGGACGGACCTTGGTCTTTTTTTGTCTAACATTTCTTATGTTATATACGTAGGATCTGGAATAGAGAACAGCACGTTTCAGGCTGATAACCTTTTGTCAGAACTGTTCTGTTGAAAGTTTATCGACCTGAAAAGTTAACTTATTTTCCTCTCTCTGTAGATGCTGCCTGACCTGCTGTGTATTCCCAGCCACTTATTTTTATTTCAGATTTCTAGCATCTGCAGTATTTAGACTTTTTTTAAAAAAGAAAATATTCCATTGACCGGTTTGGCACCTCTGAGCCAAATGAACCTCAAAAGAGACCCTGCTGACCATTCCCCAGGAAGGACAGATGTATGTATACTGTTATAAACCATTAAGAGGTAGATTAGAGAAAAAAAATCATAGTACTTGTCATCATACATTTTACTTTGTAGATCAACTGACTAAAGGTTACAAAAATATTCTGATTCAATTTGTATGTTTTTAGAAAATATATTCTCACAATTATGAGCCCATTTCTGTCATGTTCAACCACACCTAGCCTTTGAACAAATTCAAGTGAAATAACTACTGTATATTTGCACTTACATTAGCTACTGAATGCCAGACACTATCCTGTTTATTTGTGCAAATACTACTTCAACCCCTATGACGGATAATTGTCTTAATATAATATTGCAATGTATACATTGTGAAACACACCATCTCATGTCAGGTGCCCTTTCTGATAGGTGGGGAGAAAGGACTATGCTCCATTGCGAGAAATGATTTCAGAATTAATTAAATGCAAAATAAAAATAATTACATCTGTAAAACAAAGACTACATGATGAATGATCATACAACGGTCTACCTAAATGAAAATAAATAGAAAGGCTTTAACAAGCAATTGCAAATAACAGAAATTGCAAAATAATTGCTGCAAAATAAATAATTCCATGAAAAATGTTCAAGAAAATATACAACACTGATTAAGTGACGTATCAAATTTATGGTGAGATATAAATTCAGAGCACTGCCTGAGTTTATTTTGTTTGATAAGGCTTCAGGGTTGAAAGTATGCTGTCTTCAAGCAGGATTCAGAAAGAACTGGATATCCGTGGAAACAACTCTCTAACAATGTGACTGGAACCATGCTATAGTAATTTTTTGGGTGATGTGGATACCCATCTAGTTACCAGCAGGATTCAAGGGTTCTGAATCTTGCTAACCCCGTGAACGCCACATACTAAGCCACCATATAAGTGCCATTAAATCAGGACCGTAAGGGAATGATCATTTGCTTCTCTTATCTGCTGCGGACCAGGGAAGCCACATAAATCCAAACCGACAGCACACTGTTGGGGTATGGATGGATGTACACAGCCAGTGCAAACTCGACACGAGGAACCTCAGTCGTGTGGACACCTGTGCTGTGCACAGCTTCGATGATGGGCCTCAGTTCAGAGAAAGGCATGTGGATAGGAAACCCAGCAATCTGCAGAAAACAATTTGACATAAGTACAAAATATAAAATATATGGCTAAACGGATTATTTAACAATCTGATTCCCAATAGAGAGACTGTTATTTGATAGAATATTAAAACATCTCAACAATGTCAATGAACAGAATAATTTTATGTAAAATACCACCACCAATAATAACAAATGAGATTTGTTCACGTCAGGAAGGACATTCTAAGGCATTGCAGGTCAGGGATTTGCCTTTATATAGCGCTCCTCATGCAGGATAGGGTCCCAGAGCGCTTGACAGCTTAGTGGGGGCAAGAGATAACCATAGGCATGGTCCAAGAGGAAGGTCTTCAGGCATGACCTGAAGATAGGGAAGGAGGGGGCAAGATGGAGGAATGCAGGAAGAGTGTTCCAGAGTTTCGGGGCTGAAAGCACGGCCACTAATGGTGGAACGGAATAGCAATATAAAGTGTGAAGGAAAAAAAGATACAGGATTTAAAGTGGTTTCAGGTTGTGTTGTTGGTTTGCAGTTTAAAAGTGATACATTACCCTGTAATCTCCCAGCAGGGCCTGCAGTTGCACACGGTGTTCTTCCCCCACATCTCTCCCCTGGCTCAGCTCCAGTGTGGGTAAGAACTGCCGCAGGGTAGAGCTGCAGTACCTGTTCCAGCGAGTTGGATGTCTTGGTCTCCATTCCATAATCTTCTCTTTCAATATCTTTTCAATCCTACACAGGGCAGGACGATTCATACCAATTATTAAAATTTAATCATTCCCATTTTAAAGATGGAACAAAAAGATTCCTATTGTTAGTGATCCGCATATGATAGGCATCACATAACGATTTGTTTAAATCAAACAGGATATTATCTTTGAACTTTCGCTATGACAAGGTTATCATTCATGATGTTTGAGATGTACCTGTCTCAGTGTCGGAGCTGAACCCCTGCAGATGGGGACCTGATAGAAACCTTTGAAGAGAAGTTGCGGTTGAACAAAAGTAATGGAAAAGCTGACATGCGCTCTGCATTTCAATAATTTGACTTTTCAAAATGGTATTTTATGTTCAGATCACTTGAGACATTAAACTGATGATTCTCGTACTATTTCATTAACAAACTGACAGAACGCTCAATAGCAGGTCTATCAGGTCTCAACAGGGCAGCCAAAAATGCTCTCATTGCGTGCTATTCACAAGCTATTTGATATACAATCTCTTAAAATGGAGTCGACTCTGTATTCTCTAATTTGCTGCTTTGTATTTCATTAAAACAATAAAAACCCTCATGGAAATTTTATTTAAAGTAGATCAGCATTACTTGTCTTGAAGTTCTGCTGCAGCTGCCTTCTCTGTGCGTTGATAAATAAGTTCTTCAGGCTGAGAAAGAATTAAACAGGTGGGTATGTGAACACGTTATTTTGTTGGTGTGTGCAATGCACATACAAATTAAGTTAAAAAAAAGACAGTTGCTATTAGTACAGGTGTTCTGTGTTGACATCAGTGAATTATCTCATCAAAAACCCAACAACTTGCATTTATATAGTACACTTCACACATCTGAGAGGACTTTTTAAACACTATTATTATGTAAGAGCATTTCTAAAACTGAAAACCTAAGGTCTTCATTTTGATCGACGTGGCAGGCAATTTGCACACACCAATGTTCCACAAACAGCCATGAAATGAATGACTAATTTTATTTAGGGGATTGTTAGACAGGACAATAATTTCCCAAATAAATACCCGTCTCTTTTCAAACAGTGACATGAGATCTTTAAAAGCCACCTGAACAGGAACTTGGTTTAATATCTTATCTGAAGCACGGCACCTCTAACAATACAACAACAACTTTCATTTATATAGTGCCCCTCACACAAGGTAGCATCTCAGAATGCTTGACAGTGGCGGAGCTTGACACCTTGTCGGGGTGGGCGTAGGAGGTGACCGTAAGCAGTTATAATAATAATAATAATCCTTGCATCTGATATAGCGCTTTTCTAGACGTCTCAAAGCGCTTCACAGAATATACTGTAAAGTGAATTGACTGTATTTTTGTGAGCGAACAAGGCATCCAATTGCGCACAGCAATGTCCCACAAACAGTCGTAGATTGAAAATGACCAATTTATTATTTTTTTTGTTTTGGAGGGATCATTATTAGGCTCTGTGTGGAGTAAGGAAACTTGCCTAAGGTTTCGCTCTGCCTGGAATTGAACACAGGTCTCTCGCTTGCAAAGCGAGTGCTCTAACCACTGACCTACAGGACTCCAGTCAAGCACTTCTTGAAAATGGAGAAGGAGGAGGCAAGGTGGAGGGATTGAGGGAGAGTGCTCCAGAGTTTCAGGCAGTAGCGGCTGAAAGTGTGGCCGCCAATGGTGGAACAGAGGGAATGAGGAACAGGCAAGAAGCCGGAGCCAGTCGAGTGGAGGCAACGGTCGAACACCCCTGCACTGAACTGGAATGTCAACATAGATGATGCGGGGTCAATGTCCCAACACAGGGCTTGGACTCCCAGCTATCTGTCTCTGCTTTTGAAAGGTTGCTAAATATTTAACTTCTTCATATCAGAAGTGGTGAATTTGTAAAGGAATTGTTTAAAAAAGTGCCTATTTACACATATGATCAACTGTGTGCTTAAGACAATATTTTACCTATATTATGAGAATTTACGAGAGCCTTAGCCAAGACTGAATCTCTGTACTTAACACCATACCTGAATAGTTGACAAGCCTGGAAATGGGAAACTTCGGGAGAAAAATGGCTTCCAAAGTTTGGATTTGCTGATGTCAAAATTTATTCTCATGACTGTGTCATATTTCTGTATGTTGAACCAGATCTAGAAAAGAGTTAAAATATGGATTAGCCCAAATAAATACAGTGAACTGATACATTCCTAGAATTACATTACTTTTGTATGAGGAAACTGGCAGCAGAGATTCTTCACACTCAGATCCAGACAAAGCTTCAAGTCCTGTCAGGGAGGTTGGATAAGCAGTAGAAAGTTTGCCCCCACAAAAATGCAGCAAGTTACAGCAACTATAAAACATTGATTCATTAACTAGACCTTGTACTAAATTTACTAAACATAAACATAGGAAACATTTTATGGTCCCTTCATTTAGGAGCTACAGCATTTAAAGTATGCCCAATGTAACATTTAGCTTTAACAGCGTCAAACACACACACACCACTCATCATCCATCAAACTTTCAAAATTCTGCAAAGATGACATGAATACTTCATCATTTGTCACATTTCATCACAGTTAATTGGAGAAAAACTCACATTGTCAGCACTAATCAAGCAGCTGACATTCTGCAGAGGACAGAAGGCATCAAACTGTCCATAATACTGTCCAGTGGTGCAGTTCCAAATCACATACTGATTCTGTTCATAGGTCAACACGTAGGCTGTTGGACCCTGAAATGAAATTTGAGTACTGTACATTTTTATACTGAAATTCCTAGTTTGTGAAAGTCAGCAACTGAAATGTTTATAAACTTCCAAGAAAGAACTTTGGAAAAGCAAAGAACACCAGAATCCCAAGGCTAGATTACAGATCAACTTCGTTGCTACATAGTTAACAATTTCCCTCTTGAATTTGCTAATACAATCTGTTTCCAGTGTTCTTGGGTAGTCTATTATACACTCGTCACTCTGAGTAAATAATTAAATCTGTTCATCTTCTCTCTTGTGTGCACAAGGCCTAAATTCATAATTTTGATTTTATTGCTGTACGCTGATTGGAAATATTTTATTGTTGATTACTGGGGAAGACTATGAGGTGACTAGGATGGCCCGTGATTGACAATTATCCTGATTAACTGTGATCTCTCTCAAGCTGAATGATGCTCAACTTTAAAGTTGATTTAAGTTGATATTCCCCAAACCAGAACCGAAATGCTGAGGACTGTGCAGCAGCAGGCTCAAAACTGCTGCCAGCCAACAACAGGAACCGAATTTTGCGTAAAACCATTTCATGAAATGGGGGATGGCAAGTTCTCCATATCTAATATATATTAACGCCATTAATTATGTCCAATCTGAATTATCCTCGTGTCCCAGCATCCACGTATTTTTTTTAGATGCACTGTCCTGGTCTTAACCCTCCATTGGGTACTCTTGTTTCAATCTTCTGGGCAAAGAGGTACTTCCTGGTTCCTGTTCTAAATTGCCCTTTGAAACCCTAAACCTGTGTCCTCTTCTGTCTCGGTGCATCAGAAAGTATTGTTCTAGGTTTAGTTTTTCAATTCCATTTAACATTTTATGTAACACTACAAAGGTCCCCTCCCGTTTCAAAACTTTAGAGCCCTAGTTGTTTAGTAAAGTGATTGCTGTCCAGTTTGATTAGATTAAAGAGGCAAATAAAAACTAATACAGGTTCACAGCTTTCGGGATTATAAATCAGCACCAAAGGCTGTGGAAACTTTGGAGAGGCTGTGAGAAAAAAAGAAATAGCCTCTTACCTCAGGAATGGCGGTTCCTATCACCAGCCAAGCTTTCTTCCCCATTGCTAGGAAATAGTTACACAGCAGAACTGCATGTTCCTCTTCATCACCTGCCAGCAAGTCCAGGAATTGCTGGATTGAATGAAAAGATCAAAAGTACACCACTGCTTTCAAACTCACATTAAAAGTGTATCCCCAGACACAGGTGACCAGACAGCAGCTTGGTGCTATAAAGCCAGCTTTAATCTTTTCAGTCCCATTATCTCAGCCAGCGTAACTGATACCAGAAGAGTCTAAACAAAGCCATCACAAAGCCATTTCATTTTAAAAGCCCATTTCTACATATGGCACGCTTATTTGGCCAAACATGGAAAAAGTTACATTGTTGTACTTATAAAAAGGTACAGAGGTGACTATGATTAAGCGCTTTGAAATGTCTAGAAGACGTGAAAAGCGCTATATCAAATGCAAGGATTATTATTATTATGATGATTGCCTGTCCCAACCACTCTTCCATTTTTAACTCTTTCCAAACGCACAAAATTGGTAATAGACCACATTAAGAGTTTATTTGAATACCCAATTTAACTATATATAGGTGTCTCCTTGGCTCAGTTAGCAGCACCATTGCCTTCTTCAGAAGGTTGTGGGTTCATACCCCACATTGGGACTGAACTGTTATAGCCTAGGCTGATACTCCAGTTCAGTGCTGGGAAGCTATGCTGTCAGGCTGATCAGATTCCATGGCACTATTTGAAAAATAAGTGATTTTCTCCTGGTATCCTGGTTTTCAATCCCCCAGATAAAATTGCTCATTCATTTCATGGCTGTTGTGGAACAGTGCTGTGCACAAAGTGGCTGCCAGTTTCACCTATAAACACATGGTCAGTGCACTTTACAGTAAAATTCTGTGTAATGTTGTGAGATGGTTCAAGGCACTATATTAAGTGCAAGGGTCATTATTGTACAGCAATGTGTGTTGCTATATTACCACTTTATGTGTGTGTTTTGAGGAAGATGGGAGTGGTGGTACATTTACTGGGCTTTGTGAGCTTATAAACTCACCAATGGAGAATGGGATGTTATAATAATAATAATCCTTGCATTTGATATAGCGCTTTTTACGTCTTCTTGACGTCTCTAAGCGCTTCACAGAATATGCTGTAAAGTGAATTGATCGTATATTTGTGGGCGAAACGCGGCAGCCGATTGGGCACAGCAGTGTCCCATAAACAGTCGTGGATTGAAAATGACCAATTTATTATTGTTTTGCTTTGGAGGGATTACTATTAGACGTGTGGAGTAAGGAAACTTGCCCAAGGTTTTGCCCTGCCTGGAATTGAACCCAAGTGTCTCGCTTGCAAGGCGAGTGCTCTAACCACTGAGCTACAGGATCCTCTATGTTCTCCCCCATCTCAATAAGTTTATCGATCCCCAGAGAATCTAACAAATGTTGCAAAAGTTCTGCTATGTAAGAGGTTGTAACATGAACATTCATGAACCCATGTACATAGTAAAATCAGAAAGATTAAGAATTATAAAGAAAAGTAAGAAAATTAATTGATAAGATAACCTAACAATATTACTTATATCTGAAGTACTAAGAAGCAATAGAATTGGGTGATATTACTTACATCTGAAGTACACCATAAGTCACAGATTCCAGCAAATGACACACTGTCAGGCAGGAAGGGAATCAGAGAAACATAGCGAGCCACCAGATCCTAAAGCACAAACACACACACATAGTTAATAATAATGTTAAATCTATTAGTACAACATCAACAACTTACATTTATATACCATTCTTCACCCCACCCATTGTAGTCTCTCGGCTTCGCTGAATAATGGCGTAGTTTGATGCTGAACCAGGGAGAAAGGGGACGTGACTGTAGGCACTATTGAAGAGGAAAGTTTTCATGTGCAATTGGAAGATGGGCAAAGAGTGGGCATGACAGAGGGCAGGGCAAGATATGCCCACATTGAGAAACAATATTAAACTAAACAAAAAAAATTTAACTGAACAATCAGATCATAACTGAATAGAGGAAAAAGCATAAGTGCATAAGATTGATAACTCAATCAGAGTCTTGAAGATGATGAATTGAAATGCAATTAAAATGCTGAAAACACTGAGGTTCTCCTTTTGCAATGTATTGCTTTGCCTTGCAGAGCGTACAATTTTTTTTTAAAAATTCACCAATTTATCTCAGTTAAACAGAGCGATGGTCATAAACAATGATCTCATCTCAGGCAAGTGTCAGAGAAGAGACTTTCTTTTAAAAGATGTTTCTATCATTTTTGACATTGAGTAACTACATAATTAAAGTCACCTGTACACATGCGTTTACACAACATGCATATGAGAGCCCACTGTTGATTTTTTGGAGTTACATGGCAAGCAGACTTATTGTCTATTGGCTAAAAAATACTGTATTCTGCCTTACAATTCATCACACCAACAAATATGATTGGTTGCTTAAATGGGGTTCCATTGTAATTGATTGATAAAAGCATGGAGCAATGCACCTTAAATCTCTAAATTTTAAATTGCCAATACAAAGTTACTCACTGCTGAAGCCTCAGGGTTATTTGGGAAAGCATCCAATAGCTCCTGGGGTGGACTGAGAGGCCCAATGAACCTTGTAATGAAAACCATCTTGCCACTGAGATCGGTCACAAAGGTGAGGCATCGCCGCTTTGGGAACTTAAGCTCCATTTCCTTCTGGAACTTCTCTGCTGCTTGGAGCAGTTTTTCATCCTCTTGAGTCTCAAACTGAAGACAAAATGATGGCAGTGCACAGTAAATAAACATAATTATCAGAATATTAGAAAGGTTTTGCTGAAATCTGTTGCAATACGTTAAGATTGGATATAAAAAAGGTTTATATAAAAATCTTGTTGGCACATCAGAACACTTAGATCAGCTGTACAGAATATGACACGTTTTAAACACGTTTTAAACTAAAACAACCAGAATTTGTTTTGAATTCTGCTTTAAATCTATTTTACTTTTTATATTAAAGGATATTTCTGATAAAACATGCAGCATGATACCTGCCTTTCAACACCGCTCAACCTGTTAAGGCCATGGCACACATTAATGAGGGCACATCTACATCCCCAAGTTTCAATGTTTTAACCAGATGGACTAGTTGTCAATAATAATAATAATCCTTACTCCTTTCACATCAGGAGGATATCTCAAAGTCCTTCACAGGATGCACTGGAATATGGAGTGTCTCTATACCTTGTGGGTAAACATCTACAGTGACTTGGATTGCTGTGGAACATGCCTGTCTTTGCATCTCCTCAGAGCTAATTTAGCCCCACAGAAAACTTCCCCTCCAAGGTACATTTTTTTAAAAATAATGAAATGTTTTTCTTTGATCTCAAAACACTGGGGAGCTGAGTGGATCCATTAGGATTGAAATTCAGAACCTTAGGGCCCCAAGTTAATTCATGAACTTAGAACATACGACTCGTTTTAATTGAAACAAAGCCTTGAGTTAAATTTTTACCTTTTTTAGCATCTCAATCATCTGTAGAAAGCAGCAGTAAATGTGGAAAAGAAAAAAAAGGCATAAAGAGCAAATCCAGAACAACACAAATTAAAACTGTGAAATTGTCTAAAAGGGAAGCCAATACCCACATTTTGAGTTATTGTTTTCCATACATGGCTAATAAAATTACATGTGTATTTCCAGGGATGTTTTTTTATAAAGTTATTTGCCTTCTCTTTTCATATGGTTTCTAAATCATTGTAATAAAGTGCTATGCCTTTTGTGAAATGCAGCCTTTTCATCATCTTATCCTGGTTGATTGCAATTAATTGTAAGTGAGTGAATGTGATTGATGAGACAGGGTGGTTTCTTCCATTTTGCTTCAGAGCAAACACTGCACCTTTCACTGTTCTTCTTAGAAACTATGAAAAGGCAAGTTGGAACAGAGCAGGGGAGTAGGGATTTTTCTACTGTGTGTTTGACATCAACTTTTGTGCTAGAAATCTCTTTGAAAATAACTTATTCTTGTTATGAACAAGTCTATTAACAATTTTCACCCAGCATTGACATACATTTCCGTGGAACAGTCTAATAACCTTGCTTTTATGCATTTTTTTAAATAAGTAACTAACTATAATTCAGTTTGAACTAACTGAACCATATTAGTATAAAAATGGCTTTTGATGCATGTTCCACGTATGAATAAATAGCTTTGATAAAAGCTTCATTTCCCAGTGAGTTATGTGAAGCATTCTCGTGACATTATATAAATGTCAAATATTATTGTGTAACAAACAGGAATGGTAAGTGATTTGGATCGAAGACATATCATAAAGACACTTCCACTTAAAAGTTCTAGTTATTGGAAACAGCACAAAACAAACACTTCCAAAAGAAACATTAGCACTTCAGCTCTGCTCTATACAAACCCAGATACGTTCAGAGAAGCTTATAGGTGAGCTAATACAATGTAATATTTCACCAATAAATTTTGTGTCACTCAATCCACAACTGTTTGTGTGCAATTGGATGCTGTGTTTCGCCCACAAAATATACAGTCGATTGACTTTGCAGTGAAATGCTTTGAGATAAGGTGCTATATCAGATGCAAGGATTATTATTATTAATAAGTGAATAGTTATCAATTATTAACATCTTGATCAGACACTTAGCATCAGATAAACATTATATTCTTTCCTACATAGCATTACTAAATAATTTGCACTCTTAATATCTCTACGTGACACCTACTCTGAAATAATGGAAACTGATCCATAATCCTAGCTGTGCTGTTTCGAAACTCCAGTGCCATTTTTTTCTCTCCTCTGCTCCTCTCTCAGCATCCCATTCATCATAGTGGCTGCAACAAGTGCCATAACTATCCCTACAATCTGAGGAAAAGTTCAGCTCATTAACCCTCACTCACCAGTAGCCAAAGTACATCACAAACACTCTAACGCCTTCATTTCCTTGAGTCAGAGAATTGCAGAGAATGAACTCCTTTCAGCGCCTTGAGACTTCCTCCCGACGTGAAAGGCGCTATACAAATGTAGTTTTTTGTTTTGTTTGTTTGTTTCAAAGGGTGGTGGAAGCAGAATCGATAAAGCTTTTAAAAGGGAATTCGATATGTACTTAAGAAGGAAAAATGTGCAGGCTATGGGATAAGAGAGGGGGAATGGGACTAGTTGACATATCTTTCAAAGAGCCGGCACAGGCACATTGGGCCAAATGGTCTCCTTCTGTGCTGTAAGATTCTATAAATTCATTCTGCCATGCAGTTCCCTGAGGTGAAGGTGCCCCTGTTTAATTCTCAAGCCTGCATGAAAACACTGTTGTCTCCACACACAAGACTGAGAATAAGAATTTAACAAAGAACTTGCACTTATATAGCATGTTTCATGTAGGGATATGTCTTGAAATGCTTCACATTGATGGAGTGGAAGCCTGAGTAGGATGAGTGTGGGTAGTGGAGGGAAGAGGGAGGTTTTGTAAAGAGAGAGGGAGGATGCAAAGTGAGGGATTTAGAGAGCATTCCAAAAAGGGGGGTGGGGGGGCAAAGTAGCTGAATGGTTGTCCACTAATGGAGGGGCAGAGCAGTGGACAATGTGGAGCAAGCATGAATTAGCAAAGCAAACGGAGTGGTGGGGGAGTTGGTCTGAATCCTCTGTGTGATGGGAAGTCAGTGGATTTGGGCAACGATGGGGGTGATAGGGTTGCGGAGCATGGTGCAGGAGAGGACACGGGCTGTAGAGTTCTGGATGATCTGCAGCCTGTAGAGGGAGGAGTTGGGGAGGCCGACAAGCGGTGAGTTTGCAAAGTCGAGAATTGATGTAATGAAGGAGTGTATGAGAGTTTCAGCAGCCTGCGGTGTGAGACAGTGTCAGAGCCGGGCGACATTGTGGAGGTGGGGGAAGGCAGAGCGGGTCATGGCGCAGATGTGGGGTAGAAAGAATAGTTGAGGGTCAAACAAGACCCCAAAGTTTCGGACTGGCTTAGCAAGGTGGAGTGTGCATGGATGGTGATGCTGTCAACGCTCCATAAATAGCTCATCAAGATCATTTGCAGTATAGTTGGAGTGGGAAGAACAGTATTGTGACAGAGGGAATTTGAACTGACCATGTTAAATTCAGGAATTTTGTCTTAATAGAAACATTTGGTGGTACATTACAACAAGAACAACAAAATTATATTTATATAGTGCCTTTCACGTTAGGAGGACGTCCCAAGGTGCTGGACAATCAGTGATTTGAACCCAAGCTGGGGTTGGGATTGGGAAGGGTGGAGTGCAGGCGGGGAAGGATGGTGACCAAAGGCACAAGCGAAGAGGAGGGTCTTGAAGGAGGCGAGGGAGGGACGAGGTGGAGGGACTGTGGAATGGAGTTCCATAGGATGGGGGCAGATTGCCTGACGGCCCGCCCGCCAATGGGCGGGTGAGGTGGGGCCGTGAAGCAAGCTGAGCAGAGGGGGCGGGAGATTGGTAGGGGGTTAGGAGGTCACAGAGGTAGGGGAAGCAAAGCCATGGAGGGCTTTGAAGGTGAGGACCAGGATCTTGAACTATTTTCTCTGTGTGATGGGAAGCCAGTGGAGTCAGGCGAGGATGGGGGTGATAAGAGTCGCCTGGTGCAGGAGAGGACACAGGCTGTAGAGTTCTGGATGATCTGCAACCTATGGATTGAAGAGTTGGGGAGGTCGACAAGCGGGGAGTTTGCACAGTCGAGTCTGGATGTAATGAATGCGTGTATGAGGGTTTTGGCGGTCTGCGGTGTAAGACAGTGGCCGAGCTGGACGATGTTGCGGTAGTGGGGGAAGACAGAGCAGGTCATGGCACAGATGTGGGGTAGAAATGACAGTTGAGGGTCAAACAAGATGCCAAGGTTCTGGACTGGCTTAGCAAGGTGGAGTGTGCAACCATGGATGGTGATGCTGTCAATGCCTGAGGTGAGGAAGCGCTGATGGGAGCCAATCAGGACAGCCTCGGTCTCTTGTTGACGTTCAACTGTAGAAAGTTTGCTCTCATCCAGGATTTGATGTCTGACAGATAGTCTGTCAGGACAGCAGTGGTCCTGGAGTTGAGGGTGGAGGCAGAGAGGTAGAGTTGGATGTCGTCCGCATACATGTGGAACATTACCTTTTCTCTTACAGATTCGCCAGGTACAAGTTGAGGTTCAACAGTGATGAAAAGGGACAAATAAGACCCTTCACTAAGGCTTCGAACTGCATCCCACCCTCCCTCGCTGGCATGATGACGCTCTTTGCTGTATCCTAGCAGTACTGGCGGTGTGTTAATCCTGAAGGTGCCATCAATCTGTAAAGCAATGATCAATGATACCTATCATTACTTAACATGTATTGCCATTATCTCACCACTCAAGACAAACTTAATAAGGAACTGAGCTCAGTTACAAAACCAATTGGTAAGATGAATAATGCACAATGTTAAAGGCAAATTATAACAACATTTATCTACCAGTTTATTTCTTTTAAATCAAAGTAGTTCCCGTTGAGATTTGTTCGATTGTCCTCTGCTCTTGCCTTGCCCTCAGAGTCAAAGTCAAATAGCCTGTCTGGAGGTGCTCTCCATCTTATATCTGAAATTATCCATCTTTACTTTTGACAGCTTCACGTTCAAGTGGTGCTCATCGCCTATGGCATGCATTGAGTTGAAAAAGGGGTCTATGAGAAGCCTAAATTGAATTTCCTATATACATTTTGTATAGACTAACCTTAAACTACTGGGGCCATATGTAATATGAGATGTTTATGATGTTATCCTACATGAAACAAATGGAAGTTGTTCTTATTTCTACTACAAATTAACGTTTTACTATTTCAGAAATACCCTCTTGCACAAAATTGTGTTCACCAGTTAAACACAGAAAAAACAATCCTTACCCTAGCCTGGCAGTAAATGGTAGTAAATGGGATCTGTACAGCTCCCAACCAGTGTTGTTCAATACGAGTGTGAACACCACTCCCTCTTTCTCGTTCATCCTAAAAATATGATTTTTTTTTAAAAAATGATTAATAAATGAGTGTCCAGTATTTGTAAAATTATTTTTGCCCATTGATGCCATTTGCTGAATAGTCACAAAAATATTGTGAGATTTACCTCTAAGATGTCATAAACAACTTCATCGAAGACGTTGATGAACACTTCATCTGTGACAGACTGCAGGCTTGCAGTGCTGTAATCACCATTCGGAGCTCTAGACTCAATGCAAACACACAAGCAGTCACCACTCCAGGACTCTTATACACTAAAATACGGGAATTAACACTGCATTCTGCTGATGAGATTACTTAAGAATTGGTTCAAGGAGACGTCATTCTCAGTTAGGTTACTTTTCCAGGCAGAATTCCAGGCACCAACAGTAATGTGGAAAGAACTGTCGGAGTTAATATTTTCCATTTTAATTTATTTTCACTTCTCCTCTACATTTACAATACAATTTATGAATCCAGAGAGCTGTTCATGTCAGCAGAACATCTCAAAGAGCTTTACACAGCTGGTGGGGCACCCAAGATTGGTGGGGGGAGGGGGGAAAGGAGGGCAGAAGGAAGACATCCAAAAGGGTGGTCAAACAGGCAAGTCTTAAGGCGGGCTTTAAAAGTAGGGAGGATAGAGTGAGTTGAAGGGATGGAGTTCCAGAGAGCAGGAGCAGAATAACTGAAAGCACGCCCACCGATGATCAGGATACGAGACCATGAAGCATGTCACTGTTTGCATTTGGATTCTTCAATTCTATTCTTTGGTATTTTTTCCTTTTCGTTACAGTATTTCTATTGAATACTGTATATTTATTTCAGTTGATCTCAATATTATTCCACTTGGACGTTGTTTGAACATTACCATTCTACTGATTGTTTTTCATAGTTACTTTTTCGCACAAAAGATAAATCCACTTTTATGCATTTTGGGTGATTGCCATTTTAAAATGATGTTTTGCAATATAATTCTATTGGCTGCAAACAATAGTTTACGCTCCCAGATTAAAGGTTACCACATATGTCAGCAATTAGAAGGCTGTTGGTGTATGTGGAACTAAAGCATCCAAATAGCAATTATCCTCTGGGTAGGCTGGGTGGTATTTAGACTCAATTATAGAGTAAACTGGCTTTAGGCAACATGACTGACAATGGAATACGGGAATCAAATTGATCCTCCCATCTTGCTAGTCCAGTTCCTGAGACAAATGGTATTGCAGGATTCGGCTGATGACAGACCAGCCAACTGGCTCATCAGCAGGACTTGGAGGAGCAGAACAACATTAAATTTTTATAGTGCCTTTCACATTGGGAAGACGTCCCAAGGCGCTGGACAATCAGTGTTTCGGACCTGAGCTGGGGGTCAGGATCGGGGAAGGTGGAGGGCACGGTGGGTGGGGGAGGGAAAGGAGGGTGATCGAAGACACGGTCGAAGAGCAGAGTCGTGAAACGGGTCTTGAATGAAGCAAGGAAGGGGGTGAGGCAGAGGGACTGCAGGATGAAGTTACAGAGGGTGGGGGCAGAATGGCAGAAGGCTTGCCCATCAATGGTGGGGCATGTGAGGCAGGGGACGTGAAGCAGGGCGGAGCCTGCTGAGCAGAGGGAGCGAGCAGGTTAGAAGAGGGTTAGGAGGTCGTAGGAGGGCTTTGAAGGTGATGACCAGGATCTTGAACTGTATCCTCTGTGTCAGCGGAGTCGGGCGAGTATTGAGGTGATGGGATCACGAGCCTAATGGGGGAGAGGACACAGGCTACAGAGTTCTGGATGATCTGCAGCCTATGGAGGGAGAAATTGGGGAGGCCGACAAGCAGGGAGTTTGCATAATCAAGCCTGGATATTATGAATGCGTGTATGAGGGTCACTACATCACAGACAAATGGAAATTTCTACATATGTTTGTGGAACTCTCAGCACTTTGGTTTGGGTATTTTTAAGCATGGGTTTCCGTGTGTCAGTCACCACCCGGTTATCCAGACAAAAGAATCAGCAGTTTCAGGCAGAGGAAGGGAGAAGTTGAGCAAACCAGAAGCAAAATAGAAAAAGAGTTTTTTTTAAAAAAAATCAAATCAATCCATTTTAATAATTACTGTAATGCGAAAAGAGTTGTTTTTGGTAAAAGTGATGTACATGATGCAGAGGTTTCCTATGGATAATGGTAATTGTCACAGTTTTCCACTCTGTAGTCCTGTGCACTTTTTTTGATCAACACTCAATGTTTTCAGGACAATAAATTAAGTTCAAGGGTTGGGACAATATTCATTTTTAAAAATAAATATATAAAGAACCTGTTAATCTTAAACTAAATACTTAAAGATATTATTTAGAGAAGACCAAAAACTACAAGGTTAAAAAAAAAGCACTACCTGAATGGGAGTTCCAGTTCTTCATTCCAATTAGGGTTTGGACCATCTGCCGTTGCGGTCTGACAGACTGTACGTTGGAATGACACCTCCACAAAAGGACGCACTGATAACTTTAACAAAAAGAAAAATATAACACGTTAAATTGGCCATCACTGACAACAGTCTTCCTCATTGTTGGTTTCAGCAGACCTTCCTTTCTCCTTAGGTTTTTCACCATCCATATAGATTCATACATCATATACTGTATATTCATACATATTCATCAATATTCAGCATGTGACTGTGGTAACACAACTTGCTATTTGAGGAAGGAGTCTTCTTCAATTCCTCAAAGGGTCAGTTTTTTGTGCACCCAATGCATAGAAATAAACAGTTAACATTCCAAACAAGGGAAATTACAGGACACTGGTTGTGTACAAGAAGTGACATCAGAAGTGACCAAACAACCTGAAAATCAGCCATTGATAGCATAAGGAAAGCTGATTGATCTACATACTGAAACCAACCACAGCGCCACAAGACACAGACGTTATAAGCAAATCCGCTTGATAAAGGGATGCCTTATTACAGAATTCTATGGTATTAGGGTTCAGCTTATCAATATCCTTCAGGATCTTGAGTACTTTTAATAAAATCTCCCAAAGCATTCTCTTCTCAAGTGTGAATAGTCCCAGCTTCTAAGAGGTCTGTTCAACTTCTCTCTTCTGAGCTAAATCTTTGTCCACGGATTGGAGTTTATGACTAAATATATTGGAGCCTGCACAGGTTTTAAAAGTGGAAATTTCTAAAATATCAAATTGGATTTACCCATATATACACCAGGAGTGGACTTCCTTTTCCCTAGTTCTCAATGCCAAAGTCTGTGAGGTTGGGTGACCCATCTGTCTTTGGCTCATAAATTATGGCTTTTGATTGCTGACCAGCAGGATTACAACTTTTTAAACTAAACACTGAGAATAAAGCATCTGTTCCACTGACCATTTGTGGAGTCCTGTAGCTCAGTGGTTAGAGCACTTGCTTTGCAAGCAAGAGACCTGAGTTCAATTCCAGGCAGGGCGAAACCTTGGGCAAATTTCCTTACTCCACACGCCTACTAATAATCCCTCCAAAACCAAAACCAATAATAAATTGGTCATTTTCAATCTACGACTGTTTGTGGGACATTGCTGTGCGCAATTGGCTGCCACGTTCGCCCACAAATATACAGTCAATTCACTTTACAGTATATTCTGTGAAGCGCTTTGGGACGTCTAGAAGACGTGAAAAGCGCTATAAAAAATGCAAGGATTATTATTATGAGAAGTTCATCTTTATTCTTCCTCCTCACTCTTCCTCACATCTGACCAAATTTCTCTTATGCATTTGATTTGTATATCTGCTCTCATTCACTCTGCCTTCAAGCCTTGAGCATAAAAATAAAGGACAATGGAGAATTTCTTCCCACCCACTCCTTGCATTCTGGACATCTCATGATTATTCGTACCTGGTTAACAGGCCAGTCATGGCTTTGAGTAGGACTTTGAGGTACTTGAGAAGCTGCAAAGCTTTCATTAATAGACCTCGCTGATCTGGAGGCCAGTGGAGGTTTACTGAATAGAAAGCAAAAACACAAATGACATGTATGAATCTGTATACCTGGGGCATTCATTTTCTCTAGCAATCAACACAAGCAATGTAATACCAAACAATACATATTGAAGCTTTCACGTCTTTACAATGAAAACTCTGATTGCCACTATCCTCCTGTCCACAGCAGGCACAGCAGGCACTGTTCCTCACACATCACTGAACAACATTTCCACCAGTTTGATGTGTGGAGCTTCATCAGCTGCTGGTTACCTCTTTTATCCCACATATGGATTACATATTCTTAGTTTTATTTTCAATGCGTAATATAACTGTAGTATCATTCACTAGCACAGAAGCCACTTTAGAGAGACAAATGTTTAAAGACAAATGGATAACTGAATAGGACAGAGTAGCTCTCAAGGTTACTACTGTTGTTCCTACCTTCCTGTAGTTTTACGTATAGGTAAGTCATAAGCTCGGAGAATGTTGACCAGAAGCTTAATGTCTCCATCTGAAAGGTTTTGGGCAGTGACTTTTTTCCTTTCTTTTCTTCGTGGTTTGAGAGGTCTCTTTGGTTCTGTCAGTCTGAACAAGTTGATACCCAACACCCTATTGATCAGAAAGCAATTGTTGATCAGAAAGCAATTAGCATGAAAAAGTGAATGAGCTCTGTTCACCGTTATTCAAAAGCAAATTCTGAAAGATTTAACTTGGCGAAATCTGCTTGTATGAACCGAAACCAAAATATTCAAAAAACACAAATTTACTGCTTGTAAAATGAAATACTTGCATAGAAAAGTTTATGTTGAAAGGTGCCAGAAATGATTAATAAAAAAAACAACCAGACAGATAAGAGAGGAAGAGAAAGAGAATGGAACATACCCTGAACCATGAGAACTGCAAAAAAAAATCCAAAAAAACAAGAAAACAAACAGTAAGATGCATGAAAGAACATCAACTTGAAAACAAGAGCAGCGAGAAGGAAGTAATATATTTATGTCATTAATAAAAAACTTTTTTTATATCATGAAAAGTTGAAAAACTTTTTTAAAACATTAGAAAAGCAATTGGAAATAAGCAGGAAAAAAAACATACCCTCGATCACCAGAACTGAACAGGCAGTGGAAATAAAGAAACCAAAACGTATGAAAGGAAATCAATGAAAGCAAAACAAATACAGAAAACATTTTTTTTCTCCGCTCACTGATTTTCTCCCCCTTTCAAAAAATTATTTTTCCTATCACGTGACGTTCTGCAATTTTTCAAGAGTGGCCTTCATTCATGCGCTAAACCAGTAGAGTTGGTCGACTATTTGACTGTCAGTGATATTAAAGCTTAAGCTTGATCCTGTCCTTCTCCAACATCCACACACCCGGGTACCCATATTGGGTTCTCTTATTTTGCGATCAGAGGTGGAACCCTGGTTGATTTTCCTGTTCATAACCTGGCCTGGTGAGGTCCAATGCTTATCTGGGTTGGTGGGAAAGGCTGGGCTTAAAGAGAGGGAAACTGGAGAAGGGGAGACAATATTCAACTTGGTTTCAGTTTTAAGGTTGATTGTCTTAACACTTTCAGATTGTGCAAATTCTTAATTTTTAGTCTTAATTTTGATGGCATGTTTCCACAATTCTTTTGATCTGACACAAGAACACTTTTAGCCTTAGAAATTGACATGGATTGATTTTGAAGCAGAGAAATGTTTGTTGGAGACCTTTACTAACTGGGATGTGTAACAGTGAGCATAACACACCAAAGCAGAGTAAGAAACAGAACCAAGAACTAGTCAGTCACAATGAGAGGACATGAATTTCATGAGCTATGACATTCAAAGTCCAACAAGGCAATGCGGTGCAAAGTTGTGATGAGTTATCTGGAAGTTGATAATATTTATTTACACATGGATTCTTCCCCCAAATGCTCAATGCTCATCTGCAAAGTATGCGGCAGATACATGCGTGTGGATGAATGCCGTTAGCACATTTACTACCCATTTTACCATAAAATAAAGCATTTAAAATATGAGGGTCAAAATGTAAATGCAAAAACATACACAAGATGATATTTACCCTATGCTGGGAACCTCTTCTTCTACAACTAAATCAGACAGGATGTAATTGCGCTTTGCCACCAAGAATCTATTCACAACAGACTCTCGAACCTATGAGGGGAAGAAAAAGTAGAAATTGTGATATCTGTATTTTCATCATATTCTCGCTTTTCTAACTGAATTTTAGCTCATGATTCTGGGATTCTGTTGCACAGCTTTTTATTTTAAAATAGCAAGAAAAGGATTTCAACACAGGGAAATGTGGCACAAATAACAACTTACTTGATTGGAAGAAAATGTTAACCATCAAGCATGCACTGCAGAAAGGTTGTGTGTGGAGAATCACAAAGTCAACACATTTTACAAAAAATGTGCTTGAACTGTTGACAAGGAAACAGATCTTGGCTTTTGGTGAAACGCTCACTAGAACTACATGTCGATTGCTCCCAGGAAGGTAAAACAGACAACAAATCTGATGGTCTGCTCCTGCTGAAATTGTTACTGCAACGTGTCCAGTACTGAACTGGCAGGTTTTCATTTGGAGCTTGGAAGGGTTTAAATTGTAATAATGCCTGAAGGTGTGCTTGTAGTTTAACAAGTTAAATTACCTTCTGTAGATACTTTGCTACCTTTACTCTGTGAGCATCTAGGTGGTCCTTTGTGTCAATGATGTCTCTCTCCCGCAACTTCTTTTCATAGTCCTAAGGTAAAAGTACAATAAAACATAGTGCACCCATACCACAAGTTTAACTCAAAACAAAAGCCCCCAAAATTACGACTGTTGTGAATATTGGATTGACTTACTCTTCCCTCCCCACTGCTGCCATTCTCTCTCTCTGTACGGGAAAGATTAAGGACTGTTCCCATCATCCTAACTGTGACCATGTAGAGATCCGCGACTCAGCACATTAGCGCATCAAAATATTTCCCACTGGAAAAATGTAAAACAAAGGTTTTACACAGGACAGACCCATTATAAAGTGTCCTAGTTTAACACAGACCTACTTGTAGTGTTGGCATCCTGTGTTCCCACTCTGTACAGTTTCAATGCACTCTATATACAGGAAGTGTCATGGATAGCCTTTTACAAAGGAAGTGACACCAGCAGCATTTCTTAGAAGTAACAAGCTTGCAATGACATTGAGGAATCCACGACCCCATTTTGGCAGCCATTTTACACAATCCATCCTTATAACGCAAGGTCTGAGTTTATGCTTATGTTCTAGTTTTCAAAGTCTTTCGCACTTATAACACACCTAATAATAATCCCTCCAACAATTGTATAATAACTGGATTATTCTATTTTTGCATCAAGACAGTAGAACAGGATGACACATGTTTAGAGTTACATAAGGCAATTTCAAGACAGACACCAGGAAGTTTCTCTTTACCCAGTGGTAATTAATAACTGGAACAGGTGGCTAGGAAGGGTGGTTCAGGCCAGGATGCTGGACTTATTTAAAAGCAGTTTGATGCAGGGATGGGAAGATGTTAGAGTGAATATTCTAGGACAATGAGGATCAAATGAGGCCAAAAGGCCCTCTTCATCTAAATCAACAGCCGAGATCTTGTGATCTTATGGTAAGACAATACAGCATTGCTGACATCCAAAATGATTTCCAATCTTCGGTATTTCCATGTAGGGTTGTGGGGGGGGAAATAATCCACAAGACAATCAACTTTTTAGTATAGAAAAGAGTTGACAGCAGTCAGACTTATATGCAGCTGTCTGTGACCTGACCAGAGACCACTGGAATGCAAGTTATGAAAACATATTGGTTAAGGAAGAAAAGGGAGGGTGAGCAAAGGAACAAGATAAGGAGGAAAAGTAGTCTCAGCAGGGCACATAGGTTAGTGGAAAAGTACCATCACAAGCAGATCACGGGTACACCAATTAGCTGGGTATGAATACATGGGAAAGTTGAGCTCCACAGAATAAGAACTCGGGCAAGACTTTTGTTACATTGTTGAATAAATTGTCTTGATTGTACAACTCTGTGTTCAGACCTTTATTGGTTAATGGCGAGGATCCAATTATGGTAGAAGGTACCCAACAATTGGCGTAGTCGGCAGGATCCTTGCTAACTGAACAAACAGATGTGTAAGTCCAGAAAGGTTATTCGAACAAACCCGGGAAGCACGGATTGTGGTGGTTCGAGGCCACCCGGATTAAGTGGTTAAAAGGTTGTGTGGACAAAACGTTGTGTGGACAAATTTGACATCATTGGAATAATAGGTGAAGGCACTTATGGACAAATTTACAAAGCCAAGGTAATATATATATATGTTTTACAGTATTGCAATGGTTTGTTCTAGTAACATTTTGAACCAAAGAAATAACTGTTTTGACTAATTTATTTGTTCTAGTTTTCAAAGTCTTTCTCACTTATAACACACCTAATAATAATCCCTCCAAACCAAAAAATAATAAAATTGGTCATTTCTAATCCATGACTGTTTGTGGGACACTGCTGTGCGCAATTGACTGCCGCGTTTTGCCCACAAATATACAGTCAATTTACTTTATAGCATATTCTGTGAAGCGCTTTGAGACGCCTAGAAGACATGAAAAGCGCTCTTATCAAATGCAAGAATTATTATTATTATTATTATTATAAAAGGTTCGAGGCCGTTGTGAAAGTTGTGTGGTTCGAGGCCAGCAGGGTTAAAATTTGTTTTGTTGAATAATTGCGCTAATTGTGTGGTTCGAGGCCAGCTGTAAAAGGTTTGAGGCCTTTTGGGAAAGACTGTGCATTCAATATTAAAAGCGTTCAAGGCCTTTGGTAAAATTGAACAATTTGGAAGAAAGATTGGGACAAATAGTTACTTCTAAATTTGAAAGATTACAGAAGGAGTTAAAAGCAATGAGACAACTGACTGAGCAACGTATAGATCCTTGTGTCTCAACGATATGCCTCCAGACCAGACAGGGAGATGACGTATTGGCTTATCTGAAAGCCCTCAAACAGTTTAGTCTCCTTGATACTTGTGAGGTGTCAAGAAAGTTCAAAATGCTGATCTCTCAAATAAAGAGATTAACAAAAGTTGAGAGAGAGAGAGAGGATGGGTTCATTGAAAAAAAAGAGAAAATAAATTTATACAGCACGGCAACTTTAAAAATCACTGACTGTAGCCACTGACTGTGAGCACACTCACTGTTTCATGCTGATCAATACAGGCTGATGATCAGAGAGAAAACTCTTTGGTTTCCACATAAAGTGAAACTGTTTTTACAATCAATGATCATGTCCAAGCTACAATTGAATCCCTGGTAAAGCTAGTAGTGCAAGTATTTTGAGACAGTAGCACAAATAGATCAAATTTCTATTCCCACTTCACATGATGGTCCCCAACTTTACTGCAATCATATTAACCAACTAAAATGTTTAAAGAAACGGGAGAATTCACTTTGTGATTTGGTTCCTACAGATATTGACAATGGCTCGTTACACCCTATGGAGGTCGATTTCCTTCCAGCAACTTCTTCTAGGACGACATACTTTGCTTATCCTCCCACCCATAAAGCTGGTCTTCACATTCAATTTCAGCTCGACCGACTTGGGGGGGAGATGAGTGGACAAATACAACCCAATCAATCGTCTACTTTACAACAGCGGCCAATACCTGCACAGAGGATAGGGTCTACATTGGCAACCGAGCAGGTTTTGTATGCGTTGGTAGAGCGTGCGGTTATGGGGTCGATGGGTAAACACTGTGACAGTTCAAGAAGAAGTGATAGTATTAAGAATGTCATTGTTCTGATTTATTTTATGTAACGTTTACTTTGTCTATTCCAGTATTTCAGTAATGCTCAAAGCCAGAAGGAAAGGATAGAGAGAACATCCACTGAAATAATATTTAAAATTTCTGTGGCCATACTATTTGTTAATCATGTTATTATTAATAATGATGTGCTGTAATTATTAGTTGAAAGGAATGATGCTAATATTAGTTGAAAGGAATGATGTGGTGGCTGAAGTAAAAGGGAATCGTGAAGATGCTGATGGTGATCATGGGCTGTGTTGTCAGCTTCACCCACTCGAGGTGGGGACTAGACATTTCGCAAACCCAGAATTCTGGTTTGTCTTAAGTTGACCAAAAAGGATATCGCGAAGACTCATGGACTTGTTTTGCTGAAATAGAACTGATTCTATGGACTCTCAAGGACAATGGTAACATCAGTACATAAAGGTTGCCAAGAACAAAAGGAGAATACCAACCTTGATGGATATATTTTTAACCCTACAATGAATGGCAAAAACAAGCTGTTGAAGGTCTCACTGCTGACTTGGCAACGTGACTAAAAAGTTCTAAATTTGGGAACGAAGAAGACAAGTCTAACCGATCTTAAGAAGAGATATTCTACAATCAACATTGATAGAACCACATTAACAAGTTGATTCCTAATCACAGCCACTGTATCAATCTGATTAATTAATTGCACTAAACTTTATTATTCATGTCTTATGCTTTTGTGATCACTGAAGCCATAATTTTATTTACAATGATTGTGTCTTTCTGTTATTTGCGCTCCTATTAAGAGCTACACGAGTGCAATCTGACCAGTTAGCTAGCGTAATAAATCATAGATAAAATGAGAGATTGAAAATCTTATTTTCTCACTCTCAAGATGGGGACTGTTAGTATAGAAAATAGTTGACAGGAGTAAGACTTATATGAAGCTGTCTGTGGGTGGAAAGCCTGACAGACACCACTGGAATGCAAGTTATGCAAACGTACTGGTTTGTGGAGTCCTGTAGCTCAGTGGTTAGAGCACTCGCCTTGCAAGCGAGAGACCTGAGTTCAATTCCAGGCAGGTCAGGGTGAAACCTTGGGCAAGTTTCCTTACTCCACACAGAGCCTAATAATAATCCCACCAAAACCAAAGACAATAATAAATTGGTCATTTTCAATCTACGACTGTTTGTGGGACATTGCTGTGCACAATTGGCTGCCGCGTTCGCCCACAAATATACAGTCAATTCACTTTACAGTATATTCTGTGAAGTGCTTTGGGACGTCCTCCCGACGTGAAAAGCGCTATATCAAATGCAAGGATTATTATAAGGAAGAAAAGTGAGGGTGAGCAAAGGAACAAGATAAGGAGGAAAAGGAGTCTCAGCAGGGCACATAGGTTAGTGGAAAAGTACCATCACGAGCAGATCACGAGTACACCAATTAGCTGGGTATGAATACAACAGACACACAAGGGAAAGTTGAGCTCCACAGAATAAGAACTACAGGTTGCTGAGCCAAGAGCTGGTCATCAGGTAAGACTGCTCGTCTGGTAGTATATTTCTGTTACATTGTTGAATAAACGGTCTCGATTGTACAACTCTGTGTTCAGACCTTTATTGGTTAATGGCGAGGATCCAATTATGGTAGAAGGAACCCAACAAATTTATTCTTCACTACATGGACATGCAAAAGCTGAGCCTCAAGGACAGAAGTAAAAGTTAAATCCGGTTTCATACAATGTCATATTAATCTGATTTATTGAGCTGGATCCTTTATCAGCTCTGTATATTTCTGTGTTGGGGATTGTGCCACAGGCTGCATTGAGCAAAATTATTTACCGGAGTAATAATAATTGTTACATTCCATGTAGCACCAATAATGTAAAAAGTCTCAAAGCACTTTAGAGATAATTGCTATTAAGTGCAGTGACTGATTTCCTCCATAAGTCAGTGGGGTAATGATTTGGACCTTGACTGTCCAGCGCCTTGGGACGCCCTCCTCATGTGAAAGGCGCTATAAAAATGTAATTTGTTGTTGTTCTTGTTGACAGACCTTATTCTTTGTTGGTTGGTAATTACTCTGAGTTTAGAAGGGGTTAGTACAGTTAGTCTAGTACATTTAGCAACAATGGGGAAAACATCCTCACGAAAAGCACGTTGAAAACAATGTTCCCTGTAGTTTTACTGTTCCACCTGAACACAATTCCCTTGTACTGGACAGAATTCAGTGCCCAGGATAATTAAACCTTGGAAGCACAGCATCTCCAGGATAAAAAGATAAAACTCCAATGCAGTTTCACACCTGAGAAATGAGCAAACGTTTCTTACCTGGAAAACTTTTTCCGAGATCTCACGATCCAAAACAGGCACTTGTTTGTAATTTCGGAACTCAGGCAACTCTTGACTCCGGAGATGCAACAGCCGGAACCTCTTGGATCTATTCATTTCTTCGTCTGAGATGAAGTTGAATTCTTCCTGCAGCTGCTCAAGTCTGAAAAAGCCATCAGCCTGAACCTCCCCACTGGTTGCAACCTACAGCAAACCAAGGGAACATGTAGGAATAGACTTAAAATTGCTTGATTGATTGCCCTGAAACCTGCATAAATCAAACTCAATAATATCTTTAAACAAAAAGATATTTATCTCGAAAAAGGAAAACAATGAGAATAGCATGACAGAAATCTTCATCCTTTTTTAAACAAGAAGACTGCAATAAAGATTACAGAGATACAGAGAGCATAGATGGTACAACAAGAAACTATAAAAGTTTCAAAAAGGTTTGCAGTTATTGGATGATGAGATAAATGTATCAAAGGAATATTTTGGTGAGTTGGATGGGTACGCTAGAAGGAATGGTTCACTATTGTCTCAATTAGCAACTATACAAAATAAATACAGTGATATAAAACTCATTTAATCTCAGATTATTACTATCCAATTATTTTTCTCAGTGGGAAATAGTGAATAACAACAACTTGCACTTATATAACGCTCTCCACGCAGGGTAGCATCTCAGAGCGCTTAACAGTGTCCTTCAGCTCTATCTAATTTTAACAAAAGTTCAGGAGAGGACCCCGGCTCATTTCTTTCCGATCACTGGACTGGGGACACTGAGACAATCTATAGTGCAGTGCAGCCCCAGTACAATGCGCTTCTTTGTGGTGCTTGTTTGGTTGCAATGTAATGTAGTCGCTGGGTGGATCCAATTCACTATGCATGCACCTAGCTGGCTTGCTCGCTTCCCGCATGCTGCTAGACTTTCATTCTGGAATGTTTGGGTCATTATATTTGGGACGTACAAAGCAGCAAGTGATGTTGCAGTCAACTGATGACCTAGAACTTGGCCAGTTTGGCTTCCTGTGATTTTACCAGCAGTCTAGGTGTGCACTGCAATGTCAGAGCTGTTAAACTGAGATTCTAACATTTCTTAACAATTAGGGTTGCAATTTATTTCCCTGGAGTCTATGAATTGTCACAGTCAGGGAGAAACTGCATTACACATTTTTTCTCAATACAATAAACCAAACTTACACTTATTAACTGCATGATAGCTGCATTGCTGGGGTCATTTGGGTCAAGCCTGGATTCTGCTGCCCATTTTGCCAGCTTTTTCATGTCCGTCAATCCAGATGCTCCAATAGATGCTATGGCATCAATGTGTTTTAATGCACTAAAATATTTTTAAAAATGAATCGGTTACAGAAGGTCTTAACTGCAAAATGCATTTTTAAAATGGCAAGAGACAATGCAAGCCACACAGAAAATTCACGAACAAGCGAGGTCAGCCTGATGACAGTTTGACTTAAATATAGCTTGTCTGTAGTCGAAAGACTAATTGTAGCAAACAACAGCAACAAATTACATTTATATAGCACCTTTCATATCGGAAGAGTGTCCCAAGGCACAGATTTATGAAAGCTTCATTAGCCTACAATTAGTATTCAATTGTCCAGAACAAGGAAAAAAAAATGCACACATTTTATGGGTTAATGTTCAACACATAAGAGTAACCTATAGAGTTTGTGTATAGATTTGCCAATGGCCTAGAAATTACAAACCGCACATCTTTGAAATGACACAAGTTACCTTTGAACCCCATGGCTTTGTTGAGACATGGGAGGCACGAGTGGTATACCATCCTCTCGCACTCCCCAGGAGACGCTACAAGATAACTTGCCCGAGGTCAACAGGATCAGTTTATTACTTCCATCAGCTTCAAATGAGAATGGCACGTCTGCAAGAAAAACAAAGTGTGAATCCATTTATCTGAAAACAGACTGGAAGTGCTTCAATAAGAAGTGCACCAACACACCACACTACCATACCCGAGAAATAGAAGTTCAGCTCTGATCTAATTATTCCAACAGCTTGATAAAACTTTAAAGAGAACATCTGGTGTAATGGATAACAGGGAGCAATGAGAAAGCAGTCATTAAATTCTGAGGGTCAGAAAATGCCATAAGCCATGAAAGTGAAACGTAAAGAGTTTATATACATTACCGAACATCCAAATATTGAGGGTATTAAAGCAGTGCACCCAGAACCTACCGCTTCCAACTCCCTCGTGGTCAAATGACACTCGCTGATTGTTGCTAAACTCAATTTCATCGGTAGGAGCACCTCCTGTGAGGACGTTTGTCTCCGGGATGGGGATGAACACTTCAGAAAGCTGCGTGCTGTTGTTTCCCACTATTTCGAATATCTAGCCATGAAAAGAGAAGAATGTATTGCACTTTCACTTCCATGATGTTGCATATCAGCTGAACCCTCAACGACCACCAGCGGAACAATTGATACAATCTACTGGTAAGCACGACCCAACACAAAATGTGTATGTGGACATGTAAAGGCATCAACGTGGTATCAGACCAGGAGAAAAATGTAAGTGGGCAAACTGCTCTCTCTGTGGGCTCAGTGCAAATGATGCAGAGCTCCACATAAGCTCACCTAGAGATATACAAAGATTTGCTAACTAGTTCCGACATTTTCAGCGCTTGGGGACGTCCTCCCGACGTGAAAGGCACTATACAAATGTAATTTTGTTGTTGACAGGGCAATTCAAAATTTATATTAATAAAGAGCTGTGATGCAGGCTGAAAACATAAAAGGCCATGGGACAGCATGTAAATCTTAAAACTAAAATCTATTAAAATCTATTAAAGTTTACTTAAAATGAATGTGATGTGACTGCAGTATTAGTATTGTGATATGCAAAGATTCTTATAGTAATACTTTCATTTGATATACTGCCTTATCAGGTCATTGAGATGTCTCAAAGTGCCTCACAGAATATACTGTAAAGTGAATTGACTGTACATTTTGTACGCAGCCAATTATGCACAGCAGAGTCCCACTAACAGTAGTAGATTAAGTGACCAAATTATTTATTTTAAAGTGATTATTATCCTTCAAAGGTGATCCTCCAATCGACTAACATCCGGGTTCCTATTTACAGCTAAATTGGCAGAGGCGTGTGGAATAAGGAAACTTGCCTGTCAACACCTAAATTACATTTGTATAGTGCCTTTCACGTCGGGAGGACGTCCCCAGGTGCTGAAACTTGCCTAAGGTTTTGCCCCACCCAGGAATCGAACCCAAGTCCTTTCGCTTGCAAAGCGAGTGCTTAACTAACATGCTACAGGACTCCACAGAATAAAAGGATATCTACATTTTGAAGAGATCTTTCTTTAAAACTCTAGACATAGGTTATCGATGGGCTATAGTTTTGAGAGTCAGCAAAGATGGTATTGTGATTTGAGTGGAAAGAGGATAGAAGCAATTTGAAGATATTATTCCAAGAAAATTTTCCCATCTAAATCGTGATTTTCTAATTTCACAGGTTCTTGAAACACATTGAAAATTATGCTGCGTACACCCTAAAAACATCTTTCCTCCAAATCAAACAATGGTCAGCAACTGTTGTAGCCAAACACAACAGTCAATTTGCATGAAGCAATATCCTGCAAAAGGCCAATTTTATCTGGAATTTGAATAGTTCTGTGGGATCTTTAATGTCCATCTGAAAAGGCAGACAGGATCTCGGGATTACATCTCAGCCAAAATAAGGCATCTTTGGCAACAGAGGAATATTCAGGAATAGAGTATAGAACAAATTAAAAATCTCAGCCAACGTTCCCTCAAATCAAATTGATCATTCACTTCATGGCAGTGGGATATTATTACTGTGTGCAAAGGTAGAGGGTGTCTAAAAGCACGATTGAAGAGGAAATTCTTGAGACGGACCTTGAAGAAGGCAAGGATTTATTATTATTATTGCTGAAGAAATACCTGAATCGCTATACATTCTGGCCAGTTGACTATTTGAACATTGAAAATTTGTCCAAAATGAATCCTAAAGTCTGCAGGTAATGTCCGGCTACTGGTCCTGGACACCTCTTTGTTGTTAAACAGAACTCTGGAGTAGATGGAGCGTTTCTGCACATCTCGTCTTCTCAGCTGCTCTCCTCTGAGAAGGAAGCAAACATTTGGTGTTGTCTTTCGCACAACTACAATAGGTTTTCACAAACTACATACGGTATTTACAGAAGACACACAATGGTGTGGTCCAAACAAAAACTAAAATTCTAATCCGAATTAAAAGCAAATCGGACTTTTCACGTACTACCCATCTCCTTGGATACATCTTGCCAAACCACATTCCTGAACTATAAAACACAGAGGGTAATTTACTCCTGAGTGTCTTGCAACGCCACCAAACGGTTAACTCTTTAACTGCACTTTTGGTCATCTTTCTCCTCCATACTGAGCTCCCATCCAGGTCAAAAGCCCATTCAGCACTCTGAAATGCTTTGAGCGCTCTGAGTCACTGCCCCATGCTATATAAATGCAAGCTGTTCTTGTTGAGATGGCCTCCTAATTGAAAGGTGTTATATAAATGTAAATTGTATTGCACTGCATAACCCAACCATTGGGATTATGGAAGCATGCGGTGGATTGAATTGGCATTTGATTTGTTTCCTTTTGCCATCTTCACCACATGGCCTTACGAAGGCAGTAAGGTTCACCAAACCAAAGTGCTCAATCAATGCGTTCCAACTGCTTTCTGCAGAATGTTAGAGTCCCAGTGTACAGTGGCACCAGATCATTACTGAGATTTCTTTATAAATACTTTACCTTGGACTTTTAAATCAATAATCTTAAAATTGATCTGAGGTTTGCATGCCAGCAAATTCTGGTGGCCTAGAACAATATTAAGGCTGAGGTAGTTTTACCCAATCGCTGTCATTCTTTTGTACCTCCTAACTAGCGATACTGCCATTATCATAGAATCGTACAGAATTATAAGCACAGAAGGAGGCCACTCGGCCCATTGCGTCTGTGCTCACTCTTTTAAAAGAGCTATCCTAATCCATCCCATTCCCTCGCTCTCTCCCCATAGCCCTGCAAACTTGTGCTCCCCAAATAATGAATTACCTTGGACACTGGCTGGTGGTTGTGACTGTGGCAGCCACTGTAAGTTCTGGGATCAAGATTGGTTCTCCAGGTTTACGGCGAATCATGGTTGCTTTTTCTCGGATTTGCTGCTCCACTGCCTGAATATCCACTTGCTCTGGAGGATCAGGCTTTGGGACGTCTTCACCAACAACTACATCCTCATCATCGGCGCCGTCCTGCTGCTCACCAACACTTTTCTTCTTTTTCTTCTTTGCTCTCTGTCACGGAAACATGAACATACTGTATCACAGTACATGGAAGCAAATGGGCAAGTTTCTGTATAGGAGTCTGAGAATATCAGAGAATACAGAGAAACATGATCTGCATTGGCATTATCATGGATATTGATTTTGATTTGGTGATAAACATTTCAATCAGGATTGGCAGTAGGTAGAAGCTGCTCCTTTTGGCCTAAAAGATATTCAAGTGTCTGGTGGATACAGGATGAAGGTCAATGGGGGAAAAATAATCAAAGCTCAGCTTGGTAATTGGTGAATCTTCCTGCATGACTTACTGTGTCCCAATTTTACCACAAGCCTGCTAGCCCTTTGGTAATGAGGAAAGAGAAACAAATGGAAATTCCAGTGGAGGTTGAACGTGGTTTTCGTTCTGTCTGCTCTAACAGTATTGTCCACGTACAATTTTGCCCAGTGCATTGATGATATTCCTCATCTAATATTGGAAAATTTGGTAACTCACTGATTGATATCCTATATATATCCATGTGCTTAACTGGAGTCAATTATGTTACTTACTTTTGCTTTTCTCCAGGCCTTCCACTCCTCGTACTTAGCCCTATATTCTTTCAGCTTCTTCTCATAGTCTTCTTGATACTCTTCCAATAGTTCTGCTATCTCAGCCTGGATTTCAGATTCATAAGCTGTTTCATCGGCTTTCCGGTCAACCTCTTCTCTTTATTAGAAAGAAAACAAATGGCAGAGCAGAAAGATTAAACTTCTATGTTCTCCACATACTGCAGTGACGGAATTAAATTAAATTAGTTTAAATTAGCCCTTGCCTCCGTTGAATCGTTGTTCTACTCCAAGACAATCTTGGAGGCTAAGGACAACCCCAGGCTCCTCTTCTCCATCACCAACCGGCTCCTCTGCTCAACCTCTCACACCTCGCCCATCCTCACCTCCAATGCTAATTGCGAGGCGATACTGAACTTCCTCAAATCCAAAGTCGAGGGGATCCACTCAGCTGCCTCTGCCCTTCCATCTACTACCATCTCCCTCTCATCCTGGCCCCTACCTATCCCTCCCTCCACACCTTCAAACCTGTCTCCCATCCTCTCTCACCACCACTATAACCCACATGAAACCGGCCACCTTCCCCTTCGACCCCATCCCTACCCCTCTCCTTATCTCCCAGCTCCACCTTCTTGCTCCTGTACTTACAGACATCATAAACCTCTCCCTGTCCACTGGTACCGTTCCCACCCCTTTAAAAACAGCCGTCATTACTCCTACCCTTAAAAAACCCACCCCAGACTCATTCCTGCTCTCAAACTACAGGCCCATCTCCAACCTCACTTTCCTCTCCAAGGTCCTGGAACAAGTCGTTGCTTCCCAGCTTCGTTCCTTCCTCTCTCGCCACACCGGTCATAAATACCTCCAATCGGGTTTCCGTGCCACCCACAGCACAGAAACATCAAAGTGACAAATGACACTCGTCTTAGAGGTAGGTTCACTAGGTTGGTTCCTGGGATGAGGGGATTGACCTACAAGGAAAGGTTGAGTAGACTAGGCCTATATTCTGTAGAATATTGAAGAATTAGAGGTGATCTTATAGAAACCTATAAGATTCTTAAGGGTCTTGACAGGATAGATATTGTGAGATTGCTTCTTCTGGTTGGAGAATCTAAAATTAGGGATCATAGTGTCAGGATTAAAGATCAGCCTTTTAGAACTGAGTTTAGAAAACATTTCTTCACTCAGAGGGTAGTGAATTTATGGAATTCTCTACCTCAGAAGGCTGTGGAAGCTCAGTCACTGAACATATTCAAGACTGAGATCAATAGATTTTTAAAAACTAAAGGGATTAAGGGATACAGGGATAGGGCGGGTAAATGGAATTAGGTTAGAAGATCAGCCGTGACCTTATTAAATGGCGGGGCAGGCTCGAGGGGCCGAATGGGCTACTCCTGCTCCTATTTCTTATGTTCTTATGTTCTTAATTAAATCCTCAGAGATGACACCAGGATGTGAGCCCTTTGTTTTGCTTTCTAATACTACAATACAACAACAACAACAACAACAAGATTCCATTTATAGAGCGCCTTTCACGTCAGGAGGACGTCCCAAGGCGCTGCACAGTTGGGTCATGACCCGAGCAGGGGGGAATGGTCAGGGTGAGGGGAGGGAAGGGAGGGAGAGAGGAGGGGGGAAATGGTCAGGGTGAGGGGAGGGAAGGGAGGGAGCGAGGAGGAGGAAGAGAGTCGAGAGGGGAGCTGAAGGCACAGTCAAAGAGAAAGGTTTTGAGACCGGCCTTGAAGGAGGAAAGGGAGGAAGCAAGGCGAAGGCACTGGGGGATGGAGTTCCAGAGCCTGGGGGCTGAGAGGCTGAAGGCCCGACCACCGATGGTAGGGCGGTTGGGGCGGGGGACGTGGAGCAGACCGGAGCCAGAGGAACGGAGGGTACGGGCAGGTAGGTAGGGGGATAGTAGGTTGGAGAGGTAGGAGGGAGCAAGGCCGTGAATGGCCTTGTAGGTGATAATAATAATGGAAAATTGTACTTGAATGCAAATATAATGTTTTTTCTTTTCAAAACAAGTTAAACATACTTAAATAGGCAAGGATAACTATCTGGCAATGATTATGGAATTGCAGTCTCATTAGGAAGGTCTGGTGGTCTTGGAAACTGTAAAAACAAAGCTTGAGAAATGTAACTGTCCTCTGAACCCAGAGAGATTATTGCTTGAAATTAGTCACAATGTGGAATTAATAGAGGGTGTGGAGTTAATAGAGCGTGGCTTGGTTCCATTTTATATCTAATGTAGTGACAGATGATACTGCTCTACAAAGCCGATATTGGCAAATGCCACTCACGAGGAATAAAAAGAGGGATCCAACACTGAATGTTTAGTGATAATCAATAGGTAATGAGTAATAATGATAATAGATAATAATCCTACCGTTTGATGTAGGATTATTATTACGCCTTTCATATTTGGAAGACAGCTCAAAGAGTGTCACTGATTATACTGTAAACTGTAGTGACTGTATTTTGTCGGCAAACACGGCAGCCAATTTGCACACAGTGATATATTACAAACAGCCATGAAGAGAATGACCAATTTTAAACTGGGGGATTTTTGGCCAAAACCCCAGGAGAAACTCCTTTCTCTTTTTCAATAGCGCCGTGGGAACTTCAACGTCCACCTGCACAAGCAGATGTGAACTCAGTTTAGTTTAATGTCTCATTGGACAAATCTCCCCTCTGTCCCCCAAGGGTCTGGCTAGCTGGGGTTTTAGTGTAACAATAATCCTTGCATTTGATATAGCGTCTTATCATGTTGTTAAGTCATCTCTTAGTGCTTTTTATAGGATTTTTACTGTAAAATATAGTGCCTGGGCATTTTGTAGGTGAACACAGCAGCCAATTTGTGCACAGCAATGCATCATAAACAGCCATGAAGCAAATTTTATTTGGGGGATTTTTAGCCAGGACACGGGGAGAAACTCTCTTCTCGTTTTCTATAGCACCATGGGAACTTTAGCATCCACCGGCACAAGCAGATGGGACCTCAGTTTAATGTCTCATCTGAAAGATGAATAGATTGTATCAGAACACTGTATTGGAGTGTCAGCCTGGACAGTGAGTTCAAAGTCCTAACGTGGAGAGTTAACAGCATATAGTTAATTCATTGTGACTGCTTTACTTTGAATAAATAAAGAGTTCAGTTTTCCCAAGAACATGAACCTCATGACATTGGGTCACAGTCAGTCTGCTGTAAGACAGTTTCAAACCAGGTAAAACCTTAGGCAAGTTTCCTTACTCCATACACCTCTGTTTACCTAGCAGCAAGTAGCAACCCGGTTGTTAGACAATTGTCAGAATGGTATCTGGCGGTAATGATCCGTCAAAGAAATGTGGTCACAAAGTCCATGACCATTTATGGACACTGCTGTGCACAACTGGCTGCCACATTTTGCCCACAATAATAATCAATTCACTTTACAATATAATCTGTGAAGTGGTTTGACACGTCTCAACGATGTGATAAGTTGGTTTATCGAATATCAGATTATTATTTTATATCAAATGCAAGGATTACTATTATTATTATGAAGCTGAATAAACACAGCTCAAACTAGTGCAGAAAACAACATCAACTTGCACTTATATGTGGAGTCCTGCAGCTTAGTGGTTAGAGCACTCGTTTTGCAAGCGAGAGACCTGAGTTCAATTCCAGACAGGGCGAACCCTTGGGCAAGTTTCCTTACTCCACACGCCTAATAATAATCCCTCCAAAACCAAAAAAACCCAATAATAAATTGGTCATTTTTCAATCTACGACTGTTTGTGGGACATTGCTGTGCGCAAGTGGCTGCCGCGTTCACCCACAAATATACAGTCAATTCACTTTACAGTGTGTTCTGTGAAGCGCTTTGGGACGTCCTCCTGACGTGAAAAGCGCTATATCAAATGCAAGGATTATTATTATTATTATATAGCGCCCTGCACGCAGGCTAACGTCTCAGAGCGCTTAACAGTGGCGGAGCCTGACTCCGAGTTGCGGAGGGGAGGCAGGTGACCGTAAGCACAGCTGAAAAGTAAGGTTTTCAGGCAGGACTTGAATAGGGGGACAAAAGGGCAAAGCATAGGGATTGAGGAAGAGTGTTCTACAGTTTTGGCGTATAGTGGCTGAAAGCGACTCCAATGGTGGAGCGGAGGGTGCGAGGGACAAGTAGGGACGACAATCAATGAATCAGAACCTCACCTTCTAAGGTGCAATTTCAATGGTGTGTTGGTAAACGTCTGAAACTCTCTGAGTGACTTGATGTCTTTCCAAACTTTCACAATGTTCTTCAGCAATGTGCGGTCTTTCTCCTGTTCCACATCGCACATCCTTCTTGTTGTTCTGTAAAAGTACAATTTGTGTTTTTGTTAACTTTTGTTAATGACGTCTTTCCAGTTTCTCTGCGATTATAGCAAAGTCCTAATGGAGGTTAAGGCTGTGGCACGGACAGTAAACCCCCGGCTTACTGGACTCCAGGTGTCCTGAATTCATACCTACTGGACCGGGCTTGGAATGGAAAAAATATACATGTGCAGACTCCCAGCGGCCCACTATCCGAGCAGACGCCTTACCGTGCTTGCTGGCCTTCAGTGACCAGGGATATTGACTTATAACTTATTCATTATCTGCTGCTTACAGGATTCAAATAATTAAAAATGCTCTGGGATGCTGCCCTGCGTGAGGGGCGTCTTATAAAAGCAAGTTGTTGTTTTTATAGGATTTCTTGGCGCTGAAAAAAGCTAGCGTTGAAAAACAGACAGTAAATGCCAATACTGTAGTTATACTTGGCCGGGAATGTTGGCTTGCCTGACCGGATCTCCACTCCAACCCCCAATCCCCACCATTAGTCTGGCTTGTTGGCGTTTTAGTGTAATAATAATCCTGACATTTGATATATGTTATCTCATCAAGACATCTCATAGTGCTTTTTTTTAAAATCAGGATTTTTACTGTAGTGGCTATGTATTCAGCCAATTTGTGTCCAGCAATGTACCACAAACAGCCATGAAGCTAATTTTATTTGGGGATTGTTGGCCAGGATACCGGTAGAAACTCCCTTCTATTTTTGAATAGTCGCGTGGGATCTTTAACGTCCACCTGACAGACCAAACAGGAGACGTTGGTTCTAATGTCTCAGCCAAAGGATAGCACTTCTGACCATGCAGCGCTCCCCCAGTATTGCATTGGAGCTGTTCACCTTTGCTTTTTATCCCCACTCTTTTATTCCTTTCATCCAGCAAAATATGTTGCTATAATTATTTCCAACCACTGGATGGCAACATCATGTGTATGTTTAAAGACTCCACTGTGTCTTACGGCTGCAGTGACTTCAGCCGCTTGTCGCTGAGAGCAGAAAGTGACTCACAGTTATAGAGTGCCACCAAGTGGTTACCGTCCAGCAATACAGGTCAACATGGAATCCTTCACACTGCAGCAGCAGCAAAGCGTGGACAAACTACAGCAAAGAACATCATTTTACTAATCTGATGCATTTCCAAACATCATTTCCAGCTGGATATGAATTAAAAGTAGATCCCAAACCCTTAAAGGGCACAAATGTTAACCGAGCTGCTCTACTCTAACGCGAGTCACAGCAACAAATTGTGCAAGTGCAGACGGATCATTACTTTGAGCCCTTACCCTAGGCTGGCACTACGACAGAATGCTGGGGAGGCACTGCATTTTCTAATCAACGATGGGCTTGATTTCGAGATCCTCACACTCATTTTAAAATCCCTTCATGCTCTGGTACTTCCCTACCTCGCTGACCTGCCAACCCGCAACCCACTGCCTCCGCTCGACTGGCTCCGGTCTTCTGCAGGTCCATCGTGCCCTCTGTTTCACCATTGGGGGCTGCGCTTTCAGCCACACTCTTCCTCTAACCCTCCACCTTGCCTCTTCCTTCCCCATCTTCAGGTCGTGCCTAAAGACCTTCCTATTCGACCGTGCTTATAGTCACCTCCTCCTCCCCGCAGCCTGCATTGTGCTTTGCGACTGTCAAGCGCTCTGGGACGCTACCCCCTGCATGAGGGTTGCTATATAAATGCAAACTGTTGTTGTCTTCATTGTCTGAGGTGCTGTCCTGCTGGTGAGATGTTAAACCAAGGTTCCATCTGTCAAATTGCGTGGATGCAGCACTTGAAAAGAGAGGGGAGTTTCTCCCAGTGTCCTGGCCAATAACACTCTAAAGAATTGGTCACTCATTTTGTGGCTGTTTGTGGGATATTACATAGCGTAAACTGATGCTTTTGCCCACAAAACACACTCATATATTGCACACATCCGGTGAAAAGCTTTGGGATGTTCGCCTGACGAGAAAATTGCTTTACCAAATGTAAATATTATTGTTATTACCATTATTGCTACAAATAAAGCCACTACACTTTACAGAAGACCATGAGCACTTGGAGTTGCTGCAGCTATTGTAAATCAAATGCAAAGATTACTAAAGTAACTTACTGTGCAATTCTACATTTGTAGAGAGCCGCTCCTCATGCAAACACAAAACACACATATTTTGGAGAAATATAAATTTGGGAAGTACTCTCTTCAAATTTTTAAAACAATGAAATAAAACCTTAATGAACAGTCCAACTATTAGATGCCTTAAATATTTGTGCAGTGAATTCGACTCACCTGATCTCCAATTTATAGTCCAGGATCCGGTGTCGTACCACTGAGCCTTCGCCTGTGTCACCAGCGACAATGTTGTTCACTGCATTTCTTAGGGCATTTAACTGGAACGATAAACCATCATATAACATCACAGGCATTCATCACCAATGCAGGGCTAGGCAGAGCTAAAAGACCAGAGAGTCAGAAATAGGCATACGATATACCACACTTTACTATTTGAGCACTGTTCAGATAAACAGGAAATAGAAAACATTATTAAGTCAAAGCAAACCATTGCAAAACTAACAATTAGTACCATAAATTTCCATGCTATATCAAAATCAAATACACAAGTGTAATAGATATAATAAAATTTTCTGAGTGCCCAAATGTATTTAAGTGGGCAATTAAGATTTGTTCTAAGCATCTTTGTTACGTTGGACATTTCACTACATTACAATGGTGTTTTTGTGCTTCTTTGCAATTGATACAAACTGTAACAAACACTATATATTAAAAAAAGGTCTCCGTGGCCCGAGTTGTGTGACCAACTCTTCATACCTTGTCAGAATAAAGAGTGCTGAGGTTCTTCCGTTGCTGAAACAGATACTTGTCGTACATCTGAGCCAGTTTAGCTGCCAGTACATGTTCACGGCTAAACAGGGGATGATGTGTGAATATCAAGCCAGAAATATCAATGTCCAGTTGAAACTGTCCCAGTGGATCTCCTGAACCAGCAATGTAACGGCTGTTATACTTGGACTTCTCAGCCTGCAATGAAAACATGTAGAAAATGACCAGGACATTTAAGTGGGTACCACTCAGTTCATTCACTTCCTTATAAATGGTCACTGATTCTATAATAACATTTTAAAATCAGAAAACGTTTATATAAGTGCAGATGTAGTCTTGAAACTGCTCGGTTAGGGGAGGTTACTCCAGCACAATCCAGTTTGTTATAAAATTGTTTGCCAGAAAAAAGATGTAGGAAAAAGTACATCAAGTCACTATTATTCAGGAGCAGAAGAGCCTCGCTATGTGCTAAGCAGTTGAACTCAATGAAGGTAAAGTGTTACAACTGGACAAGGGGAAGAGAGGGGAAGAGAGGAGTCAAAGTTGCAATTCTATTCCTGTTTGCCATCCGATCACCCTGAGATTTAGACAGCAGCAAAAGTCATTTGCGGGACAATAATATTTTCCACATTTGGTCTTGTAAAATAAGCCCTGAGAAGAAACATTTGAATAGGCAACACACCAGGTTGACTATCCTAATCTGTATTTTCACAGCTGTTCCAATTATACACTTATTATAAAGAGAGACATCGTAAAGACCTTGATGGGATTGCAGGACATGTACAATAATTAACACGGGGTCTCTGAACTTCCTTATGAAGAACTATACTACTTCCAATATCCGGCTACACCCGACAGCACTAACAGGATTATATTTCTTGCAATGGACAAGTAAACCCCTTTAATATGGTTTGGCAGTCAACCCTATAGTTTTTATAGGTCTGTGGAAATGCCTGTTTGTGAGACAACCCATTGTCTGCTTTGATAAATCTTAAAAAAAGTGACAAAACAACCCTATTTATTAGCAATAATGCTACTGCAAAATCAGAATGACACTTACTGTAACAAAATAAATGACTAAAAAAGTAAATATACAATTTCAGACAAATGGAACATTTGAAATGCGTACCCGTTTGCCCCATTAAATAGCTTAATCTCAATTCTAAACTGTCCTTTATTTTATGTATCCTTGTCCCCTTACTAATCATCCATCTTAAGAAGCAGGGTAACTTAATTTCAAAAAAGGTGTCTCATTGGCTGAAAACGAGCTTGAAAGGTTTGTGTTGCTGCCCAGCTCGGGTGCCAAGCCAGTATTGCTAAGCACCTGGCGATCTCCACCCAGTGTGAAAAGTACTAAAATCAACGTAAAATTTTATTGTACTGTATCAGACACTGACGATCGGGATCGGTTTCTTTGTAGATGAGATCAAGTCAAGATCAGAAAGCGATTGCTGCAATGAATATTATCAGTGGCACTCAGTGAGATCACCTGTTAAGCAGAATACAATCACAGCATTCAGTGGGTAAGGATACTTGACCGCTGATTATTAAACTCCTTTAATGTTCATCGAACATGGAGTTTGCTAGTAATCAATTGCTGATTTTTGTTTAGAATCATAGAATGTTATTGCATAAAGCAAGCCATTTCGGCAATCATGTCTGTTCTGGTATTTTTCCCCATATTCCCACTCCCCTGCTATTAATAGCTTGCATTTATACAGAACGACTTTCATTTATATAGTTGGTTCACGTAGAATAAGGTCTGAGAGCACTTCACAGTGGACACTGAGCTAGGAGGAAGGGGATAGGGAGAAAGGAGGTTTAGTCGGAGGTAGGTTTTAAGGTGGGATTTGAGAGGAGGGTGAGGTAGAGGGATAATAATCCCTCCAAAACCAAAAATAATAATAAATTGGTCATTTTCAATCTACGACTGTTTGTGGGACACTGCTGTGCGCAATTGGCTGCCGCGTTCGCCCAGAAATATACAGTCAATTCACTTTACAGTGTGTTCTGTGAAGCGCTTTGGGATGTCCTCCTGACATGAAAAGCGCTATATCAAATGCAAGGATTATTATTATTATTAGAGTTCCATCCAGAGGTTGGAGTGTAATGATTGTAGGCTCGGCCACCGATTGTGGTGTGGAGCGGAAGGAGGAACAAATAGGGTACCATTTTTTACAAAGCTCTTTACAAGACTGTGACGAACACTGAGCAGGGAGCGTGGCAGGGGAGGCGAAAAGAGCATGGTGTCCGATGGCATTGTCACCTCAAACCCTCTTAAGATTCTTCATCTTCTTTCAAAATAATTCATGGACTCCTCCTCAACAATGTTTTATGGCAGAGATGTCCACATTCCAAACACCAAGATAGAGATAGTATATAACAGAAGACATGAACAGCATTCACCGACAATGAATGAGAACCAGAAAAGCCACAGAAGAATAAACAGATGATGTAACAAGTATATGCACTTTATAAGGGTGACCCTGGTGGCTGGTCTCTATTCAATCTTTGAGGGTCCCATAAGTGGACCCCACAAAACTCAAATAACTATGAGTTTGCACCCTGATCAGCCACACTGGAACATTAGCTAGAAATAAATAATTAGAAACAAACTTTCTCAAAGTAGCAAACGCTTTTCTGTGGAATAAAGCCATTTGAAACATTCTTAACTGTGCACATAAAGGGTGAGGAAATGGGGTTTCAACTATTTACATAAAACACTAAAGCTAAACTATGAAATGAAACATGATCACTTTGAAAGAAAAAAAAGACCTGCCACAGAGAATAGCCTAAATTGGATGGTTCGCTTGTTAGAACATCACTCAATTTCTTTATTCAAGTTATTATCTGGTTCAAGATCTGGCAGATGTACTGAAATATTCACTCTGCACGTCACAGGCAAATAAATTGGGCATATTTATGTGAATCATATTGATAATTAAAAACTGATCTTATATGAACTAAACAAACACACGCTAGAGTTGGATTTGGTGCTCAAACATATGGTTATGAATTTCTGCAACACTTCAATCTTTTGTATTAGTAATGCTCCAAAAATATCTTCAAAGGTAGTGCATGCTGGCAAGCAAAGCCCTTTTAATTCTTCTTAAAGGTTGCTTCAATAATACTTACAATATGATAGATTGTCTAAATAATCAGACAGCTAAAATCCAAGAAGAATATTCATTAAAATGAAATGTTCTAAACTGAAAGACTTTGTTTCTTGTGTAGTGTCGCTGTCATGTTTCCTTATTATCTTAAAAACTTCAATCAGATTAAGTTAACCTCCTCAGTGCAGGCGAATAGACCCCTAAGTTCACCCAGCCACATCAGAATGAATTACCTTCATCTCAGATATTGATCTGGTGGACTATTATTGGATACGTTTAAAGACTAATACAGTGAAACTCTTATTATAACATGTTGCCTAATAATATAGTTATAATGCAATTGGTGTATGGATTTACTAAAAAAAATCGATTTGTAATGCATGCAATCACACCCCTTTATGGCTGTGGTTGTGTTTTTATGGACCCCATCAGTTATAACTGGGCTTTACTGCATAATCTTCCTAAAGTTAAGTACCTGAAATTGAACACAATATTCCAAAAAAGGTTTGACCAGCACTTTATGCAGCGATAGCAGCACTTTCATGCCTTTATATTGCAGACCCCATGTTAAAACTCCAGCCTTCAGTTAGCCTTTTAATAGTATGTGGAACAGGAAAACAAAGCAGGCACGATCCTCGAAATTAAGAAGGATTTGGAGGTATTAAAGTAATCCTTTGGGATGTTGCCAGGTAAATTAGATGAATCAATGAACTACTCGCGTGTGAAACTGTAGCCATTCTTGTGATTGACTAAAGTGCCAATGCAGTTCCATTTCAGATCTATAGCTATTTTCAGTTATATGGTAGCTTTCCCCGTAGAACTTCTGAAATTCCTTTACATGGACAGTGTGGTACGACAAGAGATGTAAAATCAGATCACTTATTCCTTAAATAATCTGCTCAGCCCAACAGCTTGTAACTATTCATAGAATCAGAGAATATTGTTGCACAAATATGCAAAAGTAGGAGATTCAGCCCATTAAGCCTGAACTATTTTTTTCCTAACTTATAAACAAATCTAATCTTACTCCACTGCTAAATACCCTTTAATATTTTCCTTTTTCTTTTATCAAGCATCCAATTCCATTTTAGACAAATTTATGGATTCTGTTCAAAAACTATGAATTTTACATTTCACCCACTTGCTGTGTTAAAAAGTGTGTTCATCCTCCCCTTTGCTTTTGTGATTATCTACACCTTATGCCCTCTCAACACCGACTTGATAAGCACCGAAAGTTATCTATTAGTATTTTACCCTATAATAACACTTCATAATCTTAAAGACTTAGTCACCCACCCACAAACCTTCTCAGCTCTTGAGAAATTATTTAAACTAGTCTTAACATATGTGCAAATACTTCTGATGGATTCTTCTCACTCAGCTCCTGTTAATCCTGCATGGTGAAGCCCTTAATGGGATGGATAGTTCTAGAAGCAGTCAAAAGTTTGTAAACTCCAGCAGTATAATAAATATAATAATCCTTGCATTTGATATAGCGCTTTTCACATCTTATAGACGTCTCAAAGCGCTTCACAGAATAGACTGTAAAGTGAATTGACTGTGTATTTGTGGGCGAAATGCGGCAGCCAATCGCGCACAGTGGTGTCCCACAAACAGTCATGGATTGAAATGACCAATTTATTATTGTTTTGTTTTGGAGGGATTATTATTAGGCTCTGTGTGGAGTAAGGAAACTTGCACAAGTACACCAACGCACACACTTGGGTCCCCCAAACTTTGGTTCTTGCCAACCAGTGCCTAATTAGATAAGTAGGGTATATCTGTGGGAAGCTACCCCGCACGAGGGGCACCATATAAATGCATGTTGTTGTTGTCTCTTTGATTAGTGGGTGCACATTCCATTCCAATGGAAAATTTCCATGCTTAGGTGGCATGCACATGTGTGGAATGCTGCTTTTTGGATTTTCTTAAGCGTGGCAATGGTTTCCACGTGTGTCAGATGTGCGGTTGATCGAGAAAGGAATGTGATTTTAGGTGGTTAAATTCTAGCAGTACCCTAATGCACACTTTGGGATCTCCAAGCCTTGGCTCTTTCCAATCTATGCCTAATACTCTCTGGAATTATTTATGCATCCCACCAGGGAGAGTGCACAGAACTCTCAGGCTGGATTGGATACTATTAAGCATAGTGTTGGGCTTCCAAATGGGTCAGACACCCAGCTGGCCAAAAAGAAAAAAAATTCTGGCTACAATGTTTGTATCAAGAAACATTGCACAACTCCAAATCATTCTTTCCCATGGCCTCGAGACTCAAACTCTTTAGTTTACTCAGTGTTACCTTCCTCTTATAATCAAAATGCTTTCAATCTTAAACTGACATCATAAGCCCTTTGAGACACCTTCCCAGTATGAAAGTTGCTGTAGAATTTAAATTGTATTGCAAATTGTATTGTGTCTGACTAAAAATTCTGGATTCATTTAATTTTCTCTTACTCTTTACACCCCAGTGGTGCAATATCCCATGAGTCTTGGACTTTCAACCTCACTTTCTCACTAAAAAAAATCTGTACAATATAGACATTAAGGAAATTAAGGGAAAAATAATGCAGTTAGCTCAGGAAAGATAAGCAGTAGCAGAAAACAACTCTTGGATCTCCTCATGGTAAAAAATCAGTCATTATTTATAACTTGGGTTTAATCTCTTCATTGTACATGCATATAACAGAGGGTTTTGTTATATGCGATATTGATATTATTATATCAATGGCAAGCTGTGTAGTTTTAGTTGGTTAGACTCCAGCAGTACTCCAACGCACACTCTGGGTTCCCCAAGCCTAGGCTCTTTTCCAACCTGTGCCTAATACTTTCCGGAATTAGGTAAGCAGGATGCATTCCTCCAGGGAGAGAGTGTATGTTTCATTCCAACAATCTATCTTTGGGATTTCCATGTGTAGGTGGGATGCATGGAAATCTCAGCTTGGTTTGGATACTCTTAAGCTTGGTGATGGGTTTCCGCATGCGTCAAGACACCCAGCTGATGAAGAAAAAAGTGATCCATTGTGTCCAGCATTACAAGCAAAATGCAAAAAAAAGGCTGGCTTCAAGTCACGAGAAATGCTCCCTTAATGATGTTTTTGGTGCTTCCTGTGTATAGTGAACAAGCACAGCATGAAGGAAGTGGCATCAGCCATATTTCCTGCAATTATCAGGCATGCGTGCAATGGACAGGAAGTGACATCAGCTTGACATGACAATCCAGAAATCCACAACTTCAGGCCAAGGGAACATCCCAAATCACTGGACAGTCGAGGGTTTGCACCATTGCTGGGGACTGGATTCGGGAGGGATGGCGGGGGTAAAGATGACCGAAAGTGCGGTAAGAGGAAGGTCTTGAGACACACCTTGAGGGAAGGAGCGAGATGAAGGGAATCCGGGATGAAGTTCCAGAGAATGGGGACAAATAGACTGAAAACCTGACAGTGGGGTGGGTAGGGTGGGGGACGTGAAGGAGGCAAGTGCCTGGTGAGCAGAGTGAGTGGGCGGCTTGGCAGGGTGTAAGGTCGCAGAGGTAGGGTGGGATTATGGAGAGATTTAATAATAATTTGGTCACTTAATCCACCACTGTTTGTGAGACACTGCTGTGCGCAATTGGCTGCCAGTTTCGCCCCAAAAATACAGTCAATTCACTTTACAGTATATTCAGTGAAGCGCTTCGAAGCATCTCAAAGACGTGATTAGAGGACTCCACTGTGATGACTGTGTGGATAAGCAGCCCAAGGAAAGAGGTAGTGGCAGACGTGAGCAATATTGCGGAGCAGGAGGAAAGCTGAGCAGATCAATATTGATATGGATTTAAAGGAGATTTGAGAGTCAAACAAGACACTGAAGTTGTGCTCTGACTCCATTCTACGATAACTGAATCTGTACATTCAGGATAACAAATCCAATTCAACATTTGGCTAGAACAGCAATCTGCTTGTATCAGATTTGGATAGAAGGATAGAATGAATTTGCATCCTTATAGTTCTTTATCATGTCAAAATATCTCCCAAACACTTTACAAATAATCACACTCGAGTGCATTGACTCTTTTTGTAAGTAAATGATGTAGCCATTTGTGTTGGCCAAATCCCACAAGCAGCCATGAGGTAACACAAAACAACAGCAGTTTGACATTTCCTTAGCGCCTTTCATGTTTGGAGGAGTCTCAAAGCGATTCACAGAACCAACTGGGAGACTGAGCTGGGGATTGGGGGAGCTCAGGAAGGAGGAAAAAAGGTGACCAAAAGCACGGTCAAAGAGAAAGGTCAGTCTACAAAGGTTGGTAGAGAAGGATTGAGGTGGAGGGACTCCAGGACGGAGTTCCAGAGAGTGGGGACAGAATGACGAAAACTTCTTCCACCGATGGTAGGGTATCTCAGGCAGGGGCAAGAAGCAGACTGAAGAAGTTCACTTAATGGAGGGTGGTAGGGCATATACCATTCCGGAGGATTTGCCTACATTTAATTATTTTTAGTTCTTTATACAATAATGGCACTTGATTACAAGTGTGATTAAGGTAATGAATAAACTTGTAATCAAGTTGACTTGCTTAATTCAGCAAACCATTGACCAGTATATTTATCTGGGACCATTTACTCCTTCTATTACAGATAAAGAAGATTATTAACTTGTCTGACAGGATTTAATTCCTGAGGCAAATTCTAAAAATAAGACATCAAATATTGGTCATTAAAATGTATATATTTTACAATCTGATAAAGGCTCACATTGAATGTTTTGGAAATGTACAGTTTTCACTCAGAAGATATGCTGACAAATACTAACGGTGCATATTTCATAAGTGATCAGATTGGGGATTCAACCCTTCAGTGGTAATTTACTGCAATACGTTTTTTCTTGACAGATTTATTGCTTCCTGTTGATATCACAGTCCAGCTGCAATTTCCATTGAGAAGTTACATTACCAAAGTCGAGGCTCTGGTTATTGTTACATTTTGGGCTGGAACCAAATCAAAATCACCCCTGAGGGATCACTCTTTGAAAATCTCAGATCACTTTGGGACAACAGGTTTGTTTTAAAATCATAATGCAAAAGGGGATCTAATAGACACGCAAGCATGTTTTAGTGCATGCAACATCGTGTAATGAATTTCTACAAAAATGGCTTGATATTAATGAACTGCAGTAGAGTCCTATAACATGCCTGTCCAAGACTTGTACTTATTGACATTTTAAGAGAGGATCAGGGGGAAAGACTGAACTCGACTTTGAATTAGAGGAACAAATTCTAGAACAGCAATCTGCTTGTATCAGAATTAGATAGAACGGATTTGCATTTTTAAAGTGCTTTATCATGTCAAAATATCTCCCACTTTACAAATAATCACACTCGAGTGTAGTGACTCTTTTTGTAAGTAAACAATGTAGCCATTCTGTTGGCTAAATCCCACAAGCAGCCATGAGGTAATACGTAACAACAGCAGTTTGACATTTCTATAGAGTCTTTCATGTTTGGAGGAGCCTCAAAGCGATTCACAGAACCAATTGGGAGACTGAGCTGGGGATTGGGGGAGCTCAGGCAGGAGGAGGAGAAAACATGATCAAAAGCACGGTCAAAGAGAAAGTTTTAAGTCAGGCTACAAAAGTGGGGAGGAAAGGGTTGAGGTGGAAGGACTCCAGGACGGAGTCGCTCCATTCTCGTGGATTTGGCTACTTTTTTATTTTTATTATTTATACAAGAAAGCACTTGATTACAAGCTTGATTTACATAATGAATAAACCTGTATTCAAGTTGACTTGATTAATACAGTAATATAGTAGGTTTTAAAATAATTTCAGTAATTAATAAGCCTGCGGTAATATTTAATACCATTCACCTACATGACATTTCAACATTTAGATTGGAAAAATATTATTGTTTTATTATTTACCTTTCTATACATGGTTTCTAATGCAGGTTCCACTTCTTCCTCTCGTGAGTAAACTGGAGGCCTAGTTTGGGATTGTTTGATAGGATTAGGCAAGGCTAAAATCCTACCATCAGCTCCAAACCAATTCTTGCCCTAGGATAGGAATAGAAAGTCGAGTTAACTTGACAGATAAGCAAAAAGGCTGTCTAAAATGCAAGTCACATTTTAAAAAGGAAAATAAAATCAAGTTACATTAAGAGTTTCTTTTGAAAGGTGCATTTCATAAAATGCCTCTCAGTATTCCCTGCCCTTAGTCTTCAAAATCAACAAATTCATCTTGATCCGAGCAGCGAAACTCTGTTCCCCTCAACCATTCAAGCTTCCAATTGAAAATAGCTGGTCATAGAATCTTACAGCACAGAATGAGGCCATTTGGCCCATTGCTTGTGCGGGCTCGTTGAAAGAGTTATCCATCTAGTCCCACTCCCCTGCTCTTTCCCCATAGCCTCGCAATTTTTTTTCTTTTCAAGTACCTATCCAGTTATCCAGTTCCCCTTTGAAAACTATTATTGAATCCGCTTCTACCACTCATTTAGCAGTGCAGATTGCAACAATTCACTGCGTAAAAAAAGGTTATCCTCATCCCCCAATCTGGTTCTTTGGTCAATTGTCTTAACTCTGTTACCGACCTATCTGCCAGTGGAAACATTTTTCTCCTTATTCACTCTATCAAAACCTCTCATAATTTTGAACACCTCCATTAAATCTTCCCTTAACATTTTCTGCTCTAAGGAGAATAATCCCAGCTGCTGTAATCTCTCCACATGAGTGGTGTAGCCGTTTGNAAAAAAATTATCAAATGAAAGCTCACATTTCTCTTACATACCTCTTCATTTTTAAGAATGCGGTTCTCTAAGATGTTCTGGTTAGTTACTGAAACGTGAGGTCTCTCTCCAACATACAGGCCTTCATTTTCTAGGAATCGGAGTTGCACATTTTCAGGAATCTTCTCTGATGCAGATACTGAAAGTCAAGAGCACAGCCTTTATATTGGGCATTTGCTCTCTTTCTCTCCTCCGCACCCCCTCTCACTGTCCATAAAGAATAAGCGCCTGAAGCCAAATATCCTAGCTATTGGATAAATACAAGTATAACAGAGAGAATCAGCATAGTATGCTAAAGGCCGGCCGTATCTGACAAACCTAATTATATTCTTTTACAAAGTCTCTGAGGTGCTGGAGAGGATGGGGAGGGTGAAAAAGACAAAGCTGTAGATATTATCTAATTGGATTTTCAGAAGGTGTTCAACAAAAGCCAACACAGACTTCTGGATGAAGTTGAGGTGCACGGCATTGGATGCACTTTAATGAAATGGTAATTGGCTGTAATAATAATCCTTGCATTTGATATAGTCCCTTTTCACGTCTTCCAGGCATCTCAAAGCGCTTCGTAGAATATACTATAAAGTGTAGGGACTGTGTATTTTGTGGGCAAAAAGTGGCAGCCAATTGCGCACAGCAGTGTCCCACAAACGGAAAGTTCATGTGAAAGGACAATTTCAGGCTGGTGGGTGTGGACATTAGAGTTCTCCAGGAATGGGTGCTGGGTATGCAGCTGTTCTCCACATAGATCAGTGATCTTGCTTGGATATAGAAGGAAATATTCAAGTTTAGCAGATGCCAGTAAGTTTTTAAGCATAATGAACTGAGAACAGTGTACAATTCTACAAGTTGTCATTGACAGATAGACTGTGTGGGCAGATTCAATTCAATGTAGTTAAATGTGAGGTAATGCATGTTGGCTGTAATAATAGTGGTAGGAAATGTGCATTTAAATGGAAATATTCTAGGGGGAAATTAATAAACAAAGGCATTGTACATAAATCACTAAAAGCTATTGCACAGATGCACAGCGTCTTTAACAGAGCTAATGGATTCTGGAACTCACAGCAAGAGATATAAAATATAGAAGCAAGAAAGTACTTTTCAAGTTACTGGTCAAAGTACCAGAAGGCTTATTGTATTTAGCTTTGTGTGCCACATAGGAAGAAATATTTATTCCAATTCCTTTGGGGCTGAGGTGATTATTAAACAATAATATTTAATAATGCTGTGGTTATGTAAGTAAATTGAATTTTTCATGTGGAGTTGGAAATTTATTGATTTATTTTATCAGAATCAGGAGAAACTTGAATAAACAAGGAAGCAAAAAGTGTTGGAACATTTGTTATACTTTCAGCACACTGCTATGCTGTTTTCTTGGAGAGGATTTTAGGAAGGGCAAAACTTTGGCAATAAAGTTTGCTATTTAAAGAGATGTTTAAGCAGCTTTTTTTAAAAAATTCATTAGTTTAAAAATTCAATGAATTAACCGCTTAACCTTTTGTCACCAAGTGACACAAAGAGAATATATTCAGGTAATCTTCTGAATTTCATGTTTTATTCTTCTTATGCTGCCAGGAATTGCCAGGATAAGGTAAGGTACCTTTTACCTGACAGTACGTGGGAGTCTCCATTCATGTGGAGAACAGAGAACTCACATCAATTGTCATTCTCTATACTCTATACACATATATAAACTGAGTCGAGTACCTGCCAGAATGCTGGGGGTAAAAAGCATCTGTCGTTCTTTCTCCAGACGACTCTGGTCGCCTTCATATTCAGCAGCTTGTGTGACAAGAAAATCTCGTGCTGTTTGATCGATTATAAAGAGTTCTCCATCATCCTCTTTATCTTTCACAAGTGGTTTGTCTTCTTCCTGCAATAACCAAACAATCAGTTGATTTTCTACTGCAAGAATGTTAAAGAAATAACCGTTTTTGAGACGTAAAAAAGAGTGGGGGGCCCAAAATTCAGTTTTAACATGAGAAAATGAACATAACACCATCTTAAGATCCAAGTGAAATTCCATAAACCCTTTTTTCTGAAATAAACATATCTGTTTTAACAAAGTAAAAACCTAAATTGATCACCATAAACAGGTGGAGTTCAGAAAAACATTTTCCCATTTACATTAAAAATGACTGCTGTTTTTAAGGGAGTGGGAACTGTGCCAGTGAAGAAAGGGGTTGACAATGTTTGCTACTGGGAGAGTGGGGCAACAAGGAGGTGGAGCTGGGAGTTCAGAAGAGGCGTAGGATCAGATCAAGGAGCAGGTAGTGGGCTTCGTTTGGGAAATGATGGAAGTGAAAGAAGAGTCGGGTCCGGGTAGAAGACATGGAGGGAGGGATGAGTGGAGGCCTGAGAGGGAAGGAGAGGACGGGGCGGAAGGAAGGGCAGAGGCAGCAAAACAGATCCCCTTGACGCATAGGAGTTTGGAGACATTTCACCTCCATCATAACTTTGAGACGCAAGCCATGCCCAGGGATACAATACAATTTACATTTGTAATAATAATAATCCTTGCATTTGATCTAGCGCTTTTCACGTCTTCGAGACGTCTCAAAGCACTTCACAGTAAAGTGAATTGATTGTATATTTGTGGATGAAATGTGGCAGCCAATTGTCCCACAATCTTTATTTATTTAAAATTTACATAATTTATTTAGAAATGTAGGAGTTAGGCTGTCTATCAGAATTGAATGTTTCAGAAAATTCTTCTTTGAAACAAAAAAATGAACAATATACACAGTATTGGCTGCTCATTATTGAGTAGAGGTGAGTGTATTCAGACATTAATGGCAATATAATGCTGCATTTCTTGCTGATATCTCCCAACAGTAGAAATATTTCTATTACTATTTAATGATTGAAATGATCTGATCCAAAGAGAATTTGTTTCTCAGGAAAGAGAGTGAAGTGTTTTGAGACATCTCAGCAATGTAACAAGGCGCTAATTCAAATGCAGCAATTATTATTTAATTTTCCATTACACATCTGATGAAAGGATCTACGTTGTCCTTATATGCTGGTGTTCACAATTTACACCTTGTAAACTGCCAATTTTAATAAAGGTCTCCCCTGGTAAATGGATTTGGCAGCATTTGTAATTTGTACCTGATTAATTGCCACTGACTGATATTGGATGTAGAATTAAATCGAGTTTTACCTGTCCCTCTTCCTCCTCCTCAACCGCCTCCTCTTCCTCTCCATCCTCTTGCAGTTCAGCCTCTTGACTAGTTTCAGGCCTTTTCTCTTGTTCGGACTCTTCCTGTATCTCCTCGGGCTCGGACTCAGGCTCAGGGTCAAAATTGAAAGTGAAGAAATTGTAGGCCTCTTCAGCAGTAGGACAGTCTGTAGTAGTCTGTAACGGCATTACCAAATTGTCATCTCAAATGTTTTTACCTGGAAGCTTGCTATTCTGTGACCTACTAATTCCATACAGACCTGTCTGCTCCCTCCACTCAGCAGGCTCCAGCCTGTCCCACATCCCCCGCCGGGCTGCCTCACATCCGCGGTCGGGCCTTCAGCCTTTCTGCCCCAACTCTTTGGAACTCCATCCCCCAGGCACTTTGCTTCGTCCCCTCCCCTCTCTTGTCTCCTTCAAGGCATGACTTAGGACCCTCCTCTTCCACTGACCTTCATCATCCTCCTACCCCAACCCAACCCCCCAAACCCGACCCCCCAGCTCGGGTCCAAATCCTTGACTATCCAGTGCCTTGGGACATTCTCTCGATGTGAAAGGCGCTCAACAAATGTAATTTGTTGGTATTTGTTGTTGTTGAGGCTTGTAGTCTTTGTTCTCCCAAGTGTAGGACTGCAGGGACAAAAGATCCACTAGCGCAGTAGATTTCAATAACTCAAACCCTCCTCCCAACTAATATCTTTACAAAAGTGAAAGGTGGATTTATATTGCTGCTCTGGATTGAATGCAAACCTGGGCAAATTAGATGTAATTTCCTTATGGTTCAAAGGCACAAAATCTTTTTTCCCCCAGTGATATCACAACACAAATAATTTGTGAGTTCTTCCTGCTGTATGTTATAGCACAGTTTATTTTTGGTTAACCAGGTGTCCAACACATGTGGAATCTCATTACCATGCTTAAGAGTATCCAAACCAGACAGATTACCGCATTTGTAATGCCACCCACGCGTGGAAATTTCTCTGTGTCTGGAATGGAATGTGTACTCTCCCCCCATCATGCAATATTACAGCACAGAAGGGGGCCATTCGGCCCATCGTGCCTGTACCTCAAAGAAATACACCCTGCTTGCCCAATTTCAGAGAGTGTTAGGTGCCGGATGGGAAGAGTCAAGGCTCGGGCCCTCCTGAATGCAAATCGGTGTAACACTGGAGTAACCAGCTAAAACCGTGTAACTTGCAATGAAAAGCACTGTCTGGCACGGCTCCCATTGCTTGTCCAGGACTTTGGCTTGCAGGGTTAATAAGAGCTGAGTAGGAAGAATCCCTGTGCTTTGACAGGGTTTCCCTTTCAAGTCTTCCCGCTGGGCCAGGTTCTCTGGGCTGTCATCAACAGCGAGCCGGTATAAATATAGATCCACCTAAGACTGCCACAGAGGGTCAACTTAATTCCAACCTGCTTTGACATACAGATGCCTGCATACATTGAACCAACACTTGGGGAGTAAAAATATTAAGGGATATAGTGGAATGTTGGGATTAGAGAAGATTTGTCAATGTACGGCCTATGGAATGGTCTGTGGCTGAGTAGATCCAATGGATCAAATGTTCCTAATTTCCTAAGGAAGTGGTAAGATCATCCTATCTGAATGTATTAAAGGAAGAGGAGAATGGAGGGAAAAGAGGATACTTCTAACACTGCAGCGCACAAGTTGATAATATGTTGATTCAAATTGACCAGAAGAGTGAACGCTATATCCTGGGTTTCCACACTCGTTCACCGGAGAATTTAACAAGTTGTCTTGAGGCTCATTCAAGAAACAGCTTGAAGCTCTGAGGAATGTTCAGTTCGCCCACAAAATATACACAGTCACACCACTTAATATATCCTGAAACACATTTTGAGACGTCTCGACCACATAAGGCACCGTATCAAATGAAAGGATTATTATTGTGAGGATTCTAGTTATAGATTCACACAAACTGAACATATTGTAATTTTGATTTAAAGAGAAATATCAGCAAACTAATTTCAATTTCTTTTACCTGCGGTTTCTGCTTTATCTTATTCGCTGCTTCACGAAACCTCACTCTGGAAGAGGGAAGGGGAGATCCAGCATCTCTTGGTCTCTTCAAATCCTCTTCATCTGTCTGTTTAAAACAGAAATGCATTACAGCATTGCAGGAAAGGAAGCCATCTGTAGGTTATTACACAAAAATCCAAGGTCTTTGTATATTAAACAAATGTCTATGATACTCTTGCATTTGATATAGACCTTATCACATTGATAGTTTAATTAGGAGTCCTGTAGCTCAGTAGTTAGAGCACTCGCCTTGCAAGCGAGAGGACCGGGGTTCGATTCCTTACAGGGCAAAACGTTGGGCAAGTTTCCTTACTTTACATGCCTCTGTTTACCTAGCAGTAAGTGGAAACCCGGTTGTTAGTCGATTGGAGGAATCGCTTTTCCTGGGGTAATTATTCCTTCNAAAAAAATAGTAAATTGGACACTGCAATCCATGACTGTTTGTGGGACACTGCTGTGCGCAATTGGCGTTTCGCCCACAAAATATATAGTCAATTTACTTTACAGTATATTCTGTGAAGGACTTTGAGATGTCTTATTATATTATTATAACTATTCATTAAGTTTTTATTTGCTTGTTTTAAATTTGGAGAATGCCCTTTCCAAATGGAGATTTGGAACATTTGTAGACTGGAACATTTGTTAATTGGGGGATTGCTGGCCAGGACATCGGAAGAAAACTCCCTTCTCTTTTTGAATAGTGATCATTAACATTCATCCAAACAGGATGGCAATTTAATGTCTCACCCAAAGGACCACATCTCTGACAATACAGCACTTCTTCTGCAGCGCACTGGAGCGTCAGCTCAAACTCCCAACTCGGGGTTCAAATCCAGCTGTTATCAATGAGAAGCCAACAATAGCATAAATAAATGTAAAACATTCTTTTATAAATACGGGGCCTCAATTGTATTGACAGAACAGGAGACTAGAGCAGCCCTTTAGGTACATAAGGCAGTTACTAATGATAATTGAAATTGATATAGTGCCTATAGTTGAAAAGTGCTTCACAGGGAATGGCTGTCAAGTACAGTAATTCTATGTTTGCAGGCAGATGCGGTAGCCGATTTGTGCACTTAAGAACTCAGAAATGAGCGTCAATAATCATAAAATGCCACTAAAATGGGCAAACATTAGTTACAGACTGAAAAAAAATCATTAGATATTTTCTCACTTTTGTGTCAAGTCTCGTGAGTGGCTCTTGATCACGGAGACTGGTCAGGCGTTGTGGAAATACACTGGCTTCCTCTTGCTGAATAGCAGTCTCTGCTTTAGACTAAATAATGTCAAACGAAAACTAGGAATGTTAATTCTTCAAGGCAAGTTATACACAAAAAACTATCAATCGTGCATTTTAAAAATGTTATTACATAAAAGTGTAAATACAGATGTACAATCAGCTCTTAATAAAAAAAACACTGAACAACTTTGAGCTCATAGTCCAAGCTGATAGCTGCAGGCCTCGGAACAATGCATTGTCGAGATTTCGTCCTTCAGATGAGACGTTAAATTGAGATCTCATCAGCCGGTTCAGGGGAATGAGATCACTCATTCATTCATCCTGTTGACCAATACATGGGGAGAAACTCCTTTCTCTTTTCAAATAGTGGAGTCCTGTAGCTCAGTGGTTAGAGCACTCGCTTTGCAAGTGAGAGACCCGAGTTCAATTCCAGGCAGAGGGTGAAACCTTGGGCAAGTTTCCTTACTCCACACAGCCTAATAATAATCCCTCCAAAACCAAAAACAATAATAAAATTGGTCATTTTCAATCTACGACTGTTTGTGGGACATTGCTGTGCGCAATTGGCTGCCGCGTTCGCCCACAAATATACAGTTAATTCACTTTACAGTGTGTTCAGTAAAGCGCTTTGGGACGTCCTCCCGACGTGAAAAACGCTATATCAAATGCAAGGATTATTATTATTGTAGTGCCATGGGATATTTAACCTCCACCTGAATATATTGATGGGATCTCAGTTTAACATCTCATCCAAACGATAGCACTTCCAGCAATGCAGCACACACACATCGGGGTGTCAGTACAGACTATCCAGATTTAAAGTCACCGCGTGAGTCTTGAATCTCAATGTTCTAACTCAGAAAAGAGAGTGCTACCACTAGCGCTCCAAGTAATCGGCTGCACAGTTCTCCCCCAACAAATGGTCCTTACCCTTGCAGCTTTCATTTTCTCCCTCACTTTTTCTCGCATGGAGTATTCAGCAAAGCTTGTCCTCGGAGTAGATGCAAGTAGAGGAGGAAGGACTGAAGAAAACATAATTAAACACAGTTATTAATCAGGAGATAAATGTAAGCAAGGGGAAGCCTCACTTCACCACAAACAATCCTGAACTTGCACCAGTTCTGTATACCTACACGTACACACACAAGTTGCACTTATATATTGCCCTCCACGCGGGTAGAATCTCAGAGCGTCTCACACACACCTGAACCACAGATAGTTAATATTCCAATCCAAGTCCACTACTAAAATTAATTCTTGCAAAATGAGCACTCATGAACTTGCGAATTTGAAAGCAATATACATTTAAAAATCCTAAGCTGATGTTTTTTTTCTTAGTCAGGGTGAACTTTGAAGCTTGTCTGAAAGATGGCACTCTGACCCGGCGACTAGTCACTGCACACGTGTGATATTTATAAGTAGGTAGATCCATGTTGTTTCAGGCAGAGGAGAGGTGCCAGAACTATGATTTTAAAGAGTAGACTCCAAAGTTTCTGCTATATAAAGCCTCAAGTCTTTACGGTTTGTCTCAAGGTGTACCTTGTACACCATGAGCGAGGCATAGGAGGTGCAAAAATTGTCTACGACTGCAAACATCTCAACAATAAAACTTTCCAATTGCAGCTTAGGGAGTATTTTAGACTAAAATATCCTCATTAAAAATACAAAGTTATGCTGAAAATGGTTAAATGAAAGGCAAACCCCAACTTATGGAGAGCTGTTCTGATGCAACATCAGTGAGGAACAGAAGATATCCTGGAACACAAATGTTGGACGCGGGAGGGAGCAGGGCAACTTACCTCTTTGTTCAGTAAAGGTGCCATTTTGCTCTACAGACTCTTCAGGATACCAGTCAGCTGCTTCCTCCATCAGCTGAAAATAACAGAGCAAGTTAGTGGACAAAAAGCTGCATACAAGTTTAAAGTGCAGTACAAGTACTTTAAGAAACTCTTTGAGAACGTGTTAAAGTGTGACAACAAATGTAATGGGAATTCAAGTGAAAACAAAAAACAGTAACCTGTATAGTTTTACATAAGAATATATAGAAAATATAATATCCACACAAACAGATTCAGGAAGGTATTATGGCTTATACTGTTTATGTTGCCCAAGCATCTTACTGTGCATCTCAAAGACTAAGCATAACTTTCCTCCAAAAGAAAAGGAAAAGAGGGAAGAGGTCCAATTATAAAACTTTTCAACTACTGCAAAGTACAAAGAGATATACACCCAATAAATGGACAGTGAAAACATACTGGCTTTTTCCTCCTTTGTCTTTGGATTTTCAGGGTTTGCTTGAGGTTCTCTACCTGCTCCTCCTCATTCTGAATCACCTGCAGAAAATCAACAATTTAGTACTGTATACTGTAAGGCACTCTATAAATGAAATCTTGTTGTTTTAACCGATAAACTCTGAAAGCTGCACAACTGTAAGTTCAGATTTATAGGCCAACAAACAGTCTGGTACTGAAAGCATTCAGCATTCCCATACACTTTTGAAGTGTCTGAAAATTAAGATTCGCAAGTTAACATTTACTACTAGAAATGCACTGTACTCAGTATACACACACACACAAATAAACACCCATGTGACGTAGGAGCATAATGTCTCTGATAAAGTTTGAAAGTTTTTCAGCCACAACATTTTAACGTAGTCTGGGTATTGTCAGCACATCTTGTTTAATGGTTACCATATCGCAATGTCATGCTGGTTTAATTTGCTCCTTCAAAAAAATACCAAATAAGTATCCAACTGGGAACATTGCTAGTCATAGGAAGAGCTAGACTGAGATGATTAAATACTCATTATAAGACCATTGATTGTGCTGCTGGGTTTGTGAGTAGGTTTTGCTCATGGAGGAAAAGCAGGCTTGTTGCTTGGAGAGAAGATGTGAAGGAAGACAAATGGACTTTATTTAGTTATTTTGGGGGTTAGGTCTGTGCAAAGCTTTCCCCATGAGGTTAAAAGGGTAGAATGGAGTGCATAATGGGTGTAGATTCAATTTCAGCACCAAAAAAGGCCAATTGCCCAACTGTTTATATTCCTCATGAGATTCTACCCCTATCCTCCTTGGGTGGTGGGGGTGGGGGGGCGGGGGGAAAGAGAAGGAAAGTGGGGTCTCCAAAGTGACATGCCTAGCAACGGAATGTCAGAATCAAGCCAACTCTCTGTGCCAACCTCAGTAGTCCAGTTCCTAAACCAGGCGGGTCTGCAGTACTCCAGGCAACTGCAAGCCAAAGGCCTAATGGGTAGGGTGCTGTCCTAGCTAAACAAGCAGCGGGGAAGTTTGCCAGACTACAATATCAATGGCAAGCTGTGTTGTTTTAGCTGGTTAGACTCTCGCATTACCCCAATGCACACTCCGTGGCCCCTAAGCCTTGACTCTTGTCAATCTGCACCTAATACATTTTGGAATTAGGTAAGCAGGAATTGACCCTCCAGAGGGAGAGTGTGCATTCCATTCCAACAATTTCCACGTGTAGGTGAGATGCATGGAAAACTTACACTTGGTTTGGATACTCTTAAGCATGGTGATGGGTTTCCGCATATGTCAAACACCCGGCTGACCAAAAAAAAGCTTCCACCCATCCTGATCGCCTCTTTAGCTCCCCACCTCCAAGGATTTTACCAGGGCTGGCAGGTTACTGCTATTGGAAGAGCCTGGATAGGTCAAGCCTTTTTTCTCTAGAGAAGTCATCATGCACAACTCATTTACACACAGAATAGATTGGAGTCCCTTTGTATATACACAGCACAATTTTAAACTACCAAGAAACAAAATCCCATCTGGAAAACCCTTTCTCGAGTTTAAATCCCTAGGCAAATGTACATCAGAAACATTGGAGTAAAGACTCCTCCACAATGGAAAAGATTGAGAAAGAAAGATTGGAGGAGACACAACAGAATTTTATAAACTGTTAAAAGTTGCGGAGTGATGAGTATTGCCAAAAGTTATCTATTCATCAGCTGTTTCTTAGTCTCCTAGGAAAATCCGTAAAATCCATTACTAATATGCTGACTCAATTGATTCTACAGCACCAGAATTGCTTACATAGTTTCATTTTGGTTATAAAAAATATTGATAAAGAGCACAAATATTCCTTTTATTGTTTCCCCTTTTGCTCTAGTTGTGGACGTTCAAGACAGTGTCAAAGAAATGCTGTCTTCCCACTGTCTAAGGTGAATGTTTGCGACTGGAAGCATTTGCCAATGCAACTGTCCACTACTCAAAGGGCATTAGTCAGAGACAAAACAGAAATAAATCAAGTTGAAAAGCAGAACAGAAATGAGTGTGTGTCGATTCTCGAAATTCAAAGGAGAAAATAAACCAACAGAAGAAGTACAAACCTCCACCACTGTAGCTTGCTCATATCCTTTACTGTTTCCCAGTTCTGCATCGACCAAAGCCTGACAATTAAAACAATACGTATTAAATAGTTTCCCTTTTATGGAACTGCATTCCTTACTTTATTCTCTTGAGCTTTCTGGGCCTGGCTGACTGCATATGGTCCTCTCTCAGCCAGAAGGGAAGGACAGTTTAACTAATGTAAAAAGCTGTGAAGCATCCTCACTCCAAATGTCACTAGAATAGAACCCCATCAAACCAGGTACCTGCCATCTGGTGAAAGCTCGATCCTGCACTTGTGGGATGTCAAGTAACTAGTAACGATTCTCAGGGTCTCCCTGGAGCTGAACTGGCTCCAAGGTGACATACTTGGCAACAGAATATCAGAATCGATCAACTCTGTGGAAATCTAGGGAGATCGATTCCTGAGACATAGAGCCAAATTGATGGATATTTCTACGTACCTGAGTGTCTGTGACATCTCGACTTCCGGTTAGAGATTCTTGCAGTACCTTGCGTTTACTTTTAATCTTCTTGCGGAGATTACTGGAAGAAACAGTACATTTGTAAATAAATATTGTAAAAATACTGTTCCACTCCATCCCTCATGAAAGCAACTTCAAGGCCAACCTTCTTTCTAGAGCAAATTTAAGACTATGAACAGTTTGATAAACATTTAACTAATGTTTGAGTCAGTAATTCAATGGCATAAATAAGGAATAACACTAGAAGAAAAAGAGGCAGGGGATCTCCTTGAGGCTGAACTGGCTCCATGGAAGATTGGCAATGGAACGGGAGAACCAATTCAATTGATGTGATGGTGATGGTAATCCAGTTTCTGAGCCCTCTACGTCCGCAGTCCTCCAAGGCACTACTGATGACCAGCCAGCCTAGCACATCGGCAGCATTTGAAGAGAAGACCGGTCACGGGATTCTTCCCATTCGGCTCCCGTTCACCCTGGAAGCTAAAGCCCTAACTAGTAGGATGGTCCTAGTTGGACAAGCAGCAGAAAGCTTGTAAACAGTGCTCCCTGTGACAAGCTGTGCAGTTTTTAGTTTGTTAAACACAGCAGTACCCCAAGCCTTGGTGCTTGTCAACCTGCGTCTAATTGTTTTCAGAATTGAGTAAGCAGGTTTTGGATATGGGTCCTCCAGCGAGCGAATAAGCATTCCACTGCACAGAGAAATTTCCACATGTAGGTGGTACACCTAAATATAACCCTGTCTAATTTCGATACTCTGAAGCATTGTGATGAGTTTCCACATGGGACAGTCCAAAAAAAAAAGGCAGTGGCTCACTGACCAAAAAGAAAATAACGTAAGGAATTTTGGAAAAAAAGCACAGAAATTTGGTAGCATATTGAATGCTGTTCAAGTCCATAAGAGCATTTGTTATTTGTTAAAGTGGTTATCCAGCAATATGAGGACAACTCAACACTTGTGATAAGTTCACTATAACCTCATACAGTATATCCAATTCAAAGTATTTTCTTAGCTGAAGTGAGAACTTTCTGAATTACTGAATTTCTGAATGTGGCAAGTTAGGTAAGTGAAAAACTATGAAGATTAAGGACCCCGAGAGCCAAGAACACAGCATGACATATTATTATGAATGAGTTGGATATTTCTCAAAAGACATGTTCTTTTACTGTGTTTCCCAGGGCCACACATACACAGACCAAACCATTTTTTATAGGAGGCCGTTTTTTAATAATGTTATATAAACCATAATAATTCTCTCACTTCAGCAAAGAAAATACTTTGAATTGGATATACTGTATGAGGTTATGGTTAACGTATCTCAAGTGTTGAGTTGTCCTCATATTGCTGGGTTATCCCTTCAACAAATAACCATATGTACTTCAGTGTCAAGATCAGTTCTCATCAGTCAAAGCTAACAGAACAGATCAGTGTTTATGGACTATAGGGAGGTAATGTTACAGTGTTCCTTATTGTGGATGGAAAGATGCTAGTATGAGATCCTGTTCCTGGGATCAATGGTGTGTATGTGTGTCACGTGTGATCACTCTCAGTGTTAGCAATAAAACCACACGGAATAAGCCAACGGACATGGAGAAAATAAGGCATATGTGGATGACAACTGCAAGCACAGCTCATGTACATTTGACATGGATATTCACACAACCTTACTTTCGCCCACACAACATACAGTCAATTTACTTTACAGTATATTCTGTGAAGCACAACGTGACAAGGTGCTATATCAAATGGAAGATTTATTATTATTACTAGAATTAACTCTGGAAGGCAATGTGAGAAAAAAAAGAGAAGTGTTGGTATACTTACTCTGCTGAAGCCATCTTTTAAAAAAAATCAATCAAGCTGATCACGCTGCTCTGGCTTTCACACAGTTTTCATTTCGCATTATATAAAAGAAGAACACAGAACTAAGCCATCTCCTCTGTTCTATTTCTTCCTTGAGGAAAGAGAACGTATTCCAGCGTGTAGCTTCCAATGCTGCAAACAAACAAAAATACTGTAGTAATTTAGGTCACAAACTCAGAATTAATAGAAAATACACATTAATAGAACCATATGTAACTCCTAAACAATGTAGCTGGCTCCAGTATAAAAGCAAAAACAACTAAAAGGCTCAATAATCAAACTGCAGCTTTATCAAGTGCCATAGATACTGTAATTTTTATTCACCACTGGACTTTGCTGGTAATATACTATCTCTTAAATTATACTCCCATCAGAACATAGTCAGATTCAATCAGATACATGGGATTATAGTAACTTGTAACTGAGGGTAAACACTATGATTTTAAGAATAAAACAATGTATCTAGAGTACACAGGCAAGTATCTTCAGAGTATTGTTGCAAATGTCACAACCACTGTGGATCCTACCATAAAAGCCAGGAAATTACCCTAAAAAAATTAAAAACTTTTCTAAAAAGATTTAAAGTTATGACAAAGTTGCAAAAAAAGCTAACCATATGTAGAAAATAGTTACTAAGTGTCTTAATTAAATGTTACATTTCTTAAACAGTGATAAGTCATAGTTCCTGTATTACCACAATTTAAGGATGAAAGCAATGGCAGCAAAATAACAAACTAATGAATATTTTAAAAAATGGAGAAATGAGGCATAGTACAGTCATTATATTATTATTTTTTTCTGGAAAATGTACAAGCTCTAATCAAGATCAATGGGAAAAAATGCTGAGACATCAGTGATACAATGTTGCTTCCTAAGGCAGAACAGATTCAAAGCAATATTGAAAATACAGACAAGATTTAACAAAAGCTCAAAAAATGGGAAAACAGTGCAAAGAAAGAAAATAGTTTACTGGGTTAGTCTAACAGCATCAGGTGCAAGAACAAAGAAATTAAATGGACACTAGCAATTGCAAAAGGGTCATTTAACAGCAAAATGAGTTTCCATACCACAATAAAATCAAGCTGGTTCCAAGAAGCAGTATGCTCTGTAGTCAACAGAACTCGAGTGTGTAAATTGAACCTTCAACCCTGAGGTAAGGTTTCACATTTTCTGGGCAGGAAAACATGACTTAATAGCGGATCCTAGAATTAATAATAATAATCCTTGCATTTGATATATCATGTCTTTGAGACGTCTTCAAGACGTCTCAAAGTGCTTCATTAACACACAACAGAGAAAAATATTTAAATTTGTTATTACAGGAATAACATACGTTTGCCTATGAACCAAAGAACAATGTGGTTAGAGGATGCAACAGAATGGACAGGTGGGATACATCAAGAGCTGATACAATCCCCCATTGCAGAGCTAGGAAGTATGGAGAGTAATGTTCAGAGAGGAGACACAGAAAATAAAAGGGGAAACATAAAACTCAATTGCAAGGATTATCATTACTATCTTTCTATCGAACCTGACAATTTATTCCTGTTTAAGCGCTTTGAGACGTCCTTCTGATGCTGTACCAAATACAAGGATTATTATTGTTATTATTCAATAACGTCATCTCAGTCTGGTGGTTGTTAATACCTACCACAAAACAACACATTTTGCCTTCCTGTTACAATTCACACCACCCCTGGCATTAGTAGCCAGGGACGGTATGTGGACACTGAAGTGGGTAAATAGTAGCCCCAATGTAATAATAATAATACTCCTTGAATAATAACAACAATGTACATCATCATGTTCACTGGGCACGATCATAAAATAGCAGTTAACTGGATATACCAAACCTATATAATAATAATAATCCTTGCATTTGATATAGCGCCTTATCACATCTTGGGAGACGTCTCAAAGCGCTTCACAGAATATACCGTAACGTGAAGTGACTGTATATTTTGCGTGGGCGAATCGCGGCAGCCCATTGCGCACAGCAGCGTCCCACAAACAGTCGTGGACCGAAGTGACCAAATTATTGTTGCTTTGGGTCAATCTCAGACCAGGCGTTTCTCGGAAATGGACAAATGTGTTTTCTTTGCTGTAACAGGAGCAGCTTTTATTAATAGCCGCAATAGCAAAGTGTGATCTGTGGTTGTCACAGGGTGGGTGGGTGGGTGGGTGGGTGGGATACTCTCTCTTACTGTAACTAAGCAGCTGAATCAATATTAACCCGCAAAGTGAAACCTCCACGGGTGCAACCAACACCAGCAGGAATCAGGGCAGCAAAGCAGCTGATGGTGCCACATAAACACTGAGGAGCAGAGAGTCGACACGAATCTATCACCAGCACAGACTTCAGCTGCTGCAATGCAGTGGATCATCAGGTCCCGGGGGCTGCAACACAGTAACCGGATGGAGGCGAAGCAAATCGAAGTTTTTTTTTAAAAGAATTATTATTATTGCAAAGAAACAAGATACTTACACCGTGAGCATTAATGCTTTGGCTTCTCATGCAATGCCATCCTCCCTCCCTCCCTCCCCCCACTCTTTCACTGACGCTGACCGTGTCCTGGAAACAGCTCTCCTGGTGACCACTTCACAGGAAAGAGCCTGAGCTGCCTGGACAGCAGTTGGTGAGTTTCACTGTCAATCACTGAGGACCAGGCTGGCAGCTCAGGGGGTGGGGTGGGGGGGGTGGGAACTGATTTGCTACGGTGTCCTGTTAAGAGAGAAATGTAGGAATCCTAATCATCATCATTTTTTTAAAAAATATATATATATGCAAATCCACAAAGACCAAAACATACAGTGAAATCAGTGTGAGGCTGATGGTCTCACCCACAGAATATTGCAGTCAGTTCACTTGACAGTGTATCCTGCGAAGCGTTTTGAGACGTCTCGAAGGCGTGATAAAATGCTGCTAACAAATGCAAGGATTATTATGAGAGACCTGAGTTCAATTCCAGGCAGGGCGAAACCTTGGGCAAGTTTCCTTACTCCACACGCCTAATAATAATCCCTCCAAAACTAAAAACAATAATTAAATTGGTCATTTTCAATCTACGACTGTTTGTGGGACATTGCTGTGCGCAATTGGCTGCCGCGTTCGCCCACAAATATACAGTCAATTCACTTTACAGTGTGTTCTGTGAAGCGCTTTGGGACGTCCTCCCGACGTGAAAAGCGCTATATCAAATGCAAGGATTATTATTATTATTATTAAGAGTCGCGGACCCGAAGCGTTGACTCGCTTTCCTTTCTCTCTGGGTGCTGCCTGACTTGCTGAGTTTCCCCAGTTCGCTCGGTTTTTGTTTCAGATTTCCAGCATCTGCAGTATTTTGTGTTTTGTGCAAAAATCATTATTATGGTTATATGGGAAGTAGACAAAGCTAAAGGAGAGGCAGAAATCTTCATTTTTTTGCCATTCTCCAGCCTGTTTGTGAGTTTATTTCAGTCTCTCTGGAAATGTTTTTTTTGTCTTCAGCCTTGTTGCTAGCTCGCCCACTGCATTCCTTCGCTCCATAATGGATGGTCAGGAAAAAGAAAGATTTACTAAGCTTGTAGTGAGAAATGGAGAAGGTGACCATTGAGCCAATACATGACTGTACAGAAAGAGATTAAAAAGACATTAGGGAGTGGAGAGAGAACCGGAAAGGAATTTAGCAACAAATCCAAAAACTGTCAAAACATTTGCTCACTATTATATCAACAAAAAGGTAGTTAGGGAAGAAGCTAACAAAGAGTTACAAAACAGTATGAACAGTAAATAACAAACACCTGGAAATGTTTTAACTCCCTCCCCATCACCCCCATAGTCTGGGCTGACACTCCAGTGCTGTGTTGGGGGAATGTTGTATTGTCAGAGGTTTTATCTGCCTGTTTATTTGGATGTTTAAGATCCCATGGCACTATTTGAAAAGAGAAGGAAATTTATCCCAGTGTCCTGGCCAACAAATCCTTCAGTTGAATTAGTCATTCATTTCCTGGTTGTTTGTAGCATATTGCCGTTGTATTGACTTTCCTCCTTGGTGGGTGGTAAGCACGGTCTCCTTGAGGCTGGGCTGGCTCCACGCTGACATGCTTAGCTTTCCAATGTTTGAATTAAATCATCACTCCAGGCAGTCCAGGTAGTCTGGTTCTGGAGTCAGATGGGTCTGCACTATTCCAGGTCACTGCTGATGACAGACCAGCCAGTTTGGCTCATCAACAGGATTTGAATGGGAAGACTAGTCACTGGGAACAGGGATTCTTCTCACTTGGCTCCTGTTAACCCTGCAGGCCAAATCCCCAATGGGTAAAGTGATCCTACCTGGATAAGTAGGGAAAATTGACAGACAGTTGCCTTGGTGGCAAGTGATATGGTTTTAGCTGGTTGAACTCCAGCAATAACAACTTGCATTTATACAGTGCCCTTCACGCGGGTCAGCTTGTACCCCAGCAGTAGTACCCCAATACCCAGGCTATGGTCCCCATACCTTAGCTATCACAAACCTGTACCTAATAGTCTCTAGAATTAGGTAAGCAAGGTACATCTCTGCAACATTCCACATACAGAGAAATTTCGACGAGCAGGTAGTTTGGATACTTTGAGCGTGGTGATAGGTTTCCACATGTGTCAGACTCCTGGCTGACCGAAAACCATCTGCGCTCTGGCTGCCACATTCCTCTACGTTATATACAGTCACTACACTTTATAGACATTACTGTGAAGGACCCTGAGACATTTTAACATGATAAGGTGCTATATCAATTGCAAGGATTATATTTAAGATTCTTTCAATGTTGAAGAGAGTTCTTTAGAAGTAAATACAAGACATTGTTGTGAAGTTTTCTTCTCCATCTTTTATCTGTGAAACCGTTACTGTATGTTTTTCAATGACTAGTATGGCAGATGTAACTATATCTCTGGAATAACATTCCTCAGTCCCTCCGTCTTGCCCCATCGTTGCCCATGTTCAATTCACACCTGAAGATTTTCTTCGAATCACGCCTTAAGTCACCTCCACTGTCTTTCCAGCTCGGTGTCAAACCAAACCACTGCTAAGTGCTCTGAGACGCTACCCAGATGAAGAATGCTGTATAAATGCAAGTTGTTGTAACAGTTATTAGTGATTATTGTTATATAAGAGATCGTTAGAGGTTTAGCTTTAAGCATGTCTTGGTGAATGAGCTCTATTGGGATACTGCTCCAAAAGCTGTTTTGAATAAAGTTACATTTCATAAAGTTATCTTCTTTGGATTGTCCAAAAACTCGTACAGGATATTAAGAAGTACCATAACAATAAGTAATTATATGCCATTTTCCAAGAAAACACTATGTGCTGCATTTATTTTTGACCCAATTACAGGCATTTCATTTAAGAAACAACATTTTAAATGCTTTGCAAAACGATTAAAGTAATACTCCTTTTGATTACAAGTGATATTAAGAAACCAGTTTTAGATTTTGTAGATTAAGCTTTAAGAGTTTAAACAAAGGCTCAAGCATTTGATTCTACTTCAATAAGATCACAACTTAATTGGAAACTGGTAAGCCATCCCATCAATAATAAAGAATTGTTTACTAACTTATTCCTTTGATTGGTGCACTAGTTATTATACTAAAATAAAACCTTAAAACTATGACAATTTTAAATTTATTCAGAGAATTCCTCAGGTTAAAAAAAAGTCAATATTCTACAATGTTGTTTTGATTCTATTTTACAAACCTTCCCTTTCCAACTTCCACACCTCCCCAACTGGGGTGCTAACTCCAGTTGGCATATAGTTTAATGGCACTAGAAGCCTTCTGGCATCTTTCCCAAGTTGTCATTAAAAGTGGGTCTCAGCAAGCTGCATATTTTTTCCAGGGCATCACAACCACGCCAGATCCTTTCCTCATCTAGCATCAACCCGCACGTACATTCAAGCAGGATTCCCTTGAGAGTGACCAGCAGTAAGAATCACTGTATGAATTTTCTTTCTGATAGCTCAGGGACACTGAGACCAATTCCACTGCTGAGCTAACTCAATACAGACTGGGCATTACATGTCTGTAATGTGGTAACCTATTACATGTCTGCTGCTTACCACAACGGTTATTATAAAAGCCATCAACATTTAATATTTCCATGGCATAATTACATAGAATGTTACAGCAAGGAAACATTCAACCCAAATAGTCCATGCCGGTACCAAAACATCAGCCTCCACCTTCCTAATCCCCTCTCCTGTACCCCTCTAATTCCTTCTTCCTCATGTTTACTCATGTATGTCGGCCTGGCTCAGAAGCTATCTTTGCCAGAAAGATTCCATGGCATTCTTTGAAAAGAGAAGGGAGTTTCTCTTTCCCAGTGTCCTGGCCAACAATCTCCAAAATAAAAAGTTGTTCAGTCATTCCATAGTTATTTGCGAGAAGTTGCTGTGTGCAAATCATTTACACATACACACATGTCATTACAGTTTATCCTGTGAAGCGTTTGAAATATTCTCCCAAAGTGAAAGATGGTAAACCAACTGTAAGGATTATTATGTACATTTTGGAAGAGAAGGTTGTGGGTTCCATTCTTCAGATGAGAAGATAAACTGAGGTCCCATCTCCTTGTTCATGTGGATGCCCACAGCACTATTCAAATGGCTTCCCCCAGTGTCCTGGCCAACAATCTCACAAGTAAAATTGTCCTTTGCTTCTTGGATGTTTGTGGGACATTTTGTGTGCAAATTGGCTTTCACCTATAAAATGTTGTCACGACACATTACAATAAGTCCTGTGAAGCACTTCAAGATGTCCTCATGACATGAAAGTCACTAAAGCAAATGCAAGTATTATTAAATCTACAAAAATACCATTATCTCTTTGATTAAATTAATAATTTATGTACACATTAGGGAGAAGGGAATAGATGGAGAGGAGATTATGAGCAGTGGAGATTTATTTGGAGTCTAAACAATAAATACATTTTTTAAAACAATAATAAATTGGTCACTTAATCTATGACTGTTTGTTGTGTGCAAATAGCTATCCCGTGTTTCCCACAAAACACACAGGCACTATACAGTAAATTCTGCAAAGCGCTTTGAAATGTCTCGATGATTTGATATAGTGCTGTGTCAAATGCTAGGATTATTAATAATATTTTAACATAATCTCTATACTCAATGTCTCATGTGTTTCTATTAGGTGTGGTTGTTAAAGGAAAAATATCACTTTCTCTCTCTCTTCCCCTCTCTCCCTACCATTTTCATCCACAAAACACACAGTCACTACATCTTACAGTGTATTCTTTGAAGCGTTTTGAGACGTCTCAATGACATGATAAGGCAACAACAAGATTACATTTGTATAGCGCCTTTCACGTCGGGAGGACGTCCCAAGGAGCTGGACAGTGTACAGCATTTCAGACCCGAGTAGGGTTCAGAGGGGGAGAAGGAAGGGGAGGGGAAGGGGGGTGGCCGATGGCATGGTCGAAGAGGAGGGTCTTGAGGTGGGACTTGAAGGCACTATATTTAATATATATAAGGCACTATATCAAATACAATGATTATTATTTATTATTTTATTTGTATTTATTTAATGGATATGTCCAATGTGGAGGATGGTGGAACTTTTCAGAATTATAATTAAAATGACAAAAGATGCACAGTGGGAACAGCAAAATATTCAATTGACGTGAATGAGGCAGTAAAGTGTTGCCACCTATTGAATCTTTACAAGTTTCTGTCATATGGCTTAAACTAATAATTAGAACTTGGATGTTCACTGAATCTATTTGGATTGATTCATTTAAATTGTCTTGTTGTTTGTCCAAGTTTTTTGTTTCCAGAAATCAGTTTTTATGTATATTTCTATGTAGTTCTTTGACGCATTTGTTTGGAGACCAGTGCCCAAACTATTTTGACCTTTTTTTCCATGATTTAGGAGGTGGAGAGTAGTCAGATTGATGTACATATATTGATCTGATTTTGAAACAGTATTTTTGGCAAACACTCTTCCTGACCTTGGAAAAATAGCAAATTTATTCCATCAGTATATGGCATGCTTATACGTCTAATTGTAAAATATGACATTCCACACCAGAGTTATAAGATACCAATCTAGGTACTTTAATAGATCCAATAATAACACATGAAATACCTTTAAACAGCTAAGGTTAGATTCTGAGAGACACAAATATTGGAAGAAACCTGGATGAAAGGATGGAAAGATGNAAAAAAGTTGGGGCCGTAAATGTAAATGTTTAGTACATATATTCTGTGCAAGGGCTGACAGCACAGACTCGATGACTGACGAGTCTGCAGTGGACTTTCTTGCTTCTGTAGCTGAAGTTGTGAGGAAACTGAAGCTACAGCCTGCGAGACACTCGGTTCTAAAGTGTAAACCTGTCAAGATAACCTCAAAGGGAAGGAGAGCCATTAGGTGTAAGCAGAGGGCCTTTAAAGCGGTTTTGGAAGCTTGGAGCAAGTTAGAACTGTAACAAAGACAACTTACCACCAAACATGGCACAACGCTAGGAAGGTTATTAGATAAATGAAGCGAGATCAATGAGTTGCATCACTCCAAAAAGGGGTGCAATTACACAAGAACAATCCCAAACCTTTCTTCCGTTGGCTGATGTCTGTCGTCTGGCATGGATCATGTCTGGGAATATTTTTTCTGAATTTGTCCCTGGGGTTTACAATTAATTCCTGCCATTTTAGTATATAATTTGGTTTAATATCTTTAATATGTATTGTTGTTTGTGCTTTAGAATTGTATTTAACAGATGCTTGTTCATTCAGGATTTTCTTGTTTTCAGCCAAATCTCATGACCAGAACTATATGCTTATCTTTGAATTTACAAAAAGCAGAATCAGTCTAAATAAACATGTCTCAACAATTATGTTTGTACCAAGTCCAATTCAAGAAATGATAGCACGTCACTGTAGGATATGTAGTTGCAACCTTTAATGCTCTCTTCTTTTATAATATTACTTACAAATGAAAAGTAGCATAACTCAAAGGTGCTAAATATTCCCAGTTCTATCACTAGACTAGACAGTGATGAAAAGAGCACCATTAAATAAAAACAATCGGGTGGTATCATTACATTCAAATTCTCATGCGAAATGACACAGTCTGTTGTGTCCACGGACACCAAAATTCATGTTAGGTTGAAAATAACTTTCAAAGAAAATAAATCAAGATTTAGTCGGCCAAAATTATATTATTCTTTAAAAGTGTGTTTCCACTAGATAAAAAGGCATTGGTTCTGGATTGAAACTGCTTTATAATCCCATTGAAGATGTCCTGCTGTCTTTGAGGTGCACTGAACTGTTCTACACTGGATCCCAGATCTATATGATCCATATGAAATCACTTAACTATAACTCTGTCAACTGCAGCAGCTTGATGCAGGAGGATTGGATGGTTGATATTTGGAAAGAAATGATCAAATGGGCCTTCTTCATCTGAAAATCTCTTGCGATCTTGTGAACTTCATCAATTGAACTGGAGTGGATTGGGAATTACTCATAGTGTCCTAAACGAGTCATTACCCGGTGAGCTAATTCCCAACCTTATTCCAAGTGAGAACAGGAAAATTTCCACGTGTTTCAGAAAACACAAGTGACCACAAGTTGATTATTACTGGATCTTCTTCATAGAATGTTTGGAAGTTATCAGGGAATATTCAGACATCTTCAGTTTATAGTTCTTCATCCTCTGCCAATGCATCCAGGTAGTCAGAATCAGTGTAAAGTAAAAACCCAGAGAATAAACTGTCAGTCCAGTTGGGATCAGAAAAGAGACCATTCTGCTCGTAATCAAAGATCTCCAGCCAGACTTCATCCTCCGGCATCAGGTACATGGCTATGGATCCTGACGATACATCGTGGTTCCCTGTATTAGCATCAAAGGTTTTTATACGATATTGGCCATTGTGTACCAGTGCTAGTGCAAGGTGTTTGTTGGCCAGAGTAATATGATAAGAGAAGTAATAAATCCCTGGAATGCCACATATAAACTTTCCAGTGGAAGGGGTATAATGGCCTCCCTCATTTAAAAGAATTTTATTAAATATAATGGGCTTTCTTTCTGCTGGGTAACTGGTTGTTATGCCAACAGAAAAAGCAGATTTAGGCATTATACTGCCACATTTACAAACACCAGCAGGTCCTGCTTGTCCTCTTTGTCCTTTGTCTCCTTTGGGTCCAAAAGTTCCTGCTGGACCTAGTTTTCCTTTAACACCATTCTGTCCTTGAATTCCTGTTTTACCAGGAAGCCCTCTATCGCCCTTTTCACCTCCGAGTCCTGCAAGTCCTAGTTTTCCCCTGTACCCTAGGACAAATCACAATAAATACTGTTACTTTGATTAACATCATTTACATTGTTTCGGGCCAGTATCACAACTTTGGGGAAGGATTTCCATCTGGGGTTAGTTAGATTTACTCGATTTACATTTCAGGAGCATCCAAAATTTGACAAATTGTTTTAATAATAATCCTTACATTTGATATTGGGCCTTATCACGTCATCGAGACGTCTCAAAGTGCTCCATAGAATATACTATCAAGTGAATTGACTGAATTTTGTGGGTAAAACTTTGAACACAATTCAAAGCCAGTTCAATTTTGGGGCAAAACTTTGAAGCCAGTTTTAATTTTGAAGAATTTACTATAAATCAGCTTGCCAAATTCAGGATTTTCTGATGTGCTAAGAAAATAAAGCAAATCTACTAGGTAGCATTTGCAAGATAGATTTTCTCCCCCTTGCTCTTTTGCAGATTTCTATTGAACAAAAACATGTAACATAGCCTAGTAATTTTGACCAAATTTGTTTTTTAGTAATTTCCATTAATATCCACCAGTTCAAACCTATTGCAATAAAATCCCAACTGAGATAGTCTCAGTTTCGATGTTATGGCAATAGGTTTCATCATTAAGATATATTGCATGATGTTATACATAGCACATTGAAACCCACAACGTTGCTGGTATGAAAAGCATTATGAAATAACAAATTGTTTATAAAATTTTCGTTGCTCTTGTAACATCCAATTCACTTGTACATTAGTCACATCAAACCGTTTGTTATTCAGTATTCCCCGTGTACAACTGGTCTGGTAAAACTACTAGTGAAACAATCTAGATTCTTTTCTCCATTGCCAGTGGTGTTTAATGTATGCATTATTTTTATTTTACGGTGGTTGAAAAATTTCAATATTCCAATTTGATCTTTTGTGTTCATATTTTTGGTTGAGGTTGAGTGCTAGTCAAGATGAGGCATGTTAGTTAGTGGTGGGGAATTAAATATTTTTCCACATTTATCACCCAGTGTCAGAAACACTCCCACAACATGTACGGTATGAACAGTTTCAGAGTACAAATACATCTGCACTGACTTAGTCCCAGAATAGCGATTTCTACTGCACTACTGAGGTCTAAAACTCAATATTAACAACAGAAGTAGCAGACAGTGATCGACTATTAACTTCTGCTGGTTATACTCGCCAACAGGAATTCTGATGCAATCTACTTCGGAGATGATGCAGACTGGCCTGAAGCGTTTCTGGTTACAGGCAGGAGATATCATTTGTGACTCCTGTTCTGAATACCATGTTTCATATCCCAATGTAAATTATTGCATTCCTCACATCTGAATATTCTTTTGGATTGGCAACGATGCAACATTTAGGCTGGGTGGAGATTTTTGATATCATTTGAAATAACAATAATAATCTTGGCATAGTCTTTTTCACATCGGGAGAACATCCCTACATCATGTAGTGAAGAGTTAGAGTCAAACTGTGACTATTCTCTTGGGGAGGAGGTATCTGGGATTGAGCTGGTTTCATGGTAAAGATCTGAGTAGCATGATGGACTTCTCTGTGATCTGGGCAGATCTATAGCACTTCAGTTGGATTGACCATCTTGTGCTTGGCTCATCAAAGCATCTTGGAGAGGATAGACATGGTTTCTGTTCAGTTTCTCTGTGAGATTGGGATCAGGGACATTAATCACGTCCTGACTAGCTCAGTGTGTTGCACACCAGAGTTAGGACAATAGTTTCTGTTTTTTTTGAACTGTTAGTCAGGTCCACAGTAATCCAACATGATGTTGATGATTGATAAGGCTATCAATGAGACTTGGAGATGAAGACATGTGCTCAATCCATGCACCTAATATATAGAAATTGAGTTGGACAGCATCATTGTATGTTTAATCTTAAATATCCTTGGATTTAATAGAGCGCCTTTCGTATCGAGAGGCTGTATCAAAGAACTTCACAAAATTTAAAAATGCTGTGACTGTGTATATTCTAGGCATATTTTGTGTATTTTGTTACATAAGAAAACCTGAGTTCTGACAGTCTGTGACTCTGCTGATGCCCCCCCCTAAATCACTGTGTCAATACATTACCCTGGTCACTATAGTCCATTCATTTTAGTCTTTTTACACTGTTTACAAACTGAGCTGTCATTGCTAAAATTTAAGCCCTGGAAAATGTTCTCTTTGGGGATGATTTATTTTTACCTCTTCCAGTCTAACTTATATATTTTTTAATAAAATGCCTGCACAATGTGTTTTTTTTTAGAAGCGATCTGTGTCTAGACTGAAATATGAACAAGTTATACATGTTTTACAACGCAGTTTTTGAACTGTTATGCAGTATTTGAACTGATTCCATAAGTCCTTGGGGGATAGCGAGATGTTGACGAATTCCTGCTGTTTAATAGGTTTGCTTCTATTATGTATCATGTTTGGACTAGTTTCAGCTGCTCTGGAAGTAGTTTGTCCCACAGATCCTTGAATATTTAAGCTGGCCAGAAATAACAAAATGTGTTTTTAAATAAATATCCTGAACTCAGACCTGACCAAACTGAGGTCAACAAGAAAGATAAGATGGACGGAATTGGATCAGTAATCCCTGAGCTTCTTGTTTGATTCTATCTCAAGGCCCTTCAGTTGCCAGCCTGTTTATTGCCTCATGCTCAAGGTTGATATGCCTGAAGTTAATTGCTTTCACTAAAATGTACTAAAATGTACTGGCTGTCCTTTGTTTTCACTTGGATGTCATTTCTTCAATGCCACACACGTAAACTGTGCGGTAACACATTGAAACCTTAGTTTCCAAATTTTTTTTATCTTGGATGCTGTACAGTAAAACAATGAAAATAGCACTAGTCTGCCACCTGGACTCCTCTTTAGTTGGAGAACTCTTCTACATGTTATAGTCCAGGTCAGAAAAGTTCAGTGCACAGGCCAGCAGTGCAGTTCGGTGGGTGTCAGGATGCAGTTTGGTGGGTGTCCGGGTGCATACATCATAATGCATCACATGTTCAGTCTTGATGAAAAACAATTGATCAGTTTGTGAAGATGCTATCATTTTTATAAAGAAAATAAAGTTAGTGTTTTTATATTGGACTCGTATTCTAGAATTTTATTGAGGTTCCAAAATTAATCCCAATTTTCACTGAATTTACCTGAGATTTTTGTGTTCTCCCCACCCATTTTCTTGACTAAGAAAACCACAAAAATGTAATTTTTAAAAAATATTGTGGATAAACATCATTTAATGCTCCTTATTTTTACAATGGATAAATGATTTAAGCGTCATTTAATAAGTGTCTGGAGCAGCAGGTCAAAGGTGAAAAAACACACCTCTTATCAATCAGGTGGCCAAACAGGTATGAGGTGATGCACAGACCAAAAAATCCAAGCTTGCATTCCATGTTTCCTTACATACTCACAGTGCAACTTGATTTTTTTTGTGGTCAATCAATGTTTGATGTGAAAAAAAACAGCTTAATCATGCTTAATGCAGTGTATGTGCAATTCTCAATCCAAACAGTTGGAGAATTGCACCTACACATAGAAATTTCCCTGTGTCTGGAATGGAATGCTACTCTTTCTCCCTCCACTTATCTAATTCCGGAAAGCATTAATTAAATGTTGCCAAGAGCTAGGGCTTGGGACCCGAAAGGAGTGGTGGCCAGCCCATGGCTGTCCTAACATTCGGACTAATCTAGATCAGTCTGTTTAAAATCAATGTTTTGTTTCCAGTAGCTACTGAGTGGCAATGCGCAGGCGTGGTCATAAATCAAGACATTTTCAATCAAGAAAGTTTATTTGGTTAGTGACCAAAAAGATTAGCTACAATTGCCCTAGAGCGTGCGTTGGAGTGCTGTTGGAGTTTAATGAGCTAAACAACACAGCTTGCCATTATAAACATTGTCTGGCAAGCATCCCACTGCTTATCCATTAGGCTTTGGTTTACAGGGTTAACGGGAGGCAAGTGGGAAGAATCCCTGCTTTCAGTAATTGATCTGCCTCTTCAGGTCCTGCTGATGAGCCAGGCTGACTGGGCTGTCATTAACAATAGCCTGGAATACTGCGGACACACCTGGCTCAGGAAATGGGCTACCAAGAGTACACAGAAAGCTAACTCAATTCTGACATTGCCAGTTGTGTTATCTTCGAGTCAGCTCAGTCCCAAGAAACCTCTGCTTACCTATACCCTTAGGAAGGATAGTTACTTATTGGCTGTTTGACATTTAACATCTGATAAGTGGAGATTTGAGCCCTCACTAGGTGGATATCAGCTATCACAAACTCCCTGTGAGATTCCTGCTGAACAGCACAACTTAGCATGCAATGCATGAGAGCACTGCCACCATCTTCATGCCACAGTTCAGACACACACCCCTATTTATTGAGCGACGGTTCTACCAGTTAGAAATGTGGAGTTTAAGCGGCAGCTTACTTCTCTGCAAATCAGTCACGTTTGTTACCAAGCCCTGGATATTTAAGCGTGTATTTAGCCCTAGATATGAGAAGTTTGAGGAATGCTCTGTGCAATTTTGAACACTGCATTTTCTGAACCATTAATCACCCAGTGCAATTCTCTTTGGGAGCTTCAGGGCCTTGGGAAGTCCTCCTGACGTGAAAGGTGCTATATAAATGTAATTTTGTTGCTGTTCTAACTGAGGTCAGAGGTTGTATTGTAAACCCTCTGCAATATTACTTTATATAGTGATTGGTTGAACTCTACAGATTTGATTCATTCCTTTAAGAGACCCAACTTTGATGAGGCAGAGATGCCAAAGGTGATATTTTGAGCAAAAAAAGGTGAGATACAAGATGACTATGTTGAACTACAGTATGATAGAAATGTGACATTTTTTATAGAGTAAATGGTTTAGAGTAAATTTCACATTTTACCTAAAGTCTATTTAGGATTACTGAATTTTATTTTGGTCAGCCGAGTGCCATTCACGATTCTTCAGAGTATCCAAACCAAGCTGAGATTTCCATGCATCCCACCTCCACATGGAAATC